ATATACGTGTCGTTTTGCGGATCTCTTTGAAATTTTTCTGTATATATACACGGAGAAAATAAGTTTTGCTGAAACAGCAAGTTGTTTGTTAATATAGTGACAATATATTTATTAATATAGTGGCAATATGTTTGTTAATATAGTGACAGCGAAAATATTTATTACACGGAAAAAATAATTTTGCTGTTGTAACAAGATATCGTTGCGACAGCAATAAAATTTAATTGGCGCAGCCAAATTATTTTGCTGTCCATATATCTAGCAAATAGCAATTAATATTCCCAACAAATCTTTCTGCTGTCCAAACAAATTTGTTTTGCTGTGGAGAGATAAACGAATTATCTTAGCAAGTTGTGACTTTGTCAATCGGCAGAGTGAAAGTATAAATGCTTAGTCTACGTACACGTATCGCTGTCATTAACCGAACGGTGCCGCATTCCAAAAAGGATCGCCGAAAGGATATCATGGCTCAATGCATTCCAATAAGAACTTCTCAATTTCGTTTTAGTCGACGGGCGCGGTTTTACTTTCACCGTTCGAGGCGGCATTTTTTTCACGGCAGCACGTGCACCTTTCTCGCCTCTCTTTTTCTCTTTTCCACGTCGTCTATGGAAAGTAAGCCGCGTTTGACACATCGGGGCTGCAAAAAGGATATATAAAGAGGCGGAATCGCACTAACTACGTAAGCGCTCGTCCAAGGATAACGTGGCGTTTTCTACTTGTGTAATCTTTGCCGGCTGGAAAAATATCCGCGAACGTTACACGCACAGGTGTAACACGTACGAGTACAGGATGCGATTCGAATGCGCCTAACGAGTTATTAATAGGAGTCCCTTTTACGGTATGAAGCGCGACGTTCGAATTCGTGAGAGCCGCACGCGAGAGACCTTTCTTCGCATAAGACAGAAAGGAAATTAATTGTTCCGTCGCGACACAAAAGTCAGCCGCAGGAGTCACCGCGCGCGCGATAAATTGCTCGCCGACTTTTTCTTACATCTACATAAGCTTGTAATCAAGCGGCAATGGATTATGGCGCAAGAGCACGGCGTAGACCGCGGATTTCTCGATCTAACAAGTCCGACCGATCTCACCCGCTGTTTCCTTATTTATGGCGAACCTGCCGAGTTTTAGAAAGAGGAAAGTTGTGCCCAATATAAAAAAGATGAAATAATATAAGTAGAGAACAAATAATAAGAATAATATAGTTATGTGATTATAATAATAATACGAGATGATATGCAGATTCGATGCATTGATGATACAATTATCGCTTACTGATGTTACACTGATGATATAACTATGATGGGAACATGATTATGAATGATAAGAATAAGATAAGCAATCAGAAAGATGATAAGGAAACGTGAGGGAGAATAAATGACGAGGAAGCAGAGGGATGAAGGAGGAAAGGACAAATAAGAAAGACCGACCGCTCGGATATTAAAAGCATCGTTTATTTTTCAAGTTTATTCCTTTTCATATTATAATATGAATATAATAACGATTCTTATCACGCTTTGTCGTAAGTACATCTCATCATTGGAACATCGAGAACGACGAGATCGCGTGGTAACCATCGGAGCGAGCTCTCGATCGGCATCCGCGTTTTCTCGCGCTTTTTCTGGGCCCGCGCTAAATTCCAAACACGTGACGAACGTGAATCTCCAACGAGTCTCGATCGAGATCATACGCCCCGGATTATACGCTGATCTCTTCCGCCTCGATATATGCACTCCACCTCCCTCGTGAGATCGACAATCGACGATCAATCGGTCGAATCACATTTGCGTTCCCTACCCATATATAAATTCCTTAAGTTAGTCTCTCTCTCGTTCATCGGATTAGGAAGTAGACAAACGTGTGCGGAGCGCGTCTCGACTGAGAATGATTTAAACGATCTAGATACAACCGGGAGATTCCGACGGTATTTTCGGAAAAAGACGAACGCAGCCCTCATAAATGTTACTTCGCGATTACTCTCGATTTATTTTCCCCTTAACGACTAAACACCCGAATGAAGATTCAAATAACACACGAAGAAATTTGAAGCATGCAAATACGAACGTGCGCGTATGTGCGTGGATGAGTCATGTAGGTACCTGCGCAGTAAAAAATTTTGTGTTAAACACTCCATTGTCCATTGAAACTTTGTGTTGTTCTAACACAGGGAATATATTGAAAAATATACAAATACGTATTAATTTAACATTATATTTGTATACTTTTTAACACAAGTTTCCCCCATGTTAAAGTAACACAAAATTTCATTGGACCATTTTTAACACAAAATTAGTTATTGTGTGTGTGTGTGTGTGTGTGTGTGTGTGTACGTGTGTCTGTTTATGTAAAGTGTGTAAAGCTAAATAAAATAATCGATTCGAGTAGAATACACGATAAAACGGGAGGTAAAAAGCTTATTCGCCGAAATACGCTATTGTAACTATCATCGATTGTTTATCGCAGATTGATATATTCGCAAGTCGCGCGTAGCGGGTACATAAGGTCGTCCTAAAACAGATCCGGAAGCCCTGAAAACACAACAAGTGGAAGGAAGGAGGAAGGAGTCGTGGGGAAAGGGAAGTAAGGAAGTATGGAAGTATGGAGATTTGGGGGAATGTCGTCTAAACAGGTACGCTAAATAAGTTCGTTGACTAGATTATGCGAAGCGTTCGTTACGATGTATAGTGTGTAGTCTGCCCTCAGCTCGACCCTTAGGCCTTTGGTAACGAAAGATATAACGCGGTGTATGCGCTCAGGGTGTCCTATAACTACCGAAATACTTCTCGAACCGCGCGATTTTTGCAGGAGGGACCACTCTAACAAAATTGTTTTGCAGTTATAACGAAAATTACCTAAATATGAGAAATTAGCTAAGATGAATAAACGACTGGCGAACATTTCAATGTCACATACGCGTTGTACCTAATTAATATAGATGATAGAGACAGATTTTTTGTCTGAACTATTCGTCTAATTTAACAAGAAAGTTTTTCTATGGACCCAATTCCGATTAAAACCGGTCCACACTTCTTATTAAAAATTAGTAACAGAAAATTTTCCCGCACATATTGCTAGAATGCTGTTGTTGTAAATTATACGTACCACAAACAATTTTCCAGCGGATATAGAAAATAGCGATACATTTTATCTGTGACATTTTTATAATTCCAGCTGGACCAGCAAAACACTTTCCTAAGTGATCTCTCCTCGCCTCGGCAAGAACTATTTCTTCGCGAGAAACTACAGTTTTGTCACTTCTCTCTCCACTATGCCTAAAATTTGCCTAGAGAGCACATTGTACTCAGATTTCGATTTCAAGAAGTGACTATTGGGAAGCCACAACTAACTCGATGGTTGCGATAGTTTCGGGACATCCTGTATATGTATGTAATTTGTGTGCGTTTACGTGTATATATGCAGACACGCCCCGAGTAGTGCTTCATAATGAGACGGGACTTTTCATTGTCGTGCCGGAAGGATCGTCGAGGCGCGTATCATAGAATGAGGATGAGATAATCATGGGGGTGATTGGCGGGTAAAAGACTCGAAAAAGACGAAGTGCGCAACGTGGCGTGTAACCAGTACAATATAGAATAATTAGAAAAGCGAAAAATAGATCAGCGATACCATCCTCTGTTGCTATCTTTTTCTCCGGCTTTCTCTCTCTCTCTCTCTCTCTCTCTCTCTCTCTCTCTCTCTTCGTTATCTGTCTCTTTCTCGCGCGCGCTCACACACTCGCATACCGGCGCAAAATCCATAAAATTGCAGCTAGGAATTAATATTTATACACGCCTCCTATCCTCCCGTGGGGCCGAGTGCATTTGCACAACGACGAAACTGCGACTACACCTGCGCTGCGATCACCCCGGAATTGAAATTGACTTCGCGGAGAAATTCCGCCTTGTACTCGCATACATTTTCATGTACGTAATTAACCCATTAGACACTACCGTGGCCATACGACCGCGCTGAACGACCGTAAATTCCACTCCAGAAAACCCCTGACCTCTTCGGCTTTATCGAGCGATAACATCGGAATGATGCGCTTGAAATTCCAGCAACGTATGTTCTGAACGTTCACCGCGGCTCCTTTTCCCGTATCTTCCGTTTCGTGAAAAAAAAAAAAAAAGATCGAAGAATCTATTTAAGGCGGTTCATGAAAGAAAGATCTTCTTTTATCATCGAACGCAGTTCGCGAGAAATAATGCGCAGATGCAGTCAGCGGCAGAAAAGCTGCAAAACTTCTTCCAATAAGTTTCGCAACTTATCCGTGTCCTATAGAAGAATGTTCTCTTTTTTTCCTTCGTGTTACTCACGGGAAGGATAAATTCTGCTATCGGATGCCGGATGCCGTTCTGCAATTGATCGTAAAATAAAAGTGTCGCGAGTCTTTCCGCCGCTGACTGTACTGCGCTGTAACGCGGCCGACATTCTCAATTGTTCCGTGTGTCTGAGACAGCTCGATAGATCTTTTCAGTCACTTGACAACCGCCAGGCGATATAAAGTTTAATATAAAGAAAGGAGCGCGAGAATACGCGCGCGTGCACACGCATGCTGGACAGAAAATGTCACGACACCGGGTCGATTACACAACCGCATTGAGAAGGCAATGATAAAGCCGCCATTGGTGTAACACCAGGGCGGTATCCGTTCCACACGCGAAGTTAAGAAAGTTAGTTAATTTATTGCCATACAAGGTGATTCTAAAGTGTCCAGCCATAGTTTGCCCGGTGTACGTTCCACTGATCGTGTACTTATTAAAAAAAATAAACCTACCTGGAAGAAATAAACATACGCGGAAAAAAATTAGTCTTAAATTAAGAATAGATATTCTCATATATAATATTATAATCTTCTTAAGAGATTTTTAGTCTTGATTTCATTGAATTTGTATTGATGCAAGTATTACTTACACTCAATTCAAGACTGAAAATCTTCAAGAATATTATAATATTCTTGTTTATATAGGAAAATATCTATCTATTGATTTAAGACTATCTTTTTCTGTGTAGATTTGTAAATAAATCGCTTTGAAATTATTAACTTTATTATTAATTATTAACAGTTGTACGTTAGAAAGAAAGATCGAGTGAAATGTAAACATTATTTGACATCGTTTGAAATGCGATTGACGCGTGATATATATATGTAGTAAGATAATGATAAAATACAACTTCAGATGCTTGTAACTGTAAGAAAAATAATATTTGCAGTTTTATGTTTATCTAATGTTCTTCTGTTGTGATATAATTTGCAGAAAAACGTAAATAAGTAACTTGGCTGGGGAGCACTTTAGGGACACTCTGTACATTATCGGTATTATCTAATCGCAGAGCCGAGTGCGAAATGTCGCTGTAAAAATGCACACGTTGCAATCTGGACGATTTCCAGTTGAAAAGGCAACCGATTTATCTCTCCTCTCTCTCTCTCTCTCTCTCTCTCTCTCTCTCTCTCTCTCTCTCTCTCTTGCAGCGCAATTATTCGCTCGGCGACGGCAACGACGCAAAAATACTCATACAAAATAATCGCACGTTTCTCTCGCCGCGATCGACACATAAAACTGTGCGTTAGAACGAAGACTTTAAATAACGTCAGACCCTTCAAAAAGGAAACAATCGCGCGCGATATATGTTGTATACGTATGTATGCCACTTTACATAACCGCATGCGCGAATATATTGAATTGACGCAAAAGTTCCGCCGCGTATCCCTTATTAACGTAAAATAGCGGCTTTATCGGCATCCTCGCGAAAATATCGCGCTAAATTTATAAGAAAGAAATTAGCGCAAGAAGACAATTATATCGTTGGTCATTATTATCGTTGCAAAAAGAGCGAAAACAAAAATGAAAAATTTTCCTTTTCCAAAAATTGTTAATTGTTTGCTTTCTTTCAGAGATCAACCTTTAAATGGATTATTTCATCCGAAATGTATCGAATGCACATTGCGTGCCACTAAAATTCTGAATGAAGTTCTACAATTGTTTTGGAACAATTACAGATGCAACTTTATCGTAGAAAATTGAACTTTGAGCGGACATTTGGCAGAAACCCAGCCAGTATTTTAGTATCTATAAAAGAAACGCGGTGGAACGTTGGAATTAACTTAAAAATCAAGTCTAATGTAATTTCACGAGATCCGATCGCGCGTAATTTTCCACGGGATCTCTAGAGCTTGATTGTGTCCCACAAAATATCTAATTTGCTCCTAAACCTCTCTGTTTCACGTAATAATATCTAATAACTAACTAATCACACTGATGGACGAAACGACCGATAAGCATTCCCTTAAGGGAAGCGTCATCGCATTTTTGTTTAAATATCTATCTCCGTTACTGTCAGGATCTGTTAACTAATATATCCTATAAGAACACACGTTCCTTGCCGTCTTTGATATGCTCGAAACGCTGTCCTTCCTTTTAACACGAAATACTTTCAAAATTGATCAGCCCTCTCTCCCTCTCTCTCTCTCTCTCTCTCTCTCTCTCTCTCGCAGGACTAGATCATCTTAGAAAAGCAATTAGAGTTCGTGTCTAAATCGTACAACCAAAGAAGAAGCAGCAGCATTTTGCTCGACTCGAATGCCATCGAATTTGGAAAAAATCGACAGTCTTTTAACAATTTTCTCTTCTATGTGAAGAAGTATATCTAAAGATTATGTATACAGTATAGAGCAACATTAAATTCTTCAAGATTAGAGATTAGAGATTTCTGAAACGACTTGGAAGAATCACACGAAAAGGCGGTGTGAATCCGCGATATTTTTAATAATTATAGTATTTAAATAATTCTCGGAGATCTTCGTTTACTTTTCCGTCATTTCTTATTCGCAGTATTTGAATCTTTCATTTTCATAATTTTACTCTATATACTATCGCTTTCGTTATTAAATTTTCTTGGCACTTGCATGCCATTTATATTCTGGAATCATTTAAATTTTTTAAAATATCTGCATCCTTGAAATTTTTCAAATTTACATTTTTTTTTTATTTCAGCTATGGAAACTCTATGCATAACTATTTTCACGAAACACGAATAATGTATAAAAAATGATTAGAGATTTCATAATGAATAGAGATAAAGGGATCGAAACGTTATGCAAACTTCTTCGCTGATTGTACTTTTATACATATCATCGTCAGTAGCACAGAAATTCGGAGCAACCAGAAATATGTGAAATGTTCGCTATTGTACGTTTACGTTGGAGTAATTCAATACTCGATATAATTTTCCATTCGATGCGTGCTTCTTCCGATCTGTCGAGTTGACACACAAGTGTCATCGTTTTTCACTTATTTTACACCACATTTCACTTCATATATTTTAAGCCCATCGCAATTAAATAAAAAATCATCTTTTTCTCATCGACGAACATATCATCTGTCTGCATTTTTCTTTTATCTTTCGAATATTTCTTGATAGATAATTCTCCTTTTTCTTATTTTCTCTTTTCACGTCGTTTCCTCCCTCGAAAAGAAATCACCACATAGCTCCGCTAATGACCGATGTTAAATTCGAGATTTTCACGACGTGTAGGGAGAGGGAGAGGGATACAAAATGAAAGATATTCAGTCTATGTCGATCACATCCGCATTCTCTGCTGATCCTTTTCGCTGGCGTAGCTTCCGGCGGAGCAGGACTGTCTTAAGGATATTGGACGACCGTGGTGGACCCGCGACTTCCGGCCGCGGGAGATTCTGCTACGCTACTTTGTGCCTTTTCCTCTGCTCCCTCCGCGTCGTGCTCGCGCCGGGACTTCCTGATATACCGCCTTTCTCACAGTCCGCCGTCGGCACAGGTTTCAGTTCTCTGGAAAAGGATAAGGGTTGAAGGAGAGGATTCTTTTCTGTGCTCTTTCGCAAAATCGAAAAATGCGACGATGTTGACTATATTATGAAGATGATACAAAGCTTCTCCGAATTTATGCGAAAGCTCATCACTTCTTTCTCAAAGATACGATATGCTTCTTCTGTGTTAATGCATTTGGATATACTTTGAATATAGGTAGAATCTAGGAAGCGAAGGAAAATTACGAAAAACTCGAAAAAGTTTTCTTTCCTTTTTTCCGGAAAATATTGTCATAGATTTATTTATATATTTTATGCACCACATTTTGCAAATAACGACGTCGCGATTAAAAATCACTTTATTCTCACTGACAAATGTACCATCCATCTCCATCTTTCTTGAAATATTTAAGATGTTTTGTAATCAAGATCTTTTTCTTTTTATATAACTTTCTTCTGAAGATAGAAAGATTTATTTATCATACTTAATGTGAATTTAACGCGTTACGTCACTAACCTTCGAGCAATCGTACTTAGAAGTTCTTTTTCATGTAATTTATCTGCGATTTCCGCGACTTACAGAGAGCCCGTTGATTCTTAATTATTAATGACTATAATAATTTAAAACTGATAATTTTTGACTTATTCCCTCCGTTCGTTTTTCAGATGCGAAGATATCAGAGTATGAAATCACACATATTACAAGTGAAAAACACTCTCCTCTTTAATATGACAAAATAAAAAGTACAGTTTTCCCCGAAGCATGCTAGACTCGAGTCTCCCGTAACATTCGTACAGACGTCTTACATCTATAAGTGAAAGAGATCGATTAATTCCGATGGAAACAAAGACACGCGACACGCACACATACGTACGTACGTAGAACTTATTGATTATTGTATATGAATCACTCACCTAAAATTAAGCAGCTCTTCGTCGTCAGGCACTCTAGATATAAGATCGAGGAGCTCGTTGTTGGGCACGGAATGAGGCCTGAAGATCTTCCTAGAGAACTTATTGACGCCCCAGGCGAGGATCAGATATCGGACAGGAATGAAATAAAGCACGACTGCGCCCATGATCGCCAAAATCATCGCTAGGTAACTCAAATAAGGGATCGTGAAGTTGAAGAGATTCTTCACTTTCTCGCACAGACTGGCTATGTAACCGATGGAATTCTGAACGGTCTGCGTGACCTCTTGGATCGCCTGCAAACGCTCCTTCAAGCTTTTCTTCTCCTCCTAAAAAATCGTTCAGTTATTTTAACTTAGTGCAGTTTATTCTTAGGCTTTTATTTTAGCTAGACGAACGAAAACGATCGGCTGAACGATACAAAGATAGAAAGAGTATCTCGAGGCCGGCTCGGTGGATCTAAAATTTCCGACGGAATCAGTGAACTTCGATTTTTCACAAAGATTTTTCGCCTCCCTTTCGCCGGTTATATCGCGATTTATCAAACCTGTCGCATTCTTTGAGGGTGCTGCCGTCCTATTTACACATTCCGTGCGCGTATAGGTAAAATATTCTTATAATTATTGTAAGACACATGAGTCGGCAAATCAAATATAGCTCATAATTCGACAATGTGGATCGTCGGTACCCCATATTGTGTTTTTACACCGCTTACCTTATCTTTGTCGTCGTCATCATCGTCGTCGTCTCCCGGCGTCAGTGGACAATCGTCCGACCCGATCTCAGCGTGATCTTGAAACTGCGAAGTCGCGTAAATCAGAGGTGCTCCCGTCACCACAGCGACCTGTCCGAATATCCAATGATTGAATCCGCTCCTCTCGCCGCTAAGCTGACGAGTAGCAAAGAAATACGACATGCAGCATCGCCGATAAAGAAAGGAAGCGAACGTATCTTGCACTTGTAGTCGGGAAGAACGTCAAGTTGTACAGAAAGATATGAGTTTACGAAGAAATATCAAATTTCATTTACAAGAGAGGATTCAAAGAACGATTATTTACTAACCCTGTCATTCTGTTCGAGCTCAATCAAGCAATATTTATTTTCCAAGTACTTTCCAATTTTATGAATTTATTTCGATCCTCTATTTATGTATTATTTTATTATAAATGGATCTTTATACGAAAAAGAACATAAAATATCCGAGATAAATAATTATATATGATTATATATAATTATATAAAATTATATAAAATCATATATGAATTTTGCCCATAAATATGGTCATATGATCATATATGTCCATACGAAAAAAAAATGATGTTGTCATTTAATTAAATATCGGTATCATGTGCTGACAGAAGCACAAGTAACCCGAAGCATTTGATTGTATTTGTATATAATTTGTAAATAACAGTATTTTTTCGTTGTGGACATTTAGGATTATATATAGTCATATATGGGCAAATTTCATGTATGATCTTTTTTTTACCGGGGATGTATGCTTTGCTTTTCAAACGCATAAAAATATAAAGGCATCCACTTAGACTTGAGATACTAATAGATTTACCAGATATGGACAAAATAACAGGGTTAATGGTCATGCATAATTAATCTATTTTCAATCATTTATTTTTTTTAATATAAAAAATATTGAAAAACTTATTGGATGAGTGAAAAAGTTTTGGCAGTATTGCAATATAAAAATCAACCGATTTATTTATATTCAAAATAACCTTTTCCTTTAATTGAAGGATGTCAAATGTGTCTTATGTGAATTTTGCAAATCATCTTTTCGTTTGAGTAGATACAAAGCTTCTTTGTAAGCTTCATAAATACATTTTTACAATTGAAACATTCGAACTCTCTCGCAATGCACATGTTTCATTGAAAACGCCAGAAAAATAATTTTTCTCGTCACTCATTTCATTAAGATTATTACCGAAGTAAACTTCGCCTGTGTTTCGAAGGAAAGCCCGCCACAAATTTTTAGCCCGTTCCAATAAATGCAAATGCAACGTTTTCAAAGAAAATTATCCGACACATATAAGTCTGTAAGAAGCATACAGTGCATTTTTAGATGATAATATCATAGTCATTATCATTGTATATACACACTCATGACTGATAAGTCTGCGAAAGGCACTAGGGAGCGAAGAAAACAAGGACTAAAGAAGTAGAAATAGATTTTTAGTCGAAATATAGTAAGCGTTTCATAGCATAGCAGTTATTAAGTCGGAGAAATCCGCAGGACGTCGTGCTAGCGATAAATTAATTTTAATCCTTCGCTCTGACGGTCGCGAATGTTCCATCTGCGAATTGATTTTTCGATTTAATGTATTAGTAATTAATTAAGTTTGCGTGAGCGATAATCACCGTGGCAACGGCATACTGGCAATCAGGATACAGATTTAATATCGTACGTGAGAACGAGGGATTAAAACTCGAATAAATATACATAAAATTCGAAAATAAAGTAAACAAATAAGTTCGTGGTAATGACGTACCAGGTAATACTTGAGAAGAATCAACAACGCTATAGCCGGTATCATATACGGCTCGAAGTAGTAACATCCAAAGATAAAGACGACCAAGGCGAAGACGCTCCTCACTTTATTTTCCCATTCCCAGCAGCTCCTAACCGTAGGAAATAGCGGGAGAAAATATCGTAAAGATCGAAATCCCGACTTTACCGAAAGTTGATTTCACGCGGCAGAAATAAGAAGAAAAAGCAGAAGAAACTTACACGCATGGTCATGATTTTCGCTCTTGTTGGTAACGAAAATCGTCGACTAGAAAAATCTCATTCGGATATTGGATCCTCTTTGCATCGTTAATTTTTTACATGTCACATCGCGCGAATCTCGAAGGATAAGGTATCACATTTCCCGGTAATTAGTTCCTTCCTACTCGAGATAAAGTCGAGGTTAACTCACTGTATGTATTTTCCTATGTCGATGAATATGACGATAATAGCCTTGAGTCGGAGAACGTTTCGCAGAAAGACTTGTCTCTTGAACTTCACTTCCGGTTCCATGTACTTCTTCTCCTTCGGATTGAGCGTTCTCATGCATGCCCTGAATATATTCCACACGACCGTCATCTCCAACAGGATCTGAGGGCAGTTTCCTTTCGCGCGACCCCTCAGCTTCTTGTCCTTCAACGCGTACCATCTTTTCTCACCGTTGCGAATCTTCAGCAATGGTATCGCCACTTTCCCAAGAAACTCCACCTTGTGATCGCGATCCTCGTCGTACACCGTTACCTCCAGCACGGAATTGATGTCCTTCACATTGCTGTTTAAATAGCGAACCGTTATTTCCCGTCAGTTTTTCTGTTTTAGTGTTCAACGACACGATCCGATGGGTGATACTAAAAGGCACGTAAAATCGAAGAGTACTGGTTTAACTTACAAGGTGAAAATTTTCTGCCAATTCGGCGCGAGAGTTTTGTATTCCGTTTGCGTTTGTAGTCGAGCGTTCACGAGTTCGAGAACACAGAACGGGTCGCTCTTGCCGCCGAGATCAGCTGCCGCGAGACCTTGTGCGCGATACACCTGCAAAAAGACAAGTCGATTTCAAAGCGGACACTCATATCGAATGGATTCGACAGACATAAAAACGGATATATCTCGACGTTCCGAGCTTAAAAATTCATACTTTACTGAAGAAGAAAAAACGTATAAAAAGAACCAAATAAAATTTTAAGCTTGTTCGCACAAACAACAGAGAAAAAGGAACGGGGCAATTTTACTGAACGAGTTCGGGCGATCGGTTCGTCGCGTTCGATCTGGAAATCGAGTTCGTTTAAACTTTATACTTAGAGTAAAAGGTTTCTTTGGATTTAGTTTACGTGTTTGACTTGGGTTTGTTAATTATAAATAACATAATTTAATATCAAATATTATTTTGTTTGAATGAAAGTGTTATTTCACTCAAATGAACCACGTTGGAAAGGAAAACTGTATTACTTAGAGGAAATAATATTTAATTTTCAATTTTAAAAATGTTATTTGACATCAAGATATTTATTGTTTGAGAAATCAAACACTCTTGTTTGTTAAATCAAACGTTCATTTGTTTGCTTCGTTCCAAAAGACAAATTTGTTTCAATTAAAGAAATTTTATTAAATCTAAAGAAATCATGTTTTCCAGCGAAGAATTTTCTATAAACAATATGTAATTTTAAACTTTAACGTTTAGAAACAAGAATTGTAGGAAAGATAGTTTATATTATTAGAAAAAAGCAACACATATTTCAAAGTTTAGTAATATAATATAATCCTGAATGCAAATTCAGGCCAACCAAAAATAAATAAATATTGGAAAAAAGAATACAGTTGAGAGCATTTAAGAGAATTGTGAGCTAAGTTTAAAATTCCAGGTTTTTTATATCTTTCCCTGGTTTTCCTTGATATTTAAAATCTCTATGATTCTTTCCAATTTTCCAGATCTGTAGCAATCCCGATTTACACAGGTTCTGTCGGTTACTAACCAAGGAAAGATAGACTAGCCCATAAGTGCCTACTCGAGACTGTTTTAAGGATATATTACACATAAAAAATTTATATCTTCCTACAATAATTTAAATAGTATCGCTACAAAAGTCGCAAGTAGCTTCTTACTGGCCAAACTATCGTTCCTTAGTGAGTTCGTTTAATTTGAGTTGTTCCGATGGATCTCTCTTCCCGGTATAACATTTTAGCGCGTTACTGACCGATGTTAATCATTTCTAATTACCTTGACCGTCAAATGGCCGACGTCACGTATCCTCTGCAGAGTGTTCAAGATGGAATACCTCTGGACCAATTGCACGCGTTCCATAGGCATATCCTCGTGCGCAGCCAAATCGCTGATTGTCTCGTTGGCGGTGGTGCCGCTGATCGTCAACAACAGAAAGATATTGCCGGAACCGTCCTCGAGTTCGCGCCATAACCGATGCGTGGTCTCTCGCTCGAGGATCGCCAGGTCGATCACCGTCCTCCCCATCAGGTCGTCCTGATGACTCCTGTCCCGATCCCACACCGTCACCTCCAGTTCTTGTCCCAGATACGGGTCCTCATAGAGATGCAGGTCGAACTGCTCGAGCCAGACCGGATTCAAAGTCTTGTTAACGACTTTCGATTTGTACTTCTCCGTGCCGAGCCTGCAAATTGGGCTTGTAGGATTCGCGATTCCGTGTTCTCACGGCGCAATTTTCGCCTCGTGAACAATCGCGACTTGCTATTCCGAATTTCCCTCGAATCTCTTCCACTCGAAGAGCAGAATAATTACTTGAAACCGAAATTTCGCATGTGTCCCGGTTAATAATGGGAGAAGAAGGGATCGAAAAGAGGCTTCGTGCGAGAAATCACACGATAAGTACATGGAAAACAGATTTTATTAGTGCAGCACTTAAAGTTTAGCTGAAAATGTTTCGCCGCTGTAACTAAAACTTTAATCACCGTTGCTAAATGTATAGATGCCATACACCTAATATATAGGATGTTTCGCAAATAAATTATCACTCAGGGAAATATTTTGCTGGTCCAGCTAGAATTCTAAACATCACAGGTAAAATGTATCATTGTTTTTTGTACCTGCTAGAAAATTGTCTGTGGTACATTATAATTTACAGCATCAGTATTCTAGTAATACGTGCAAGAAAGTTTAGATTCTGTTGCTAATTTTTAATAAGAAATGTGACCGGCCTTAATCCGGATGAACTCCACAAAGAGATTTTCTTGCAAATTAGACAAATAGTTCAGATAAAAATTCTATCTCTGTCGCCTATATTGATTAGATACAACACACTTGTGACATTGAAGTGTTTGCCACAAACTTTACCAGTATGTTTGAGAGAGCATTCTGGACAAAAAATGTTATACAAACAATGGCTCAATTCAGCTCTGTTATCGAGATATAGGTCAAAGTATCGATACGTTTAATTATCATGTGTTAGGAGATTACACTCCTGTTTTGATTGAGATGAGCTGTTGAAGTAGTAGAGGTATTAACCTTCCTATGCTAGAGATGTAATAGCATTGCTCAATAAAACTTTTCTCGGTCGATAGATTGGAAAAAGTGGACTTGTGCCATGACCACTCCCACCGTTATCTGACCTATCCTCTTCAGATTGTTTTTATAGGGTTGTATAAAATCGAGGATGTATTTAAATGGAAAGTCTAATATACGTGAGCAATTGATAATAAGCATTAATAAAACTGTTGTTTATATTAGCAATGATTACCGATATTGCGTGGATCCGGTCAATGGAAGCACGTCTACTTGCGTGCATAGAGACATGAGGTGTTCATCTTGAACAATGCGTGTAAATATTAGGACAATATGCCAGTGTTACTTTCACACAATTTCAAATAAATAATTAAGCAAAAGTTAGCTTGAATGCTTTTGATTACTTGTGGTTTATATCAATACACCTTCCATGGATGGTAATACGTGCCCCATCGACGGCTCAATCAGAACAGAAATGTAATCTTTTAACGTGATAACTAGACATATTTCGGTCCACATCTCGATAACGAAGCTGAATTGACCCATTTGTTGATATAACAATTTTTATTCAGAGTAACCTCTTAGATATGTTAGCGAAGTTTGTTGATTTATTTACGGAACATCTTGTATATGTATACTACTGTAGTTAAACTTGTAGGTATCCATACGTTACAACGGAGATTTAGCTAATGTATGGTCACTTGCAAGCTTGGCTACAGTAGACATATGTTATATGGCATTTATACACCTAGCAACATTGATTACACTCTGGGAAGTGTTTTGCTGGTTCAGCTAGAATTTTAAATGTCACAGGTAAAACGTATCATTGTTTTTCGTTATGTTATGTGCTAGAAAATTGCCTATGACAAGATTAATTTACTGCAACATCATTCTAGCAATATGTGCAAGAAAATATATATCCTGTTACTAATTTTTGATAAGAAGTGTGACTTAATTTGAATGGGCTCCACAGAGAGACTTTCGTGCTAAATTAAACAAATAGTTCAGATAAAAATTCTGTCTCTGTCACCTATATACTGATTAACACATTTATAACATTGAAATATTTGCTAGTTATTTACTCAGCTAGCTTTCTCGTATTTAAATAATTTTCGTTACATTGCATCATTTTTTTGAGTGTAAAGTTTTCGTTACAGCAGCGAATTTTTAACTATAGCAACAGAACATTTTCAGCTATTATGATTAACTGAAGCAACAAAATCTTTTTTCTGTATTTCATCCTTGTAATAATGCATTTACCGAAACTTGACGTATGGATCCGACAAGCCATCTATGTCCATCGGCAACAAATTCTTCGCCTCTACGAGGACGATTGTCACCACCGAACTCCATATCTGCGATTTTAGCCGTCTATTTACGTCCGCCAATCGATTGGTCCTCTGGAAATACTAGAGAGCGGGAAAATGGGACGTTGAGTAAAATTATCGTCAGACTAATGCATTTATCTGTACACGCGTATTATACTCGCCCACGTGCGCGCGCGCGACGTACGCTTGTACGTACATTCATAAATATATTAGGGACAATATAAGCACGATTATGTGGAGAAGTAAACTCTTCATCCCGATCGTTCAGTTTTCCATATATCGAGTAAATGCTGTCAGATGTTGCATAATTTATGCAAAGTGGAAGATTAACCTCCCACCATCTTTCCGTATTTACATTCCAAGGTGAAGAGACGTTACTTATTCTACAACAGGCCTGGCCAAATCGTTCCGTAGGCCAATTCGACAAGTTACAATTTTCTACGAGCCATACAAAATAACAGATCTCTTAAAAATAAAAAATGAAATGTCACACGGGAAAAAAGTTTGATTAAATTTACTAGATAGTAAACGAGCTAAACGTATTTTGATAAACGAGCTAAACGTAGGTTTTGGTTGTAGGAAACAGAATTTCTGATCCTTATGATTTAAATTCAGTTTTTATAATCAGAAATTCTGTTTCCTTCAACCAAAACGCATTTGATTCGTTCACTGTCGGATAAATTCAACCAAACTTTTTTCTCTTGCTGATGAACAAAAGTTCATTTTGTTTCTCCGCTTTTGACTTTTCAGCCATTTTTATTTTACATATCCGCGTTTTTATAAGTTGCTTATTTTTCCTTGATGCGATAGCAAAAAATCATCTGACGAATCGCAAGAAGTAAGAATGAGTTGGCCAGGCTTGTTCCGGGTAATAACCGGTTTGAGCGAAGAATATTTCTCGCGATATCAGCCGCGATAAATGCCACGCAACTCAGTGGAAAAGAAAGAAACGGTATATCCACATGCACGACTACCCTATGAATATCCTCCATCTTTTCTTTGACGTTGCCCTTCAACTTGTCCAAGAGATCGCTATTGTGGCGTTTGGCCTCCTTTGTTTCTTCGGTGGGGTCGTTCGACACGTCGATCGACACGTCTTCCTCCCGATATTCCACGCGAAACGTAGGAACAACCTTTTGCTTTTTCGATTGCGCAATTGAGCTCGCCAGATCGAATCGATTCGGAGAACCGGTTCCTCGCGGTTCCCCCGGATGTTCGGTCGTGTCGACTCGCGGCTCTTCCTCCTCCTCGATCGTCTCGCAATTATGCACGGTCTTCGACGCGACGTCCAGCTCGTCGTCTCGTTGACAATGCGTCGCAAGAGTGTAACTGGAGGTGGGTTTGCGATGATCGGTGATCCACGTGTCGATCGGTTGCAGCCACGGATGTCTCTCTACGTTCTCCTCCCAGACCTTACCCGAGAATCGCTCGACGCGATCCTCCACTATCTTCTCCATCAATTCGATCTTACGCTCGAAGAAGCCCTTCAGCGAATCCTTCGCCTTCCTCTTCTGCATCCTGAACCCTCCATCAACGGGCGGCTCTTCGGCTCGCGAAGGTCCTTCCTTGAACGATGCTCGGTCCAATTTCGATTTTTCGCTCTCGGAAGTGCCTTTTTCCCTTGTTGCGGAAACCGGTCCCTCGGTCGTCCCGGTCTTCGCCGATTTTTCCATCGTGTTCTTCGCGGTGAAGCTCGGTTCTTCCGAATCTTCCTCGTTCCGTATCTTTTCGTCAGAATCGCTGTCGGTCTCGTCGACGTTCCGCGCGAATCGTTTCTTCGACGCGTCACTCGCCGGTGTCGTGACAGGGTGTCTTCTTTGCCGATTCACGTGAGGTTTCCTCAGCAGTTTTCTTGTAGGCGTGTCGACACCAGTGTCAGACGTTACTTCGATTTTCGAGACATCGTCGACCGGGTCTTCTTTCCTCAACGCGGCGTCCATGTCGGACGCGTTGTCCGGTTCGCGCGCGGTGCGCGGCTCGGACGCGAAGTCTGTTTCCGATATAGTATTCATCGTTCACACATGGCAATCATTACCTGGGAACCGCCGAATTGTTCTTATCAGACGTGATATCGATGTCGTGTCGATCTTAGCGAGCATCCTTTCCTTACCGAAAATGACGCCGAGTCATTGAACGTACCGCTGTCAGCTTAAGATCAACGAAGCTGGTGACGCGTACCGAGGAAAATTCGTTAATTTCGCTACAAATCCCAGCCATTTTCGGCGTCAACCATATCTGTTGCCCTAGCAACAGCAAAGTAGCAGCAATATGCACACAAGGTCACTATCAGTATTTCAAGTATTCGAAGAAAATATTATTTAACAGAAGAAATGACTCTGCCGGTTACAATGATTTTAGCTGCAAATCTAGCAATCGTAGTCTCACATTACGTCAAACATTTTCCTCTCGGTGCAGTTTTCCGTCGTTTTTCCACTGTTACAAAGTAGTATTTGATAAAAGGAACGATGACTTTGCCGATTAGAATTACTTCAGCTGCAAATATAGCAAGTAATTTCGCGTAACACTCCGAACACTTTCGTCTCGGTGCAGTTTTCCGTCGTTACATCATCAATCTACGCTGTTGAGTCAGCAGGAAGGAACACGAACGAATAACTCTATCGCGCGATACACTATGCCGACATTGGCGTGTACGGCAATTATCAGCGCGTCTTTTATTGAGAGCGACGGTGAGCCAATTACTAACGCGCAACCCATTTCGAAGTTGTCGGTATCGTCGCATCGTATAGGTGCCTCGCTGATAAGCACGTTGCGATTATCATGCTTACACGTGTGTAACGACAAACAGTCGTACCGTGCGTCAAGCGCGCTTCGTCGGCAACTGGTGGCAAGTCGTGCTCTCAAGTCCGGCCAACTGCGCTTTCTTTCCCTCTCTATTCGCAGCGGTAAACTATTCGTACAAGGATGTGTTCCGATAAACACTGAGACACTGTGTATATACGATGATGTAACCGCATGTGCGATATACTCTGGTCCTCATTGTGGAAATATCGCGCGACGCAGTGCGAAATTTGCGCTACCTGGGAGAAATATTTCTCACCGACTGAATAATGATGTTCACGTAGAGAAGGTCTGGAGAATGAAGGGCAAAAGTAAGTAGCTATTCCTTGCAATATGAGAGACAAGAATGTTGTTAATATATTTCTGTGAAGTTAGCATCTCGAAATATGAATTTTCATCGAGGTCACGCGGCGTTCTTTTGTCCATATTTGTCCAAATTTCTTCAATTTTTGTTCGTCCACCAACTGACAGAACTTACACGAAATTTCCACCGAAATTAGTTCCCTCGGAAAATTTTTAACGTGCGTTAAAACTTTATGATACTTCGAGAAAAACGGGTGAAGAAAGAAAGGTCTTAGAGTTACGAAATTTTCTTGCACTGCAACTAGAATTTAATGTAATTTAGTGAAGAGCCGAATCAACAGTACCTGACGTAGGAATTTAGAGCACAAAATTTAATTAACAGATTTTATTTAATTCGGTTCGAGTTGTGTTGATGAGTCCCTTTTTACAGTGTAGAATCGCTATCTTAAATTGGAAACCTTTCAGAGGTAAGTGCCTTAGGAGATTTCCGCTTTCCTCCGTCTGCTGACACCGGACGCTTTATGGGAAATTTAAGACAATTAGTCATTTCAGCATGTTGGCTGATAAGAAATCTGATATCATTGACATTTTTAAACGTTTCTCGAAACACTCCAAGAGTCAGATTAAATAAATCCCTATTTTGAAAATTTTTCTTCGCTGTTCAACAATAAATGTCTTTCGTCTTCAATTTATTGTAAATTTTTCTTCATTTTCCGTTATTATTATTTTCCAAAAACGGAATATTTTGTATATCCGTTTGCACGATAATAATAACTTTCCCTCGGTAAAATTGATCATCAGCATTGCGATCAATTGTCGCATCGTAAACCCTTCGAAGTAGAGCCCACCTGGGATTAAATATAAAGGCGGCGCACGCGTGCATGCATTTGCAAGATCGTGTTGCAAGGCCTAATAAATCAAACGGCGAGTCAACGAAGCGTCGAACAAACGAGCCAACACGAGCCGTGCGTCTGCGACCAGTCGCCGTATCGCGACAAGCAGGCGAGACCGTAAATTGATATTAATTCGCGAATTGGATTTAACGCTGCGGAGCGGTGTAGCGCGGCCGGGGACCTCACTTGATAGTTATTCCTCCGTGGAACGGCGGAATGGCGTTTAATAATAGTTAATACGTAAATGGAGCTCCGCGATAAGGGCCAATACGGGCCAGGCCTTGCACTCCACTTTCAACGACAGGCAACGACGACAAGTCGATACCGTCGTCGTCGTCGTCGTAATATGGACGCGGACGCATACTTCCCTCGTACAGCCCAGTTTCCCGATTCTTCATAAGCGCTATAAATACACGCACGGCAACACAACTATCCATCCATCGAGATACTGAGTGAGCGATCAGCGCGTCGCGATCGTTCGTCACTCTGCTATCCTTGCCGTGCTTAATCCGCCGTAAGACCGCGTAAGGCTGCCGTAAGATGCACGGGTCGCGCTATTTTACTTTTACCCGTCCCTTTTTTGCAAAACCTCGCCTCGCATCGAGAAGAAGATAATGGCGGTGCGTACCTGCTCTTTCTCCTGCTGATTCCTCGGCCAAAGCGTGGCCGTCAGATAGATCTCGCCCAAATGTTGCTTCGGCCTGCCCGGGTCCTTGAGTTCTAACGTTATGTCCTGGGGATGGCCAAGGTCCAGCTGCGTCAGGTCCAGCTGAGCAGCTCCCATGAAGTCATCCTGCAGGCCCCAGTCGTAGTCGAAAACCTGTCGGCGTACATGAAGCCTTCTGATGGTCGTCGGAATGCTCTCTCGCGAATTATTTCCACGATACGAGACTTTTCATCACATATCTGTGCCGCGATAATTAATTCATACCTATCACCGAAATAAACATATCGTCTGTACAAGCGTCACTTTTTGTACAAATATCGTGAGCGGAATATTCTTGCACGGTGCATCACAGATGCGAGCCGCCGCATGACGTTTCTCTTTCATGTTAACCAATTAATTAATCGGCATTATTTGCGCGTATAAATTAATTTATATTGCTAATTTATTCGTTTAATCTTGACAATTCAACCCAACATGAAATATATTACGAAACGTCAAACTGCTTGCCATTAAACAAGTTGTTAGGATTATTCGTTTCGTTAATCTAATTAATGTCTACCATTAATTAATTCATGTGAAGTCATGACAAATATGTTGTGCGTGTGTGCCGTGCGTGCGTGCGTGCGTGAGTAACATAAAATGGGTTTATCGATCGATTTGTTACGTGTGGTACTCTTTACCGTGGTATGCGAGAATTCGCAAGACACGAAGCCAGCGGGAACCTCTGAAAGAGACGCCTCGCTTCATCATGTAAAAATATTCTGCTCGCGATATTTTTGCGAAAAATAGTATTATAATATTTGCACACACGATATATTGATTTAAGGAATAAGTGAGATGTACGTATTACACATGCCATATGTGCGTGACTTTTATACTAATGCGGGAAATGGAGCGGAAGTACCTTGATAGTAAGTGGCTGAAAGGGATCTTCTATAGGCAGGGTCACGCTCTCGTCCCACACCGGATTTAAGTCACGATGAACAGTTCGCGATTTGTGCAGCAGTCGTCCTGAACATTTTACCTTCACGTAAGGATCGCTCGCGCCTGAAACGACAAAACACTCGTTCTTGAAACATCCACATCGCAATGATTCATGAGTATCGACAGGCATCGCATCATTTTATCGTTAAAGTGGGTGCGAGCTCTTCGGTTATATTTAATCGACGCTGACTTTTAGCGTCTCAAAAGAACATTAAAATCACACTTTGGTTTTTAATTAAAATTCTATTCTAATTAAAATTCTATTCTATTCTATTAATTCAGATTCTATCAGAATCTTCAGCCCGTTGCTAAAGCTGATTATGGTTACTCGTTGCTGATTGTTCGCTGTATATAAGAACTGACTATACCTTACCCAAGTATAGTTAATGTGATGCAATAAAATGATCAATGCTGGCAACACTGATTTGAGATTAAAAACACAAATTTTACTGGAAGAATTCAGGCAATTAGATACTGATATAATATGACCTTAAGATCAGGTTCGATTCGAATTGTTTCGATGGATGTTTTTATAATGTATATACAAAGAAAAAGATTTCTTTAGATTTGATAAAACTTCTATAATTAATCATTAATAATTGAAAAAATTTGTCTTTGGAATAGAGCAAACAAACGAAAATTGATTTAACAAACAGAATTGTTTGGTTTCTCAAACAATAAATATCTTTACGTCAAAAACATATTTCTTTGGTATTTTTACCCAAACATTACAATAATTGTCATAAGTAATAAACTATTTGAAAGAAATAACACTATGTCAAGAAAATATTAAAAGAAATTCCTTTATATTTCAGTGGAACAATATTTAACGCATAATGAAATAAATTTTTTTATTGAAAACGAAATATTATGTTTCCTCTAAATATACTGTTTTTACTATGAAACAACATAGTTTACTCTAATGAAACAACATTTTCATTTAAACAAAATGATATTTGATATCACATTATGTTGTTTATATTAAACAAAATCCGAGTCAAACAAATACGTATATTAAATCCAAAGCAAGCTTTTTCTCCGTTTGAAGTGTCGTTACGCTTGAAAGGACGTAAATGAGCGAAAGAAGCTCTTGTCCATAACGACAAGTACAATATACGTATGACATACAGTAATAATAAAATTTTCGGACTGTTGCAGTTCTCTCTTACCGCATCTGTCCATTGCAACGAGATTCGCGCCTCTCCTTATGTGCAAGCGAAGCTGGAAGAAAGCGTGTTGCCGCAGCGCCATTTCTCTCCTCCGCACCACCTCGTCCTGACGGAACTCCCCACCATCTTGGCTCACAGAGCCTCGGGGTCCGTCGCTGGACCCTTCCTTCTGGCTCTGAAAGCTCAGGGATCCTTTGGAGAATCCCTCGCCGCATTTTCCGGCGCTGTCCTCTTGCACGACCATGACCTTCTCTCTGCCGCCGCGCGCCAGCGGAGATTCTGCGCATTTGAAATGTTTCGCGATATATAACATGAAAGACTGAAGACCTATTAGCAGCGTAAACGCTCACAATCTTCTGATTACCTCTATCTCGATACAGAGCCTCGAACGGATATAAAATAATTTCATAACCAAAGTAACCATTTTTTAAAGCTTTCGTGAACAATGAGCAAACAATTACCGAAGTTGAATGTTGACAAATTTGAAACCGACATATTCTTTTTCAGCGTTTCGAAAGCTTTCAATTGGTATCGGTCTCAACTGTGCCCAATTATATTTAATAGACAATAAAGAGGCAGAAAAATCACCATTTTGAAAGTCATTCTTTCTACCAGGGATTACACAATAAGTATTTTATTCATTTTGATTTTATTTACTGATTACATTACAATTACCGTCCATAGTACAGTGTTATTGGTTCAACAAAATTTGTACTCTTTGATTGCGTATCAGCAAAGCCACTCGCTGAAATTCGAAATCTGGGAATTTGTGTGAAATGTGGAAACTCTCATAAACCGAATAACCAAAAAACTGACTTGCGGAAAGAATTGAATAACGGAAAAACCTGACGCGCGCTGCTGGAGCAAGATATGAAATACTTTTCGGTACATATTTGCTCGTTTCACTCAGAATAGAGCGAGTCACCGGAGCAAAAAGCGAAAGAAAGTCGCTCACCCGAGTGATTGAGGCAGTGCCTGGCCGGACTCTGAGTGGCGGAGGAGCTTCTGCTGTGCTCCGAAGAGTAATCGGCGGCATAGTCGGACTCGACGCCGGGATTCTTGAGCTGGGCCACGTCCTGCGACTGCACGCTGCCGGCATCCTTGGATTTTTTCCGCTCCTTGCTCCGGCTGCGCGCCCAGCGACTCTTGAGAGTCGCGAAGAAGGTGTGGGTACGCTGCGCCACCGACGTAGCGTGATAACGATGCCGATGATGGTGCACGACGCTGCCGGGCTCGCTCGGGCCACCGCCGCGCCTCGATGGCGAACTGTTGGCGATCTCACTGTCGCGGAGCTCCGTGGCGCTTTTCGAGAGCTGACGGCTCCCGTTCAGATTCAGTCTAGATCTCTCTTGGACGCGGGAGTTATCTGCAAGGGCGCAAAGCAGAAGATCGAATTACTCGTCACGAGCATCGGAGAATGCGCGATGTAGGCACACAGCTTCCCGTGCGCGAAACTCGAGGACAATGAAAAGCGGGAAATACGGGTATCAAGTCTGTCGGAGACAAAGAAAACTACCTCGCAAAGCGCGAAATTCTCTCAATTATCGATGCACAATTGAAGCTTTCACTTGTCATCACAGGTGAATGTAAGGCCGAAGCAATGCCAACCGAATCGTGAAGCCTTCGTGTGCCAACATGTAATTGGCTTTGAGAGTTTTGTCATTCTATTCCACACATGCCAAGTCAGCCGGCGACAAAACTGTGCTAAATTCGAGTAAAATTGGAGACTACAATCGACTGTTGGTGAGTGGATTCTTTTCTAAATTAATTTGACGGTAATTGAATGAGCGAATTGCTAACGCGTCGCACAAAAACCCGCGCGCGAAAAGGGTCGATTTAGAGAGTGGCACTGTGTTTATCTTTAAAATACACAATAGTAAGTTACAAAAGTGCTCTTTGAAAAATGATAACATGCGCGACACTTTAGAGAATGAAAAAAGTCACTGGAAAGCGCACGGCGGGAGTAGAAGCCGTATGGAGAAGCTCGGCGGTATATCGCATAGACTTTACGACATCCCATCCCCGGGGATGTTCTCGTAATATGAGGATTGCATTCAGGCGACCATTCATTTTACTGAAAGGTGAATCCGACCACCCATCGGTCGTTAGCTATTACGGGCACGAAGGAGAGAAGATGAAAAAAACTTGATCCGCGTGGGAGCTGTCTGCAGATGCAGAAGATCAGGCGTAATACACGCGTCTCCGACATCGTTAGTTCCTCCGAGCTGCAAATCGACGGGTTAAGGTCGATAGTAATAATAGTTGCTCACGCCGAACGAACGATGTCGACACGATCGATGATATTCATAAATATAGTTAAATTACATTAAAACCTAAAGAGAAATGTTCTTTTAATTAACGACGATTTCATCAGTTGACAAGATAAATAGTCTTACGCACTCGGACAATTGCTTAAAAGTTACGCAGACCCCAACGATTACTTAAAAGGCGGGAAGTGACGGATAATGATGGCGGATATTTTGAATGCAGCATTTATCATTTTGTTACTGCTGATTAATCGTTTAAATTAAAAATAAATATTTCTTTGTTTTAACTAATTTAATTCCATTTAATGTTATTACTTAATCCATTGACATTTATACGTTAACATGTGAGGATTGAAAGTAAATAAAATTAGAATCACAAGACTATAGTCAGAACGAAAGTAATTTAACTGCACAGACACACCTTGATGACACAGTAATTTGATTTCGTGTGCACGATCAACTCATACAGCTTACACGCCCATTCTCAATAAGCTTTAATCGGGACGAATGTCGTAATACATAACGGACACGTGTTTTACAATCATTCAGTTTACACATGTCTGATTCCCCGCAGTCACTTGTTTGTCCACGTTGATTTTCGAGCTGTCTTAAATTGATATTGATGGTTCATTTTTTTTGCGAAATAGAGAGTTTGTGGCGAGAGTTACGTCATATGGAAAATTCCCCTCTTCAATTTTCGAAATAAAATTTATCGGGTTTTTTTTTAATTGAATGAAACTTGCGAAAGAGAGTTTGTCAGGTTTTCAGCTATATTTTTTATTTTATTAATAGTCACACGAAACGGCACATATATGTGCTTCATTCCATAAAAATATCTGCCATCGTTATTCAATACCTCTTGCCATATTCCAGATAATTGTTCGATTCTGAGTTTGTAAAACGACTCATCTTTTAAGCCGATAAAATCGTGGATAAGTTCTGATTGAACTTTTACAAGCCTCCAATGATATCATTTTAAAATCACTTTCTCCGATTGTCCTTTGATTATAGTGAAATCTATCGACTTTAATTTCCCTGTTCTTGTGTAAGAAATAAATAGAGAACGAATACTCTCTCTCTCTCTCTCTCTCTCTCTCTCTCTCTCTCCCCCGACGGCAAAATTGGGTTAATGGATAATTACTCTCATGGCGTAATCCACAAATGTATCCTATGATCAAAGAAGGTGGAAAATGGATGTAAAACATGAATACTCGTTTCAAACAATAATGAATTCTTTCCACTCTACAAAATGCACAAGTCGAGAAAACACAGAGTTAATTATGTTTCCATGAAAACACATTATTTATGAGAGAAAAGAACAAATATTATTTTAAATAATAGTTTATTTATTTTTTAAGTACATTTAGCAGACATGCGGAAAAAAGAAGCACGTAGTCCTACAGCTAAAAATTAGCTGTCCATATAATTTAACCGAAATTTAATCAAATAAATTCTGTTCATCCCTATACTCAGTTTTTAACTCCCACAGCTAAAAACTAGATTTTGTAACTAAATTTCAATCGTATTATACGCACAGTTTTCCTTTTTTCCGCGCATCGTGTGCTCGGTAACCACCGGATTAATTTGCAACGATGTATCTTTAGAAGCAAGTTTTGAATTTAAAATTTTGCGAGATTTGACTGTATATTCCGAGATAGGTGGATGAGATGAGAACTTTTTTCGTCACCTAAACGTTATATGGAATACTAAAAATGTTTATAACATTTTACGATTGCATTTTTGTGCCACGAAAAGAGATAACAAAAGTAATTTTCGATCGACAAGAAAACATTGAACGTCATTCGGAGTTATTCGTTGCCGATATTGGTTGATATCCCAATGCGCTGAATATTTCATACGAAATTTTTCCCTCTGACAGACGGAGAGAACTTGACGTTAACTTTCTTGCTCTTTTTGCGCTTTTCTCGAGCTATTTCAGTAATTCGATATTTTAAAATTCCGCCATATATCAAAAGTGAACAAGCGACAACATTGGATCCTTTTACGAAGGTACTTAACCTTTCAATGCTTGCGACGGCAAAAATCGTTATTATGAACAATCTTATACCGTGATAAATAGCGAAACGTAGCCACGCTCGTAATTATCTATCCTCGCCATTCATATAATTATTTGAGTAATATTCGTCTCACAGGGGAATTATTTTGCAATCGGATTTACATTTCATGTTTAATCATTCACAGTAAATCCTCATCACAAATAACACGAGATACAGTAATAATAAAGTGGAATAAAATAATACGAATGAAACAAGATGCACACTGTGTCTGATATCAATTCAACTGTGATGTGCCGAAAATGGAAGGGGAGGAACGAGAGGACGGATTTACTTCGACACACAGATCGCGCGATTATTTTCGACCCTGGACCGAGTTGAAAGCACATCTGTGTAACGGTGGAACCCGGTGAACTAGGACTATGAATGAACATTGGAGAAATACACGCGCTTCTAGAAGAATGACAAGGGAAGTACATTATATGTACTTCATATAGCCATGTAAGCATATCGATCTGTCTGTATTATTAAGCATAGTAATATGCGTTCGCTTATACGTCTTTTAAAAGGCTTAGCGTGCTACTTATCGTATCCCAGAAATGACGGCGTGTTGAGCAATCGATATAAATTTCCGACTCGTGTAATAAACTCGGTATTTATTTATTGCTGGATGAACCTTTCCTCTGTACCGAAAAAATACACGCTGTAACGATCACGTAAAAAACGAGTTACCTTTGTTATTTTAACTTCCCACGAATAAATTATTGTATCAACCAGAGAACGATCTGTTGGTCGATGAGAACAGAACAACACCTCGACGCAAACCAAACAGTATACGGTGTGTCCTGTAACTCGCAATTTTTATTTTGACTACGGTAAATCGATTTTTCAGAGAGTGCTGCTTTTTAATCTTTTTCTTCACTTTTAACACAATATACTTGTGAAGAATGCTTTGTGAAGAAGGTTTTGTGACCCACTTACCTTCTGGAAAGATTTATTCCGCGAAAAATCCTTCACTTATTTCTGGTATAAATAGGAAATGGTTAATGCAGCAGCATTTTTGCCGAGAAAGAATCGAGTGAATTTTTCGGAGAACTCTCTCATCGTTAAAATAAAATTATTGCAAGTTTCGCAAAGGGACACCCTGTATACACGTGTGACAAATCCAAATATGCAGTAGCACGCAGTGCGAAAATTACGCGCGAGGTACGACGTCCGGAAGTGCAGCGGACAAATGCGTTTGACGTTTATTGGATTTTATCTCCCTTTCGCCGGAAATCATCTTAACACGCTAATGCATCGCGGAAATCAATCCGATATTCTCACTCATCTACCCAGGATGTCGTATCTGCCGGCACATAGATACAGAGAAGATCCCAGACGGCCGTATTATCGTTAACATTAAGTAGCATTGAAAAAATACTAATAACAATAATAATGATGATGATGATGTTATTATTGATAATGATAATGTTAATGGTGATTATAATGCTGATGTTGATGATATAATTATGATAAAAATGACGATGACGATGATGATAAAATAGCTATTACTAATTTTGCAATGTGGATGTTATATTTTATACAGTTTATAATTTATATCAGACATTCGTAGGAGGGAGGGAGAGAGAGAGAGAGAGAGGCCATGATTTTAATCGTGCAATTTACGTGTACGAAGCCTAATTTTCATTTCATGTCTTTTTCCACTACTAACTGTACCAATGTCTTTAATGTCAGCCTATAGAGTCTATTAAACTCGCGTCGTTTTTACCGAAGTTTAAAGGGGAAAAATTCCGTTAAAACGGAATTTATTCGAATTGCCCTAAAAAATTAACACTGTTGTCGCAAAGTCGTTAATCCTCTGCTTCACACGGACGACATCGCGCAAAACATCGTGACACTGACACTCACCCGTGGGTACTGGCTCACTGTCCTCCGATCCAGCGAGTAACTCTACGCTCTTGCTCATCTTATCCTCCGAAGACGCGGATTTCTTCTCGTGACCGTTGCAGGTGCGTCTTTAGTCTCTTCTTGAAGTGCACTAATCTGCCACATTCCGACAGCATGGTTTGGCCGGTAGATTAATGAGCCCCAACAACATCGACCAACCGGCACATATTCCTCACAATGCCCACATGGTCCACAATGGCATTGATAACTTCTGCGGTATCCGGTGTAATCAGTGTTTCTTTTCTTCTGTTTTTCCTGTTTCTCTTTCTTTATTTATATTTTACCGCGTCTCATTAAACTACAAAGTGTAATCAAATGCAAACAAATTTGCACAGTCAATGAAACGGAAAAGAAGATACGTGTGTCTAAAATTGCATTTTTTTTCACCGTATCTTTTGTGATTGCTAAACTTTTCTGATCTTATCTTTATAACTGGTAACTTAAACTTTTGTACAGAAAACTCCATTAATGCAGTCTCATTCCCTAAACATGGTGACATACAAAATTCCCGAGTTGAAATTTTAATGCCATTCTGACGCTCTTAAGGGAATCCCTGGAGTCGTCTTGTTTTACCACAAATTTTTTAGTACTGTACTCGTTACTGGCTGCACAGAATTAAAAATTCTTTTGCATAATTACAATACATACGTTAGTGTAAACGACGACTTTATTCGAAAAAATGAAAAAAGTCAAGAAATTATATAAATTTTTTTCGTTTTTCGAATAAAATCACAACCGTCGTCGTTTACATTACATAACGTGTGTAATTGTAATTGTGCAGAAGGATTTTTAACGGTAAAACAAGACTACTCCAGAATCCCTTTAAGGATAATTTACGCCTACTTAGACAGCCCATGGATAAAAACCTATTTTAACGATACTGACACTTTTTAACTTCTCTTTTAAACCTTTAGTTTTACAAATTTAATTTTATGTCCGTATTCATAGTCGGACCTCATATTTGAAGCCTTCTTAAATTCATCTTCAGATGCTTTGTAGCCAATGAAATGAGCAGTTCAGTGTATGAAGATGAAATTAAAGAGGCCTTAAATATAAGGTCTGACTATGAATACTAGCATTGATGCTACATTGAACAACCTAATTTGACGCTGAAACAACGAAAGCGGAAATTTACGATATCAACAACATCAAAAAATAGGAGTTATATCACAGTATTAGAATTGAAATTGTGAACCTATTTTGCTTAGTTTCTATTATGTTGTAGAATTAAAGGTTTAACATAGGACTAAAATTTCGACTTGGCTTTCTATTATTTCTAAATATTATTTTCTAAATATTCTAGTAAATTCTCTGAATATTAATTTCTAAATATTCATGCATCATGACTATCGATTGTTCAATGAATTGGCAGCGATGTTGCAAAACAGCAGCCATAATGCTGTACAAATATTCAGAAATGATGCACCCGCTTGGAAATTGTCGATGTCACTGCGCCTAGGAAAGAGACTACGTTGTAAAAGAGACTTCTATGTAATCAACGTAAATCAACGCTGCGATCGACGTGGTAATGAGACGCGGTAGTATCACGGTTACGGTCACTGGCGTGACCGCCGCGACATTTAGCGTGTAAAAGTGACACACAGAATGACACGATAAATTCTAGTCTTGGAGTCGGGGTTACGGGGCGATCTTCCCCGAGCTTGACGTTTCAGATCTCTCGCCGATATTTTGACGCGCGCACAATGGGGACGAATTGTCACGGTTCACGGTTGCTCGCTCTCCCGCGACGTTCGCGCGGTGACCTTTACGCAACGATAAATCGCAGCCTCCGTTCCGGGCGATATCGGTATCGGCGCAACGATATTCGCTCGCACAATCTCGTCCTCGCGTCGAATTCTCCGGCTCGTTTGCTCGCTACGACGAGAAGGCTTAATAAGTTTCCTCACGGATAAAGCGAGTGCAAATCGAGACGCGCAAATACGAATCTTGGAATGACCGGGATCGATAGCCCTCCCCCCCCNTCATAACGGCCGTCTTTGACTCTTTAATGTAAAAGCTCTGCTTCTCATTAGGCGGCCTCGTCGAGTTAACCGCAATCAGCGGTTAATGCGATTCCACATGTGTCGTGAGAATTGAAACTGACTTAAATTAATATTTGAATTAATTCAAATCGATTTGGATATTCTATTGATTTAATTAAGCATTAAATTGATGGAATTTAGATTGGAATTTTGTCAAATAACCGCCAATCACGATTTTCTTTTCATCTCGAGGCGAATAGTATCGACGATAAAACAACGAGAAGGAAAATGAAAGTGTGCAAGTCGAAATTTAGCGAAGGCAACGTTCACACTCGTGATTAATGTTCTTCTGAGTTTTCGTTCGCGAATCGTCGCTCAATGCGTGGGAGAACTTCCGTCTGTTCATAACTAATCGCTCAGGCGTGTTTCTCTCTTGCGAATTTTTCAACTTCATTTGCGGCAAATTAGCCGAGGAATCAGATCTCATAACTCGCGCGCCTTGCCTCATCGAGACAGCTCTTCCTCCTTTGATTACTCTTAATTTTAGAATTACGTATATCTCGGTATTTCCCTCGGAGAAAGTTTAATCAAAGATCCTGGAAATGAAGGAAAACACGAAACATCTGGAACACCCTGTGCAGAGAAACTGTAAAATATCGCAGACTCGTAAAAAGAATCGTGACAAATACGTTACATATGTTACAACGTCCACAGGTGCTTTAACCACAATTTCCGAAAAAAATTCTTAATTTTTTGCGAGGAGCGAGAATTGACATCGACCAGCATTGAAAATATATGAAAGACGAGGTATATATCTGATATAGTGACCCAGAGAATTAATTAACGTCAGTAAACGATCGTATATTTTAAGTGTTATTTTAACAACCCTCCAGATATACGATCAATTAAGAAAAAGAGCAAGTAAAAGTCGTGGGTATACCGTGGGTATTATTAAGGCGAAATTTTAATATTGTAAATCACAAACACATTCCGAACAAATGCTTCGAAATCCCAATTTGGATCGAAATTGGATGAAGAGGATTCAAGTTGAGATCGAAACGTTCGTTTGGAATATATTTGTGATTTAAAATCTCGCCTTAATAACACCTACAGTGTGTCTCTTACTTGCCCTTTTTGTTGATTGATCATGTGTGTTAATTTAGTAAAGAAAAACTGCTCGCGACGTGTCCTCGTGATATTTTTTCCTTCGCATACTTCGTTTCCTATTTTAACCTAAAGCCTGACATTAAGCACTATATATCTCTCACTTTACATATTCTCGTCAACTTCGACAAAGGTTACATCATCTAATCCGTCGTGTGTACGTGTACAGGGTATCCCAGAATCATCGAGTTTAACTACAGTCTCCTCGGCCAATTTGAAGACGGTTCAATTAAAATGTCAAGGAAGGCTACTGCTCATTCTTTCGATTTCCGATATTGTTCACCCCGTAATTAAGTTTTCAACCAAAATTCGCTTTTCTCATATCGTATCCTTTCAATGTTCAATTTCACCGTACACCCGGTTCTAAATTAAAATTTTGAATGAAAAAGATACTTCGAACCAATGAAACGACCATCATCGTGTCTCCTACTGTTTCCCTCGAAGTTCAATTCGTCGAAGTTTAGCTCCTCCTCGCTTCCAATTATGAAAACCGCGAAAACCATAGATTCTCCTTAAGAAAGATCGGTCCTAAACGAGTCGAGGAGAATACTTAACGAACAGTGGCTAGTCAATTTCCATTGTCGAAGCCGATGAAAATTTATCCGCGGGAAGGATGCTACCAACGTATGCTGCGAGCGAAAGATGCTACAATAAACTCAATGCATAGCCCTGTGCGAAAAACAGCGAGCAATATCGCGAAAGAACGACGAACCTTCACCAAAAAGATCCGTTTGAACTTTCACGAGACGAGCCGCTCGCGATGATATTTCAATGAATCCGAGCCAAGATGACATCCCGTGGTCCGCCGTGTGTACATGTGTATACACACAACGGTACGATCCCGTCGTGACACGCTCGTTTCTTGACGCGAAGTCACACTGAAGACGGAAGACGTCCCTCGAGGAGAGGAACAGCTGGGAAGTCGGGATATGGCGATCCGCGACGACCCGGAGCGAGGATGAAGCGGGTAAAAGCGGGCGAGCGAAAAACGTCTTACTCGCTCGCGGGAAGAGGCGCGTTCAATCGAGAGAGCCGATCGACCGTGTTCGGTTTGATGTCTTCCCTGTCACGGCATGTGAGCGCAACGTCGCGAGGCGACAGCCGGGGCACAATCGGAACAGCGGGGGGTGTCACCCTTCTCGCTCACTTCGCGATCTTTCTTCCGTGCACGTTAATTATTAAACCGCCCACGCGACGCGTGGTGTGTGTCGCGGCGACGATCCGCGCTCTCTCGATGAAATCAATTACCGTACGATCTCTGTGCGCGCGACAGAGACGTCAAGGCGGGAAGAGACAAGCTGAGAGAGAGAGAGGGAGAGAAACGCACGTTCTCGTGGACGATCTCCGCTTACGACGCCTTCGTGTCCGAGAGGCCACTGACAGAACTCGCGATCTCCCGTCCCATGAGCGCCTCACCCTCTCTCCTCGTTATACGCGAGGGAAACGCGCAATGTGCAAGCGGGAGAGAGTGAGAGGCTCTATCGACCCGTGACAGGGCCGGTCGAGAAATGGGAACCTCGATGACTCCGGAAAATCGACGTCCCGTTTGACGGATAAGTTACGACGGCCGATCCGTGAAAGAAACAAGCTCGAGTATGACGGAGAAAACGATATATAATGAATTGTCGTCCGAGAAATAACAAATTATTGCTGTTCGACGCGTTTTACGCAAAATAATACTCGTTCTCCGGCAAATCGTGTGCAGAAATGAGTATGTCATCGGTTTCGTAATTGTTTTTTTTTATATTGCTATATTTTGATTAAAATGAATCAACATTATTAAATATATATGTATATATATATATAATACATTAACTTACATGGATCCTATAATTCTCGTGTAATGTTACAATACATTCTCTCTCTCTCTCTCTCTAACATTCATGTTGGTTTCCGCAATAGGGATAATTCTTAAAATATTTTTTCAAGCACACACACGCGGCCGTGTGTTCACCTACGCGACCGGACAACAGTCGTACTTTACACCCATATACAAATATTTCATACAAGCTTATCTTTATTAAATACAATCGCGTTTTTATCGCCTACTTTATCATAAATGTATATATGCGCGAGTGTGCGCGCGTGTACTTGCTTATTATGTGAGTGGATTATTATGCACATTATATAAGTACTGAAACGTACAAATGGACCGTGGCAGTCAGTCTCAGACGTGCCACTAAACTTTACTCGCAAGTTAGAGCTCGCATCAATGATTATCACAATCGAAATGGCTCAATTTCTCAAGATGTCAATTTCTCGCGTTTCCTCCGCGTGTATTTCCATTATACTACTACTTTCTGGATACTGGAAAATAATTAAAATCGGAGAGGAACGTCACTAAGAATGTGTGTGTTACTCAGGCTGAATATTCTGCGATCTGTACAGTCAGCAGTCTTTCTTAGCGCTACGTGTGTCGGGCACAGTGTAGAGTATGTGTGTAGATTTAACTCTGCCAGACTATGATCCCGATCAGAATCGACAATATAACAGCCGCGATCAATACGATGACGCATTTCTTCTTACGCAACTTGGTTTGATAGATACTCGCTTGCCTCACTTGAGATGCACCTTCGTTAACAGACACTTCGGTTCTCTCCACTGAAGCTTCTATAGAATCGATCACTTCACCTTGATCGTACACCAGAGCTCCGAGATCTTTAAAGATCTGATTGATGTCGCTAATGTTACTCTGCAAAAGTAGCAAATCATAACGTTATTTTGCACCTGCACAGAACACGAATATACAGCAAAAATCATTACCTCCAACTGTCTGATGCTAGCTTCCTGTTCTTCCAACATACGCAAATTCAATTGCTCCTGCTGTTGATGTTGCATCATCTTTGGTTGTGTATTGTCACTTGTATATGTTTTACTATCTTGCAATTCTATGAGTGTTTCTTGTTTCTTTTCTCCGAACGGAGCAATGCCCGCGCTAGCTTTGGCCTTTCTCACCATTTCTTTCTCCTTAGAGGCAGCTAGCCTTTGTACAGCCTAAATTTAATGGTTCATGTTATCACATTGTCACACTGCTGACGATAAAATATATTTGTTCTTACTTGGAAAGAATTTAATGCGCTTGTAAATTCATCCTGAAGACGTTCCCTTTGCATCTTACGCTGCCTCTGTTCTCCAGGGCTTGTAGAGCCAGAGTTATTTGCTAATATAGCCAAATCTCTTAGATGAACACTGGTGTCCTTCGCTAACTGTTGTGTGTAATGCTGTATCTGATGTCTATAAAATGATGCAATTTCATCAATTAACATCTAATATCAATGTATCATTTAGTATCAATTAACATTTTCTTACATATCTTAATTTGTAACTTACAGTTGATTTCTCAGCTCTTGAGAGTCAGTGGAACTACCCAGCTGATTGACCATTTTCTGCATAGAAGATACTGTAAAAAAATTATCGAGATAATGAAAAGTCTTATCTCTATTATATTTAATGAAAAGTCTTATCTTTATTATACTAATTCTATTAATTTAACGACTCACCATTCTGCGATACCTTCAATATCGAAGTGCCGATAGTCTGGGACAGCCTGCCAAAATCTTGCTCCCTGGCAGGGCCGCCGTTATGGTAGGATGAGAATCCACCATCCATCTTGAACTGTCTGCGATGTTAGACTAGATCATATAAATTCAATTTCTTACATAATACTGATATGAATACTTGATTAAACTGCTATTAATTGATATGTTCTTTTCAGCTACATTACTGAACAGGTGCAATAAGTTAAAACGAGACAAAATACACTTGTCTCACTCTAACTTATTGCATCAGTTCAGCGGTGTAGCTAAAAAGAATAGACCAAATATCTTTCCCTTGACATGTCAAAGTGAAATAAAAAATTCACAATCCGCTGCCTGTGTGCATGTGTGTGTGTATTTAACGGCAGATTTGTGAAGCTATGACAAATGAATTCCCCACGGGACAGATTTCGAACGGGCATGCCCATCCGGAACTAACCAATTATACGCGTACACGAATATCGGAGGTTTCTCGACATCGCTTACAGCAAGGACCGGGACAGTAATGAGATAAAAGAAATTATGCAAAATGTACCTCGAGCTGACACTTGGTCGAAAACGGCAAAGTGCACTGTTGTTTCGAAACGTTAGTCCACCTTTGGTATGCGCAGTTGTCAACAAAACTGTCAGTGGGTTGATCTCTCTCGCACAATGACTGACGATTGATGATTCACGAAATTAGCATGCAAGAGATTCCTGCTTCTCGGTATTCTGGTACCATATATATATACATATATATATATGTATATATATATATATATATATACGTGCACACGGCTCACGTCACCGCGCGCAAAGAACTCCTCCACCGAGAGATCGCAGGACAAACGCTAAAACTTCTCGCATTAATCGATAATGCCCCGCGAAATGAAACTCTCGCACGAATGTCACTGCACGTATCAACTAGATTCTGCGTCAAATGACAGAACCTGATTCTACTAACGGGCATATAAGGCAGATTCGTTCTTCATAGCTGTATGTGCACCGTACATACGCTTCTTGACACTTCTTTCTAGGGTTTCTTGCGATTATACGCCTTAAGTGAATACAGGTAGGGTTGAAAATCGCACAAGTGACCCTAGTTGGAATGTTGAAGGCATGTATGACGTCTAGGATGCGTTTCATTTAACGCTCGCAACGATCGTGAACATCATTCTATCCTTGTTTCTCTTGGATGTTAAACAAAAACAGAACGATGCTTGCGATCGTTGCATCAAGATGCGTTCGAGGAGATGCTAATTAGCGCTACACGTCATTCTATTCTTGTTGTACATGTAAAAAGCAATAAAGATAGAATGACGCGTAGCGCTAAATATCGTCTCCTTGAACGCACCACAAGTGAAACCTGCCCTTAGTGTATAACCGGTTTCGATGTGCTTTCAATACTTCTTCCGATGCATTTCAAAACGATTCGACATGTTCAAAATGTTCAGAAAGGAATAAAGCCAACGGCACGTGATGCTTGTTTTCGTATTGTTTACTGGATGGAAATACTGCGTTTTGATTGGTACGTTGTCATCCATTTTTGGAAATACACTAATCAGAATGCAGTATTTCTAACCAGTAAGTTATTTAACACGAAAACAAGCATCGTGTGCCGCTGACTTTAACCGTGTAAATGCAGTCATTGTAAATGGGGACTTAACCTGGATCTACAATAGATGTAGTAAACTTTTAAATAGTAAATTTTTAGGTAGTAAAAATTGACCAATCATAATCGACTATTTCTCTCATATTCGATTATGATTAGTCAATTATGGTTTAAAGCTTTATACTTATATCAGAGTACGAATTAGAATTGAGATTGGATTGAAATTTAACCAATCAAAGCAAAGTTCACTAAACTCAAGTTCAGTGAATATTTCTCTGATTGACCAAATTTTAATTCAACTTCAATCCTAATCCGTAGTCTGAGGCTGCTTCCCCATGCGGCGTAACTTGCGTGAAGTCCGTATCAGACTACGGATTGAAGATTGGGTTTGAATTAAAATTTGACCAATCAGTACAAAGTTTATTAAATTTCACTAAACTTAAATTCAGTTAATTTTATATCGATTTGCCTAATTTAATTTAATTTTTATCTCCAATCCGTACGCTTTACACTTATTGTAGATCCGGATTTACGGTTCTCAAGTGAGATGAAAATTATAAAAATGAGCAAATTCACTAGATGTTGACCAATGAAATTTTTAATATTCTTAGTTGCGTTCCGATATTTATTGCCAGTGTTGAAAATCTATAATATACGTAACATCAAATATAGTTTTTCAACGCTGGCAGTAAATTTTGGAACACAGCCTTTATCGCATTAAAAGGCTCCACTTAACGCTCGGACCGATTACAAGCATCGTTCTGTCTTTGTTTAACATCCAAGAGAAACAAGGATAGAATGATGCTCGCGATCGTTTAGAATGTTAAATGGAACGCATCCTAAATTGACAGTTCGTCATGGTAGAAGTGAGGGTGTTTTGCAGCCGTAGTTAACATTTTCATGTGTAAAACTAACTGTATACGGTTACTTACAGAAATACATATAAAAACTGCGTCTTTTCAAAGAAGAACTTCAAGACATAATGCTAAAGTATATTTTTCTTGTTGTGACGATCATTTTAGCGACCTGTCTGTCACAATCAGAGGTTAGAATATATTTTCATTATCTACACCTCTTAATTATATTAGATTATGTATTCTTAATAAATGGAACTTATTTCAGGCGCAGTACGATGACAAAAGATGCAAGTGCATCTGTCCAAGTCTCTCCTCCGTCATAAATACAACTCAGACTTCTATGGAACGTTTGGCGTATATCATAAATGTTCCACCGTTACAATGGTAATTAAAAATGTATTTTATAATTTTAAGCATTATAAGCTAATTGCCAAAATATCAATATATTTTTTAGCAAGTGTGAAAATGTTGTTCTGCCAAAACTTGGAGATCAAATAAAGGGCAAGGAAGAAATATTTTGTCCACGGTGTGATTGTAAATATGAAAACAGGAATACAACTATCATCAAGGTTATCTTATCATTTGCAGATTCATACTTCTACTATAAGATGATTAGAGAATACAACTTTTTTTTGTTACAGATTGTGGTGATAATAGTTATATGGGTTATATCACTATTAGTAATTTACATGCTATTCTTAATTTGTCTCGATCCATTACTCAACAAGCGGATACATAAAGCATCAGCAAATATTGGTTATCATGAACATAATAATGAAGAGGTAAAACATGAAATTTATTTCTAAAGGTGTTTTTAATATTTATATATGTTACAAGAAATTTACATTCAAGATTACATTTGAAAAAGAACAAATGGAATGTGTGTGAAATTTATATATTACAGGTTTATTTTTCTCTAGAACAGACATACAAGTTTGAACATTGAAAATTAGACAAAATTAGACCAAATGTGGCATTTAAAAAAATCAGCATATATTATTATCATTATTAATTTTTTGACAGATACATATAATTATTCAAATATTTCTACTACTTGTGATTTATATCTTACTCCATATTAGAACTTATTATATATACGGCACATGTTGTTTATATACTTTTTCTATTTACAATATCCAAAACAATAAATAATTAAGGAACCCCATAAATCATTATTACTGTCTTTACATTACAAAGGATGATTCATCCATCGCACCTGGAACATCTCACCCAATGGGAGAAAGAGGCAATGTTTTGAATCGTGTTGGACATCAACAAGATAAATGGAAACGGCAAGTCCGAGAACAGAGGCGGAATATCTACGATCGTCATACTATGTTGAATTGAATTGCGCATTTTGTTTCGAACAATGTTATCAAGTATATCTAAAATAAGACGAAACTTTAGCTGTGACCATGATTTGTTCAATGTTCTTAAGTAGACTCTACATTTATTGTACATATATATTGATAAATATGTATTTCGCGGTAATAAAATAATATTAAACGTTAGTAATATTTAGGAAACATACTTTCGTAAAATTTACCAATGCATCATGTCACGGCAAATATGTTAATATTTAACCAAATGTATATGTAGAAATTTCATAATTTACTGTTCCTAGTTTACTAAGTAATAAATTATTAAAATATGTGTTAATCTCACATGTATAATGTTACAACAAGTTCTTTTTAGCTGCAATAAGTTGCATTCAAGCCTATACTGAAAATGAAATAGATATGTGTTTAACACTTGATGAGGAAGAGAAGGAAGTTTAAAGATTTCAAAATGTTACAAAAAAGTTTGTGAAAATTTTTGTGTGAAAAGTTATATATATTATAGAGATTATTATAAAGATCATAATGTCTAACTTCTCCGCTACACCACGCTTAAAACTGATAGCGTCTACAGTGTACACCAAGGTCTGTATTTTGAACTCTCTTTTATTGATAAAAGTGCCTCTAAAAATGGCTTAAAAATCACATGATTAGCTGAAAAACCACTTTTAAAGCACTTTTATTAATAAAATAAAGTTCAGAATATGGACCTGGGTTTCGAGATAGTTTCTGAACCACTGTAATGGCTCCTGCACACAGAACGCGGCGAAAATTTGCGCGGTAGCCAATAAACTTGTAGTTTTTACGGAAAAACAGCGCATTGGTTGGCTACTGCGCGAACTTCCGCAACGCGGCAAACATTGCCGCGTTCTGTATGCCAGTCAAAATTCTAAACAAGGACAGTAATATTTCCGTCCTTATCCAACCACGTTACAAAATTCATAGTTAGTCCTAAAAATCTATGGTTTATGTAACGTATACTATAGATTTTTAGTATTAACAATGAACATCGAAACGCAGCCGAATTAAACCAATGAGAGAATTTGGCTTCTAGGAATAAATGAAAAAATAGAGTTCATTGATTTGAATACTTCTTTGATGTAGAATATCGATTACGTTTTTCAGCACTCAATGAATCATGAATCTTCTCCTCTAGTCTGAATTTGTGGAAAATATAAATTTTCCAATTTGAAAATATTTCTCATGTTTCCGCCCTAGCGAAAATGTTCGAACATGATCGAATTAAACTAATGAGAGAACTTAGCTTCTAGGAATAAATGAAAAACAAGCTCTCTGATTGGATAAGATGCGTTCTAAACTGTATACCAAAAAATGTTATATTGTTATGAACCCTAGTGTGGACTGTGTTAAAAAATTTCACTGAAAGACCGCAGCACGTCTGCGCAGTGGCATGAAGTTGTTCATTCTCATTTCCTCTCATTCTCTCTTTCCCCCTCCCTCTCTCTCTCTCTCTCTCTTTACTTATCTATCTATCTATCTATCTATCTCTTCTGCACCTTTTTCGTGTCCATCTTATATTCCATGTCGTCCTCTACATGGCCAACGGCATAACTGTTGAAAAAACCTTTCTTTAGTTTTCGCAAGAAGGTTTATTAGTATATTTTCCAGACAATATGTTTTCGCCAGAAATGGAGTCATACCAGTCGTCATCATTGAAACAAAAAAATCCCGATAAAATCGCGACCTCAAGATTGTTAAAATCATTTGGTAATTTGATGTTGCGGAACTACGAGCAAGACAAAATTTCATTTTCTGAAACAAGCCAGAATGTAAGTAACCCTGAAAACACATTTGTGAAGGATCTATTTGAAAATATTGGTTGAAAATATGTGTATATAGAAATATAGAAATATGTTATGTATGTGTATATATATATATATATGTATATGTATGTGTGTGTATACATATATACATACATACATACAATACACAGCGCTTACGATGTTCCTACATTAACTACTAGTATGTAACACAATCTATCCATGTAATCTCGAAGCGCCTTATTTTCGATTTCGAAAGAACGCGAATTTGTGCTTTTCTGGCATATAAAAGTTATTCGCATGAATATATATAAACATACATATGAAAATATGAATACCAAAAATACATCGAAACTTCTAGAACGAAGCAAAGATGAACAGCAAGCAGTACGAAGTTCCAGTGTTTACTCCTCCTTCGATACAGTTAGTCGTGGTCCCAAATGCTCCGTTAAAACCGCGAAACCGTGTTTCAAAAATACGCATGAAACCTCGGAGACTCTCCTATAGTGACCAAGACACAGTCGATAACGAGTCGGCAGACGGAAGGAAGAAGTCTCCGCAGAAGAAGTCGGATACAAAGGAAATTGTACTGAGAAACAAATTGCCTCAGTCAAGCAATAAGGAGAATCAAGATCGCGGCAAACCGCGAAATCGGGCAGAGGACAAAGAAAAAAGTGCTTCTTTCTATCCGTCAAATACAAAACAAGGACATTACAGTAAAGGTGAATTTGTACATTTACGCATTTAAATCACATCTGAACGATCGAAACAGTGAATTCGTGATCATTAAGGTGTAAAATCTTATTAAATTAATAGAATGTTAATAATGATGTTGATAATGATGTTGATCGAATCAGTATTTCATATTGCATGAAAATCAGTATTGATATAATTAACGAATAATTAGATGTTAATAATTTGTTAGATTACGTTAAAGATAATTATATTAATATGGCGATAGTTAAGAGTAATTATTCATATTAGTGAAAATAGTGGAAATAATGTGTAATTAATTCGGTGAATTACTGATTAATAAACACAGATAGATATTAGCAAATTTGATTCGATTGTTGGATCATTATGATGACGATTATTAGATCAGTATTATTATGATAAAATGAGTACTGTTAAAAAATTATTCATATATAATTATGTATAGAATATGCCTATATGTAAAAATGTGCTTCATAAATAATTACATATCTTTACATATGGACAAATGTTATACATAACGCCTTATATATAATTAAATATGACAAATATTTTAAAGGACAGTAATTAATTTGATTATGATTCATTAAGTTGAAATCTATGGCTGCGATCATACATAGATTGAGATATGTATATGTAAACTATAAGAAGTAGAGTATTATTTATTGGCTGCTTTCAGCAGAACATTTATTTTGCAACTGTTGGAAGTTTCCTGTGCTAACATTGGATTATTCCTGTAGATATAAAAGAATAATCCAATCTCAGCTTCAGAAAACTTCCAACAGTTGCAAATTGAACGTTCTGGTGAACGTGGCCATCGTTGTATGTCCATCAAACGGTGGTTCGGAAAAACATCACACGATTTTTACACGCATGTATGCGTATGCATGCACACTCACCGGGTCGCTGTATCCGCTGACGTCACAACGACCCAGCGACCCCAGCGAGCCCCGGTAGCGTGATATTAACATTGCGCGATTTACAATTGCACCGCTGTATACATATATGTAATGCACGCGCGATTTCTTCATCGGTTTCCGCTCACCGCGATTCGTCGCGACGTCTTTTTTTCCCCGGCAAATCCATTGCCATTGAAAACATCGTTATCGTTTGATTTTCCTCCAACTCGAGATCTGCACTCCTGTCCTCAATAACATATCTAGATTTATTGCTAAATCCTCGTCAATCCGCAACTAATCTAGTATTTTGCGAGATAATCTCAAATCCACCCTTAATAACAACTATCGTTCCATTTCACGCGGTCCCGCGGATTTTGGGAATTAAAAATTCCAGCTCTCGAGCGTAATTTCCAGGCGGAGGTACATGAAGTACACGATGATAATCCAGTGGCGAAAGAACCACACCCGTTTGCAAAGGGGAACGGCCAGACGAGGTGGAAAGGTCCACTCCTCTCGGCCATCTTCCTCTCCTTTTTTACCATCGACCCTGTCTACGGCGCTCCCATGTTTGTTAACCACTCGCACCCCGCAGGGTCGGTACGATCTTGAAACACTATAATTGACCCTACCCATTAAACCCACTCGAAACCAGTGTAACTTCCATAAAGGGCCATTTTCGCGTTCTTAGTGTGTAAAAATTATTCGCATAAATATCATATACTAGTCTGTTCTATTTTTTCAGATATATCTTCTGTCCACTATTTTTATTTTTTTTATCTCTCTCTCTCTCTCTCTTTCTCTTTATTTTTTTTTTTTTACAGGACAGATCATCAATTTCGGGTCATTCATCCCGAAATGTAAGCCTTCATCAACATTAAAGATGTCGCTTATATTCAATGTATCCAAGAAGACCAGTATATCTTCACAAATTACAGCGGAAACGACTTACATTCCAATTAGACCGAGCAAAGAAACAATCTTTCCACTTGATTCCTTTCCGTGTGAAAAGCAAATTCAACATTTTTCTGAACTATTTCTTCAAAACTGATGGCGGTTCATTAAAAAAAAAAATATATATATATATACATATATGTCCGATCATTTCACCTTTCCATTTTCGCCAGTGACGTAATTCACGAGAGTGTTTAGGATCCCGTAACACATCGTGGGGCGAGGAATTATCATTATTATACAGAGTGGCTGATATATCTGTCTATCAAAAACTTTGATAGACATTAAATATCATAAAATATCATTGTTCGTAATTGATTTCGTTATCAATCACTAACAGCTAATCAGTTTTGGAGCAAACGGTTCGTAACATTGTATATGTGCCACCTTCTAGTACGTATATTTTAATATTAATTGTTTCTTAAGGTACATTGATAGAAAATTATAGTTAATTTTGATACCAAATATATTCTTTAATCTTAACTAAAATAGTGAGAAGAACCACTTTTCTGGTAAATGTTACTCTAGTATCAGCGATAATAACCTTACACGTATGTTGTTATAAAGTGTGTTTAGTGCCGAAATTATAATTTTCTCTCAGTGTAGTTGGTCCATGACAATATTGTGAAGCCGGCTCCACACGATGTGACAAATGTAGGCAAACGTTGGTAATTATATTAATCACGTATGTTGGGCGAATATATGTATAATATAATATAACATAAATAATATATGTGCGATTTGCCATATCGCGTAAAGTCGGCTGCAGAAAAATAATGATTATAATATAACACGAAGAAGCTCGACAAATCTGTGCTAAATGTTTATAAACATGATTTATGATATACAGCTTTGACACTATAGCAAGAAAATATCAATCAAATTTGCATAATGTTCAAAAACATACAAAGAAATGATCGATTTTTCACGCTTTGATGTATGATACTTTTGGCTGGGACTATCCATGTTATGCTTGTGAATATATCGTATCCTGATAGACGCGTACGAATGAACACTACTACAGAAATGATCGTGACGTCAGATTTTTCCATATTTTTCTATATTTTTCGAATTTCTACGTATTGATTTATAGATCTTTAAGGTTATTTAACCATTTTATTTTTAAAAAGATTCCTATAAGTAAGAAGCACAAATAGAAATATAACGACACATGCAATATTTGTTAAATCTTTATAAATTTAGCTGTTATATATACTTCATTATCAGAAATTGTGTGTGCATCATATATCAATTTTTAGAAAATTATATGGTCAACGATCTTGTAATTTTTCTATATTTCTAGAAATCTCTTTTATCGTCTTCTCGTTTTTTATTAAAACTGTAAGAGTAATTTTAATAGAATTAAAAACGTGATATCGAAAATTTGATATGTGTAAATAATGCTAACTTTGACTTCATATTTTAGCTTCGGTATGGTCGATCTTTTTCTAATTTTACATGTGTGTAGATCGTGTTTCGATTAATATGCTATTAAAATTTGAAAAGATTCTTAAGAAAATTATTTTATAGACCAATTACCTTAACCTCTCTTTAATATTATTAGACTTAGCCGTTTAAACTTAGGATTTCCTTTTCAATATTTTTTTTATATTTTCCATATTGTAATGTATTCTTAATTTTTTAATAAATTTTACGAATTAAGCGAACTTGGAAAGTAAGAACTTTTCTTTGTTTTACTCGGGGTCCGAAAATTCGTAGCGTCGCCACTAGTCGTGTTAATTTTGAGCAAGCGCGCTTATAAAGCGTAATAAAAAAGGGAAGCTAATTATAGTCATGCGGCCTATGCTGTGGAGAATCAAAAGAGCACGACAACAAAGTGAAAAGTCGACGAGAGGGGAGGAAAGAATAAAAAGAGCTGTAGTCTTTTCGAGTGTCGCATCCGGAATCGTCGTGAGTAAGTTGAGTCTTTCTTCTCATGTCAATACGCGAAACACATTACATTGATTACGTGTTGTAGGAATATAATAAAGTCCGACGCATTATCTCGCAATTTGGAGTCGATCTTTTTTAGCAAAAAGCCGAGAACAATCACACGAAGATTTATCACAATTTTAATTCAACGGCTCAAGTCTTGTCACGTCTCATTATCAAAAATACAATGAATGGTAGGAAGGCCGCAACGCTTTTACCTCGGCGAACTTCAGAACGCATCCGATATCCAATGAGAGAACTCGTCCTCTGAGAATCTCTTCACCAAATGAATAAATTCTCTTATTGGACACGGATGCGTTGAGAAATTCATTGGAAAATCGCAATTGACTGCCCATATCACGCTCCATTTTATGTCCTCCTTTTCGTATCGATACGAATCGCCACGACCGGACGTTTCCCGTCGATTTCCCGGGACGACGGCGCTTCGACAACGAAAGGAATGCACAGCAGCTTTCCTCGAGCGCGTGCTCTTACGCCCCGACGATGCTCGCCTAGCAACACAGTTCGTCGAAGTGCCGAAGTCACGGGAGTGATAACACGAGGAGCGGAGCGGAGCGGGCGCATGTACCACCAGTGCGTATCTCGGGTTATCTGCCTCTTTTTTTCGGCGCTCGCGACTGCGACAGCGTGGAAAGTGTTACGTTAACGAGCGACTGGCCTCGGAGATCAGTCCGCTGGACCATTACGGGTCATCGCGAGACGAGATAAATGCGAGACGAAACTCTTTCTCTCTCTCTCTCTCTCTCTCTATCCGCGAAGCGATACCGACATCGAATTGATGGGCTCTCGAAGCGTCGTTATTTTAATTTCAGCCGAGGAACACAGGCCAAAGACGGGCGAATTTTGCCTCGAATGATAGATAACGCGAGTAAACGAGATAATTCTTCATTTATTCGCGATCGGCGAATGCATCGTCTTTATTTCGCAATACACAATTCATCACGATCGCTTTCGATTGTTATTCAAATGAGGCACGATACGTGTCAAGTATTCGTTTTTTTCGCCGTATGTGTGTGTCTCTCTCGCTTTTCGTCAGGGGTATAATTTCGAAAGACTTCCTCTCTCCCCCCTCTCTCTCTTCCTCTCTCACACCTGGATATTCCACTTTAATCGAAAAGAATGCGACGGACTGTAGAGATCGGAACGACGGTCAATGCCATCTTCCGGACTACGCTATTGCTCCCGTACGCTCGATATATTTCCGTCGTGACCCACTAATACATTTCACGAAGTCCCGTGTCCTTATCGTACCTTAAATCCCAATACCACGAAAAGCCTAGTGCGCAAAAAACTATTATATTGCATGTAATATAAGTGGACATTAAAATGTCTACATTGAGATGTTTACGTCGCCATAGGAACAGTCAGTGGCGGAAAGGTCGCGACACTTTTGCAATCGGTTTCGTAACGAGTCTATATGGAAAAAATCATGTTTTTTTTAATAATAACTCTCGGAAAATAGATTCTCCTATTGGACGCTGGATGCGTTTCAAAGTTCATCGACATGTTGCAATATTTTCGTCACTGACTGTACGATTTGATTCTTGCCCGTATTCTCTTTACACTTCAAGCGATCCATCGATTGCTTCGAAATTTGGTTTTTTTTCAATTTTTCACGCCCTCCTTTTTATCTTTTAAATAAATAATTATTCCAATACTGCTTAGCAAAATCTGACTTGGATCAAGTAAATAATACTACATTCTAATTGCGGTTTTAGCTATTTTAGATATCAAGCCTATCGATCGAGAGAAAAAGGTTTCTCGCCTTTCGTTTTGGCAATGTCAAACCGGTCCGTGCTTTCGAAGGTTTCGAATTGTTCTCTATACATACATAGTGTGACAATAGACAAAGTACATCGGAATCGCACGCGCGCGCACTTCCATATATTCATGAACGGTATAGACGCGTCACGGACAAACGCGCGCATAGGAAAAGTATATTTGCATGTGAACGAAGCGCGGGTCTTCGGGGTCGACCAGTATATCCGACCGCTTCGCCGACCGTATAATAATTAATTTCGTGTTTAGAGCCGCCGCAAAGTGCGTTCTTATATCATTTCCTGAACCAAAACAGCACTCTCATTTTCCTCTACAAATAAAGCGCACTTTTTAGCTATGCTTTGATAATCGTTATCGGGATGAATTTAAAACAAGTAATCGAAGACTATCCGAGTTTAAATTTGAAAAAGATTACCAGTCTTCAAGATTAGTCTTCTGAAAAACATACGAGATATGCGTAATCCTGTCATGTTTCGTTGCACAGGAGACCCGTATATTCGATTCTTTCCTTTTTGTTATTATTAGTCTGTTCTTTATACTGACTTGAACTGGCTGCACTAGTTCAAGAAATGTACGCACACTAAAGCGTGAGAATCATGTGCGTACGCTTCGATGCAAATTTCTCGAAACTAGTGCAGCCAGTCCGGCTGTGAAAAACAGACCGTACGACTATCCAAAATTCAAACGAGAAATGCTCCGGTCTGTTTCTTCGCCGTGTGACCTATAACATCCTAATAAAGAACGAATAGATAATTTCCGAATTCGAGAATGAAATAAAACGCCAGAGTTGCGCGCGTTTTCGCTCCTCTATCTCTTCCACCACGTTCTATTGTGCGGCCAGAGTGCGCGCTAGGAATTTGCCGTCGGAGTTATCGGCGGAGAGCCTGTGGCCCTATTTCGTAAGAGGGAACGACAACGATACACAAACGCGAGAAGCGATAAAATTTTTTTAATTTAGGCCACGACAAAATTACGGGGTCGAGTCGGACGGGGTCGCGGCCGACGATAAGATTACTCTGACGTCGGTTATAAGTGCATTGGTTACGTAAAGTGATACTACGACGAGAGATGTGCTCTTTCTCTCTCTCTTTCTTTCTTTCCAGACGATACCTCATCAATATCCGACGGCGATCGGCTCCATTAAAGATCGACAACAAGATTGCGTAAACGCAATGCAATGCGCGGCAATCGCGCGAATTTACGGTCGCGTTTTTATTAGCGGACTACGAAATAATCGAGGATTTGGAGTTTCAACGACGTAATCCGACGTGAACTCGGACTTTCATGGTTGAAATCTCTCGGCGAGGGTTCTACGGCTCTCCGCCGCCGATCCTGCGTGCGCGCATACGTGCTTAATTATCGGAACGCACGCACGCACGCACGCACGGTGATCCTGCAGGAGAGGAGTGCGTTTAACCTGCTGATCAAGGGGCGTGGTGGCGTCGAGACGCCAGCCGGGCTGTGTATATTACGTGTATTGAGCGACTATATCGAACCTGGAATGAAGCTAGCCACGCTCTCCTTTTGAAGAGAACTACCCGAGCTACTTTCAGCGCGACCAGTTTCAACTTTTAATATTTCCTTCGCGTGTAATATCAAATTCTTCCTGCAGAAATCACACAGGATCTACGGCCGAGTAGATTCATGGTCCGACTTAGAATCATCCGAAGTTTATCTCAAGATGCTGTAAGAGCCGTTCTGTTGGCTCTACAGGTCATCTCGAGATAAACTCAAGGCGACCTTAAATACATCAGAAAAAAGTGCTAGAAGTAAATAATTGTCCCGATGCTCCTTGGCAAATTTTTAACCTTAACGTTAAGTAAATATTTTACTTGGATAATTTACTTCGAAAATTGTTTACTTGGATCAAGTAGATAACCAGGTTTCCACTTAACTGGCTACACCAGCTTGTACTAATTCTCCTTTTTCTTCCACCGAATCTTAACTGTATATCCTTTTTTAAGTCCCATAAGTATATAGTAGTTCAGCGGAAAAGAGCAAACCTCCCGTACACGGAAAAAAGTGCTACATTTAAATAAATAATTGTTCCAATACTGCTTAGCAAATTCTGACGTGGATGAAGTAAATAATACTTAAATAAGTAAACAGTTGCTACTAAGTATTGAATATATCCAGTAAACAAAAAGCATTATTAACATAACGTCATTATAATGTTTTGTAACATGTAATGTTTTCAAATATATAGTTCTTAATGTCATTGTACAATGTCATTGTTAACAATATTTAACCGAAATATTAAACCTAATATTTCTACACGACGATTTTAATATTTAAGGATATTATTCCCTGCAACACAGTTAATTTCACACATGTTCTTGAAACGTATATAATGCATATATAATTATGAAACATTACATACGTTTAAAGAATGTATATGAGACTAACGTATGCTATCTGGGATATGATCAAGTAACAATTTGAAATTATTTATAAAATATTGTCAAAATGTATATAAAATGTTCATAAGATCAATATTTCAAAAGATTGACTTAACGTTCCTCGTTTACAAACAAATAAAAATTTGCCGAAAGAAATATCCGAGTAATCATCTACATGAATCTAGCATTTCTTTTCCTATGGACAAGATCCAGACCACCCCTAGAACTGCGGCTGGAAAATTCCTTCGAAATCGCTGACCCGGTACTAAATACAATCGCCAAGGGCGAATTCGCGAAGTTGGCGGCTCGCGATGAGGCAGCGGCGCGTGCGGCGTTCGATCGGAATATTTCGCGGCTTACACCGCAAAGGTCGTTACAAAGACGCGATTCTTCTAACGCGCGTCCGATGGCACGTAAATGCAGTCATTGCCCCAGAGCCTCAGAGAGCCGCCGCGGCACCTCCGCCACCTGCGCCATTCACACAGGCCGGCTTCGCCCAATCCCCATGCTCGCGTTCGCATCGCCGAAACCGCGAAACGCGTGTACCTTGCCTCCCTCGCCGCCCCCCTTCTCTCGCCGGCGCGCCGCCGCGCGCGACTCCTCGCAACTTCTGCCGGAGAGTCCTATGCGTATCTCGCTTCCCCCCACCCGACGCGCCATCTGGTGGGGGAAAAAACGCGACGCATTCTCGGTGCCGATGGGAGAAATTCGCGGCGGCGACGACGACGACGCGCTGCGGTGGAAGAGAAGAGTACGATATCGGCGGTGGTAGGGGGCGGTGCGGTATGCGTTGCTAGTTGGTAGGCGCGCTATACGCGGCAGCCGGCTTCAGTTCAATTCGATCAGCTGAAGCACGTGTGCGTTGTGAAAGCGTGCTCGTTTCGTCGCCTCACCTCGTTCCTTCTCCTCGTGAAGGCTTTTGCGCCCATCGCGTAGCATCGCACTCGGAAAAGCAACGCACGGAAGGGGAGAAGGGGAGCGACGGGGAAGAAGACGATCCACGCAGTACGTTTGCTCGCGGGGGAAGGATGGTGAAGAAGGAGGAGGAGGATACTCTCGTTTCCTCGCTACACGAGAAGGAGACGCGACCTTTCTATTTTCTCTTCCGACGTTCCTTCGGATTTAAACTGGTCGTCCGGTGCCAAGGCCTCTCTCTCTCTTCTCTGCCTGCTCTTCTCTCTTCGTCGTCCCTCGCTGCCGCCTCTCCTCCTCCTCTCCTCTCTCTCTCGTCTCTTCTCCTCGCCATCTTTCCACCTCCTCGAATCGTACGCCACGCTTCCGGCTGACAGTGCGCTTTTTGGGCCTGCGCCTCGCACGATGGACGTCGCAGTCTCCCCTACTCCTTCGCCTTCATCTCCTCCCTCTCTTGGTGACGCGACGCGATTCTTCGTGAAGCGCGAATTTCCCCGTCGCAAGGAGGGTGGAGTCCGCCGCGGACGTTTCATACGAGATCGCGAGGCGTTTACGATACGACGACGGCAACGACGAGACGCGCGTATCCGGGTGTGCCGGATTCACGGACGGACGGACGGACGGACGTCGGCCATGTCGTCGTTCTTCCTCGAGCGAGCGTGCGAGCGAACGAGCGATCGATCCCTCCGAGAGCGGAATGTGCGCGCAGCTGTTCAACAGCTCCTCGTCGTCGGCATTGGATCAGGTAAACGAAGATCGTCGTCCGGGCGCTTTTTCGCGAACGTCTCGCCGCAGGAATTTGCACGATGTATCTGTCGCCGGCCCGCGTGGCGCGGTAATATTCTCCATTTTCTTTTGGGTTTTAGATATGTGCGATCGAGTGACATTTTTCTTTTCTTTCTTTTGAATTCCTCTCTCTCTCTCTCTCTCTCTCTCACACTCTCTCCTTTTTTTTCTTTTTTCTACTCTCTCTCTCTCTCTCTCTCTCTCTCTTAACGACCAAACTTCCCGAGATGGTTCTCTTGAGAGTTGCACCTCGGAGATTCGCGTGCCGCGGGAATTTTCTTTCATCGGATTGCGCAGACGTATTCACTATTTTCTTTTTCTGTCTTTTATTTTGTTCAAAGGGTTCATTGAGTCTCCCTACAATATTTTTTCTTCATCGCGATCTGCTATTTTATTTATTCACCTGTTTAAATATTTACCGATAGATCTTTAATATAGTATAAATAGAATTACAAAAGTTGAGCGCGATACAGATAATAAAATGCTATTATTGACAATACTAATGATGATGTTAAGATGAGATATTTATATCACGAGATAGAGACAAAAGTATACTTTTAGAGAGTATTTTTTGTTTTTGGGCAATAACAGAAAAAAAATCGTTACCATTTCAAGGATAAGGTTATTCATCCTAATAATAGAATCTTTACTGTTTCTTTCGTTTTTCATATATCTCGATGATATAGAAACCTGAAGCAAGCTAATAATTTAATTTTTGAAAGATTTTTTTTCGTTTTCAACAATAGTTTCATTGGTATTAATTCATTGACGAGTTGGGCTTGAATAGTTTTCAGCTACCCCTTATACATTTCACGCGTGCAAACGACACACCCAATAACGGTGGCGCAGAGTTTAATTAAATTAAACGTACTATAATCAACGGTTCTTCGAAATCATTTCCCTGTTTTATCGTACGACTTCGTCGCATTAAAAAAGTGTTCGCCAGAATCTCACGAGCATATTTTACTCCAAACGAAAATTTTCCATTTCGCATCAGGCCTTTCTTCACGTTGACATCACTGTTATTTAAGAACCGGAAAACAATCGTGAAGTTGTCCTCTATCTCGCCGAAATCTAAGAGAGTGATTCATCCCCGATGCAAAGGGGTAACTTTCGCTTAACATGATTTTGTTCTTTAAGATACGACATGAATGCATCGTGTCGCACAGATCCTGATATTTCCTTCAAGTCCGCTCTTCCCCTGTAAACGAATTTAATTATAAAACAATCTTTGTTTTAGCATTCTTATTTTACACATACTGATATGGAGATACCAGGGCCGTAGCGAGTCCCAATGGCGCCCCCGGCCGAAATATTCTCCGTACCCCGATCTCGACTTACGGTCTATTGCACGAGAGAGCTGCCCGCGCGTCCGAACCGAAATTTTATAATTGTGAGAACCTATGAACAGGAACACACACATTTGGAGGCGAGAAGGTTTCAACACTTTCGATGCATCTTGAAACGACACCCGGTAAAAAAACTTGTCCCCTGAGAATTGCTCGAAAACAAATTTCTCCCGTTGAATATCGGTTGTGTTTCGAAAATGCATCGAAAAAAAGGACAGTATTCAAACTTTCCGAATGTGGACGATCCTTTCAATGTGTTCCAGGTTGCTTTTATCGTCAACCGTAAGATACCGCGTATGAATTCTAGCGCTCTCTCCGCTGTACATAGAGAGCGCCCGGATATAAGAATCGGACGAATTTCCTCGGTGGAGAAAGCCCGGGTAACGGCAGCCCTATTCCGCCGACCAGCCGGCCGGCTGAGTAGACAGACAAAACGGAGGAACCGTCTCTAACTTGGGTCCCACCGAGCGACGCGTCGAACGTGTCGCGTCGTCGCCACGTATAGCGATGCGCGCATGCGCAAGCGAGTAGTCTGGCGCCAGCAGGTGCGGTTAAATATAGCTTATGCAACGGTATCCTCCGTTCGTTCCCTCCGCCCTTCTGTGTTTTTCTGTCACTGTTTCTCTCGCTCATTCTCACTCATTCTCTCGGTCTATCTCTCTCCCTCTCTCCCTCCCTCCCTCGCTCTTGTTCTCTGCTCGTCGCGAGAAATGCGTAAATACGATTAATACGCGTATGCGCTATGTGGAAAATGTTTTTGCAGTCCGGCAACGAAGAGCGACAAGAGCCGATCGTGATGCGTTCGACGCTCTTGAGTACTAAACGAAAACGGGGAAAAAGTATTTTTGAACGCCGACTCTCTTCTGCCGGTGGCTCTAATCGGTGTCGAAATACATTAGGTTGCTTGGGCCGAAATCTCGAATATACAGCCGAAAATCTCGAATCGCTTCGAGAGTAGATTCAGAGCGGCTTGAAGACAGGCTCGCGTTCACTTCGAGCGACGGCCGCGATCGCGGATTTGTCCGAGGGATCTTAATACACGCCACTTGTGCGACGCGATACGTGTTGTCGATCGGCCGGCCGTTCGCGATCGATTTGCATTTGCGACATGATGTCGCGTTTCATAATGAGTTGCTGACCAACTCGGATCAACAGCATCCATCTTGTTTCTCTCGCATTTCTGCAAGGAATTGAAGGTCTCTCTCTCTCTCTCTCTCTCTCGCGGACTCGATCGAGTCGCGATATATATAGAGTGTCCCGACAACTTCACTCGATACCTTCCGAGCTCTTCGCGCGAAAGAGAGAGAAGAGAGAGAGGATATATTTTCTATAAGATATTATTGTCGACTCTGCTTCGTAGAAATTCCACACAAACGTGCGAATTGTATTTCTCGCAGAGTTGTTTCGCTGCTGATGCGACGTCTCTCGTCGATATTACGCGCTCGAGAACAATCTAGACGATTGAAAACACTTGAAAATATTCCAACAACAAAGCAACCGTTGAATATAGCAGAGGGGTGGGGGAGGGGGGCAAAGCGATAGTACAACAAAGTCGAAGCTTGACCATTGGGTCATTTTCATTTTTTTTTCTTCCGGATTTAATGTTAAATAGATTTCAGCCAATGAGAGTGAACAATAGATAATATGGTTTGTTAGGTATTGTTAGCTAAATAATAAATTGTATAATTGGAACATGCACGGAAAAAGAAGTAGCTCCCACAGATTAAAATTAGTTGTCCGTACAACTTAATTTAATTGATTTAGTTCATTCTTTTGGTCTAGTTTTCAGTTTCCACAGCTAAAAACTAAGTCTGGCAACTAAATTTCAGTTGTAATATATTATATGGATAGCTGATTCCTTTTTTCCGTGGAACTAAATTAGAGTCGATGAGACGGTAAATATATGGTCGGTTTTATGCACGGACTACCGAACTGGCGTTTTCTTATCAGGGCCTATACAGTGCGTACGTATAGAACACTCGTATTGAATGTCATAATATCAAAGTATACAAGATGTCACGTTAGCGAGACTGAAAAGCACTATATCAGCAGTTGTTATCTTACGCGGTTTTATCGTTCTGTCGTTACGGGTGTAATATCTATATTATCTGCTATTAATCCGTGCTAATTAATTGAAAATACAATATAAAGATATGTGTGTATGTGGGTGTACGCGTATGCTTGCGCGTGTGTATTCTCATTTTTAGATACGCGCACACGCATTTATTTTTAGAAGCCAGAGAGGCGGAAAAGCGCGCAAATAAAACGTCTACTTTTTGCGTAAAATGATTAATTGTAAATAATAGAACGATATTCTAGTTTTAACTTTTGAGAGAATTTTTTCTTAACAAGGATTTTATTACAATCGAAAATCGTACGAGGTTATTCATCTTTTTTTCTCGCATGTAACATTGTAATCAGGCGTGAAAGAATCACGAATTAATCCGTCTCGTTGAAATCAGATAGCGGTTTTAAAGCAAAATTCTATTTGGCAGCCTGCACGAAATCGATCGGTCGACGTCGATTCCAAGATTATCGGGCCCGATATTTGTTATTGATACAGATTGATTTCGGCTTGTACAAGTGTTTGCTGACGACTCATTGAACGTGAAAAAAAATTCCGAGGCGAACTAATACACAGTGAAACGTTTTTTTTTAGATCGACGCTTTCTACATATTATCTTTGAGTCTACAACGCGGAATTTTCGGCAAACTCAATTTTTTCGCGCAATTACAGTCGAGAAAAACACCAGTGCGTGATTTATAACGTAGAACAGGTTAAATTAAAATACGTAAAATACATAAAGTATACTTACGTAAAATATGTAATTAATTCTGTCCCATCTAGTATGTTTTTATGCGAAGCACGTTTTCATCGTAACTTGCACTTGAAAGAAAAGACCAAGATGGCGAAGTTTGCACGAGATGAAAAACGACGTATCATTCGAGATAAATCAAAGTCGTATGAGTAATCTTCCACGTTTCACGGATTATTAATTTCTCGCCACTCTGTAGATTTCGAAGAAGCTAGTGCGAACGACCAGTTTGGGGCCAGTCGGCTTTCACGAGTATCGCCATGACGACACCTGCATATAAATGCAGGAACCTTCGTTTTAATATTTTAAACATGGCCGCGGAAGAGGTATAGGTAGGCGGACGAGAAGTATCGAGAAAGCGAGAGAAAGAAGAGGTATGCGACGCCCGGTAACGAGCATCTTTCAATATAAGATGCACGATATACGTGAAGCGAAATACAAAGGAGGAATTATTGCGCGTCGGAAAGTTTGCGAGAAATTTTCCCTCGGCTTCGTAAAGACGATTCTCACGCGCTTCTTCGTAGTTGTGACGGGCCAAGATTAAAGATTCTGAAACTTGCAAGAACGATTTTTTTTTCTCGTAACGTCGATGATATCGAGTTTGTCGTTTCTTTTAATTCCCAAGAAGAAATTACACCGTCGTATCGTTAGAACAAAAGGCTGAGAGAGAGTGAGCGCGAGTAAAGAGAGTAAAAGATTCTAACTCTCCTCCCTCCAGCTGTCTTCTTGCGATCCTCCTGGGGCAGGGGGACCAGAAGCCAGTTTTATGTAACCACCGAGCGGGGTCCGATATTAATACCTGCAATAAATAAACGTCTCTTCCCTGCCGCCCGCTTTTGCCTCCACTCTCCCCTTCCCCCGCCCGCCGAAGAAGCACCTCGCTCTGTACTTCACTCCCTTCCCCCTACGCATTCTCCAACGACCGATTAAATGATTAAATTCTTCTAAATATATTCTCGATTTCTATCGCGTGAATTCATCTGCACAGAAGTAATATTATTTGACGTTATCTAAGTTACATCGATCTCCGTCGATGATCTTAAGAAGCTCTAATCATTAACTCATAATTTATTAACTTTAATAAAAGTTACATTTTTCATTATAGCTGGAAGAAAAAAGGAACTCGCAGAAGGATAACAAAACGTAGAGGTCTTTCTCAAGCGTTTTTCAAGAATTCTTCCAAACATGTGTTCTTCAAGATAACACATGCATCTGGATGGAGTATCTGTTCACATCTTACCGGGCAGCATTAGATTGTGCTCGAATGTTCTAATACTGTCAGGTAAAGATGTCGTCAGGATTCCGAAGACAACGATAATAAACAGAAGATAATAATAAGAAGAGGACGACTATTAGTTGAGCTTACGAAACAAGACGCGATGTGACGAAATGGATACGGTTCTTCAAGGTTCTATTGGGTCATTTGAATTTCCTTAAGAGAGCCTGTAAAAGGGCCCTAAGCCTCTTTCTCTCTCCATGTGGGCAGTTTCTAAAAATAGACTACAAGATAAGCCCGAAAGTCTTTCCTCGACAAGACTCCCAAATGCGTTGGAATTTACTAATACTAAAACATCACAAGTATGCGCGCCATTAAGATTGTTGCTCAACCTCTCATTTTTCTTCGTTAATTTATTCTCTCTTATTTCATCTCGTTACCAATTTCTTCTTGATTTTGTTTTAATCTTATTTAGCTTTCTAATTTTATTAAGTTTATTATATATATACATGTACTTTGGAAAAAAGGTTCAATTCCCATCTTTTTTCAATTATAACATTCAGTTATATTTTAGAATTTATAAATACTTCAAAATAATATAAATTATAATCACATGTTAAATTAATGATTTAGCGATTAAATAACAAAATATGAGGTCGAAAATATCTTTTGATTATATCATAGTAATAAATATCATTTTTGTTAATTGTGCGTGTATGACATATGTATTGATAAAACCTATCTCTTATCAGTAACATGTAGAAAATGGGAAATTATGACAGTTCCATTTGCTTTTGTTGAAAATATCGAACGTGATAATTATAATCCTCGGGATCTGTAGTCCATCTTACCACCATGTATCCCGTGAACACAATAGCCAATAACATTCGGTCTAGACTGTAAGGAAAGAAAAATAAAATTGTAAAAAATTCAATATAATAAGTACTTGATTGAACTGCTGAATTTGTAATCTCCTTGACATCTCCGAGAAACGAATAATGAAAACTACAAATAGAAGGAATATAAAAATAGCGTATAAATAAAAATAATTAATTAAAAATGAACAATATTAATAATAAAGCGATAAACAATTATTATTAATGAGTAAATTATGAGATTGTATTTATGAGAAACAATAAATATATAAAGATTGATTTGTAAAACTTGACCAGGTTTATACAAAACCCATTAATAAATAAAATCCATCGATAGAATTCTAACGGACTTTTAGCATATACTTGAAAAATATTTCATATTCTTTATAAATATAGCAGGTACGTCTCATTTTAAAGGTATTTCTTAGATAACTCCTTAAAGGGCTTTGACTTTCAATTGATGATATAACAGTCAACAAAAACAAAGATGCAAATCACAGGGTGTGATAAGTACACATGTATGTATATAAGACTATATTGACTAAAATACAAAAAGCCCAAAGAAAAATTTTACCTCATAAAAGGATACAGCCACAGAACAATAAGAAATCCAGTGAAGCTAGGATGCCTCATATGATTCATGTATCGTTTCAATTCTGTAGATTTATTATCCAGAGGACTATTTCTCCCAGATATTCTGTAGATCAAGAGTTCAATTCAAATATAAAGGAGACATCAAATATTTTTGTTGCATTGGCACAATGCTCATTGCTTTAGGGTTCCTCTTTAGATCCAAATTCTAACATTTATTTTTATCTGAATGGATTTGAAAACTGTTGAGGTTTGAAATCAAAATGCCTATCACTACCTGTAGAAGACCTGCTTGAGTCCATACAGTTCAGCAATATCCATCATAATACAACCACTGTAAATGTAGCTCCAAGCAAACACATGAAGGCTATTGAAAAGTATTGAAACAGTACTGCTAGAGGTGCTAAAATGCCAGAAATGATAAAATGGAACTTGCTGCCAATTGTTGATTAGGAAATTAACTATGACTGAGTTGCAAGCATTATAAATGCTTCTACTGAGGTGTTCTATGTATAAATTACAGCAAATTTGTTTAAATCGATTGCTGGCCATGAGAGAATGTTGGAGGATAAAAACAGTAAGCAACAACATATCCAGAAAAAGGTTCGAAAAAGCAGCTTGTTCTGTACTGTCATCTGAAATATATAAAAATTATTTTTATTTGTAGTTTCATAAGGACCTTTAATAATGAAAAGTAGCAATTAAATATTAAATATCAACTACAAGATAAATTAGATTTTTAGTAAAAAAGTAGTATAAACAAATTGAATAAATCAATACCTGAATGAATGTGTATATCGTGACTTGATAAGAAATATGTCAGACGACACAAAACATAAGAAGTAAAGAGAAAACTACAAGCGGACACAATAACACTGAGCACGTTCGCGATCATTTCTGGTGAGATCACAGAAATCACAGAAATACGTTAGGTGAGTCCAAATTCGTTGTGTGCGCTTCGCAGTCATGACGAGCCTGAACAAACTCTACAGAAAACGATGACATCTCACAATACATAACAAAGTGGTCTAGTTTCCACCGAAGCTTTTAATCTGTTTTTACTTCGGTGCGCAGCAAATGTAGTGTAATGTTTCCATCGGAAGTAGCGGAGAAAATTATGGCGTTTTCGATTTACTGATTCAACCCGACTCAGACAGCGTTCCGCTAATCGCTGCAGTATTGTAAACTATAGTATACGTAACTTGAACTATAGGTTGCACTATTGTAATGCCTATATCAGACTACGGATTGGAGATTGAGATTAAATTGAAATTAACCAATCAGTGCAAAGTTCTCTGAACTCAAGTTTAGTGAAATTTAGTGAACTTTGCACTGATTGGTCAAATTTCAATTCGAGAGTGCGTTATCATATGTGTAACTACTATGGATGCGTTCCACTTAACGCTTGCAACGATCGAGAATATCATTCTATCCTTGTTTCTCTTAGATATAGTCCAGTGAGAAAAATTCTTTCTCAAAGAATTAAAGCCAGCGGCACACGGTGCTTGTTTTCGCGCTGGATTGCTCGCTGAATAGAAATACTGCATTCTGATCCGTGCATTTCCAAAAATGGATGACAATATATCAATTAAAACGCAGTATTTCTATCCAACATGCAATGCAGCATGAAAACAAGCAACGTGTGCCATTGACTTAAGCCACGTATTGGAGATTAAGATTTAATTGAATTTAATCAATCAGTGTAAAAAGTTCACTAAATTTGAATTTAGTTAACTTTGCACTTGATTAGGCAAATTCAATTCAATCTCAATCCCCAATCCATTGTCTGATACGAACTTCTTCTTCTTCCTCCTTTGTGCCGCTAAGCGTTGGGGTATTTCATTTGTCTCTAAATAGATGCTTTCGCTCCACGTGGGTTATTAGCCCTACGGAAGCTAGCATGGTGCGCACACAGATCGTATACATACATATGGGACCTACAGTTTAACGCCGGTTCCGAACGGCAAAGTTGGAGAGAAGTTTTTTCTTGGCAAGAGATTACTCTTTGGTGGTTTGCCGGGCCACCGAAGAGGAACTACGAACGTGTGAAAATTTTTTGGTTTATGCCGGGGAGCGAACCCGGGACCTCTACTAGCATAGTAGACTAGTGCGCTATCTACCATATCACGCTCGCGCTCCTGATACGAACTTAAGGTTGTTATTTCACGTGTTGTATGACGACGTGATCAGATGTGCCAATTGGCTGTCGGATAGACGGATAGAGAATTTCTAGAGTGTCTAGGATAAATATTAGAGATCCTAGAAATTCTCTATCCAGTAGCCAATCGGCATTTCCGACAATTTCGTCGTATACGTGAAACAGCACCGTCTTCCTTTGCTTTCTAACCATTCGGATAAAAATGCGTGTCTAGAAACGAATGCATGAGATCGAAAATTTCTAGTTATTTTCGATCTAATAATGGCTTGTGCACAAAATGCGGTAACATATGACGCGCGGCGGAAATTCGCGCCAATCATCACGCCGTTTTTTGTTAAGAACTAGAAGTTTATTGGCTACCATGTGAACTACCGCTGCGCGACAAGCGTTGCCGTGTTCTATGAGCAGAAGCCATAAAGCTGCATTCGGAAACACCAAATTGAAGGTAGAGTAGTCTTTAATTAACCAATCATAATAAAGAAATAATTAGACAGTCTTAAGAAGAATTTACATCTTACAGAAAAACAGAAAACAGAGAAGTATCAGTCAATCAGAACTCGCCCTGGTAGTAAGCAGTAAATAAAGCAGAAACTGTTAGCGCAAAATTCTGATTAGCTGCTGTTTTTCTGCTTTCTGCTTTTCTATCAAGGTGTGAATTCTCCCTTAGGCCGGTATTCATACTGCAGGTTCCATTTAAGGCTGCCTCCCCATTCTGCGTAACTTGCGTCAATCAATCAAATTGTTTCAATTATCCAATTACCAATTAACACGACGGATTTGATTGGTTGACGCAAGTTATGCAACATATGAAAGTACCCTTAAATAAAAGATCCAATTATAGGCAAATTCCACTTAATGCTCGCAACGACGCGAGCGTTATTCTATTTTTGTTTTTTGCAGGATGTTAATTAAGTATATGATGATGATGATGATGATTAGTCAATTTTTTAAGGCTTAGAGCTTAAAGCACTTATTGTAAACCGGAACTTACAAATCCGGTTTAAAGGAATCGTGTGAACAATAAACTTGTTTTGATAATTACATTACCAACCTAAAAATATTCAAACGGCTATATTATTTGGTTTTTCTTTATTTTATATGCTCGTGCAATTATATAATTTTATAGAAATAATTTCTGTGATGGATGGATACTAATTAAAACTGCTTCGTATAAACGGACATGAATGTAAAGAAATTATATCTACAGTTGTTATTAAATTGCATTAATGTTGCCGTGTAAACTTTGGCCGGTATTCATACTCAGATTTTATATTTAATTAATGTAAAATCCATTCATCTTCGTAGCCAATAAGATGAGTCGTCAAGACAATGTCTGAAAGATAAACTTAAAATGATCTTGTATATAACAACTGACTATAGCCGATATTCATAGTTGGATCTTATATTTATGATAGTTTTAAGTTTATCTTTAGGTGCTTCGTAACCTATGAAATGAGCCGTAGAGCATCTGAAGGCAAACTTAAAATGATCATGAGTATAAATCTGACTATGAATACCGGCCTATAAATACTGACCTTACAGTTAATAATCGATTGTGGTTGGCCAATTAGCTTACTGTTTCCATCTTACCATATACTTCACGTAGCGTAGAATAGTCTTAAAATTCGCTCCAAGTTGTTTGCTGGATATAAAAGTTACTAGAAATTACTACAAAATTACTGACATTTATATGTGTGCATCCCTATATATATATATGTACTTCTTTCTCTCTTTCTCCCTCCTCTTCGTCTCAATACATATGTATCTAAATCCCGAAACGAAAAACATAGGCAGATGGCTGGGGATCTATGTTGATGATTAATAATCGTCAGTCAAATTGATGGTAGTAGCGACGAAAAAAGCGCAACAGCAGCAGCAGCGGCGACAGCAGCAGGAGTAAGTGCCGAGGAAAACGAAAGCGACAAGTTCATTGGCGCGCGACCAGGATCACTGCGATTGCTAATCGAATTTATTGTTTCGGCATCGTGTATGAGTGAGCGAATAAGCGGGCGAGCGAGCGAGCGAGAGAGAGAGAGAGGGAGAGTGAGAAGTCCATCCGTTCAAGATCGGAGAAATAGTTGAGTCGCGAGAAACATGGCGTTTGTTTCTCCCGTACGACGAGGAAACATCGCTGTCTGCTAGAAATCGCAAGGCAGTTCGGCACATGCCCGTCGGTTATCCATCGGGTGAAGATAACCCACCTACGTAACGAGGGTCGATTTCGTCGCGACATCCCGACGAGAAAGCGTACACCTCGACACTCTGCGACACGGCGCAGCGCTCGTTGAGACGGCGGGATCTTCGACGAGCATGAGGACAGGAACTGTCGGTTATGCGTTCTGAGATGCCGAGGACCTGTTGTGAGACGAGCGACAGTGCGCAACAATGACGTCCCGCAGTTACACGAAATCTTACAACCGTAAGCTTAACAGTGTAACACCCGGCAGTATACAGTTCGACAAGCTCTTCCGCGAGAACAGCAATCGGCCGTCCGCCGCCAAGTCAGCGGGTACTGTTGGCAAATGGGGTATAACGTCCTTCACGTCCATCAGGAGCACCAATATCAATGGTATGTATCTTTTAATGTACACGAAATACAAGATCCTTTGCCTATGATGCAATGTGTTTCAGAAAATCTGTATGATAATTCTGTGCTTTCTCGAATTTGAACGTGAAGATCCTCTATTGCACATATTATTATCAGATGAATGTATTTATGCATATCATAATTTATAACATAAGAATAGATAGAAATTGATAGAATCTGTTTCTAGAAGCTCCATTGTCGCATCAATGATGAGACAAATATTTTTAGATTGAACAACAATAATGGAAGATTAGAATGACAAGGAGACATTCGTGTTTGATAAACATCCTTCGTATATGCTGTTTTATTTTGCACATATTATATTATGTTGGCCCATTCAACAGTTTTGCTTAACAAGTTGCAAACTGCAATATCTAAAAATGAAGTATTAAGTTTTTATTTTTCATAATAAAAAGCAGTTAACATGTCTTATTTTGTTATATACTAATGGAACGATAAAAATGAGTGTAAACTTCAAGTAAAATACATACTATAGGTATATATTCATATATCGTATTTACTTATTTACTACATATATTTATATACATTTACATGCATATATTTAAGAAGACATATATAATTACCTAGACTTTTTAATATATATACAGTTAGAAACATGGATATCAGTTATCCTTGAAAAGTAAGGTCATCGGCAGCACAGTTGAATCATTCCAAAGATTGTTAACAATGGTAGTATTTTTTTCTTTTCTCTCAAAACAGAGATCTGTAATTACCTTGTGGATGGAACACATAACGCGGTAAAGAAATGTAAACATTGTGTGTCACCCCTGAAAGAAACAGCAAGCTTGGCGTTGCAAGGAATTATTCCGTTTTCAGGAAGGAGAGATGATATCCATAACACGCTTGGCGCGAAGAAAATGAAACTGGACTATGGGAATCAGAACGCCCGGGTGAATTCTGGCAAGGATCCGTTCTCCTTCGAGACAGACCCGGACAACAAGCCGGACGCCGCGCCGGAGGTCGTGAAGCCGAAGAAGTTCTTCAAGAGCCGGAACGTACCGGCCGTGGAAGAATCTCGCCAAGACGTGGCGATCTACAGACCAGTACCTGACTCTCAATGCGGCCGGCCCCGTGTCCCGAAGCAACCCCAGCAGCCGCAGCAGCAGCCGGCGCAGCAGAAGCAGACGGCTGTGACGAAGGTGTCGCACGCGCCGGTCAAGAAAGTAGCGGAGAGCTTAGATAACACGACCGGCGACGTTCTCCCGAGTCGAGAGGAAAACAAGCCGCCGATCGTGCTGAGAATATGCAAAGGCACGGCGCGGTTTGTCTGCGGAGATGTACAGGACACGCAGGACACCTCCGAGCCGGAGACCTACAGGATCTCCACGTCGCTCGCCAGTCCATCCAAGATGGACATCGAGCGGAAAACGTCCAACACGTCGGCGGAAACGTCGCTGAGGTCGGACTACCACAAGCCGGTGCGCTCCCACCAGCCGCTCGTCTCCACCGTATCGATCCCCTTGGAGAACTCCGACATGCGTAGGACTACTCGCAGCCGCGCGAAAAACCTGCACCTCGACCTGACCACGACGACCACCACGTCGGTCGTCGCGACGCCGGCGCCGGCGATGCCCAACTCCCACAGCTCCGGCCTCTCGTTAACGCTGAGGAAGTCCGTCACGGACTCCAACAACACCCTCATATCGCACTACGACATCGTTAAGACTGACTGCGGCTCCTCGTACTCCTCCAAGCCGACCATCGAGCCGTTGATCGGACGCGATCAGCCACTGCCGACTACAACTCAGGAGCTGATCGACATATTATCGAGCGACTCCGACGCGAAACTGCCACTGCCACCGCCGCCGGCACCGCTCGCACCCGCCGCGGCGACAACTGCGATCAACGTAGCCGGTAACGTGGTGGAGGCTGAAGCAACGCCGGAGAACATCGCCAGCCAGGTTCAACATTGCACCATAGACATCCAGACTAACGAGGTTGTGTCTGAGCAGCAGCAGCAGCAACAAGAACAGCTGACGTCAATTGTGGACGCGCAATTGATCGAACCGGTGGAAGCGGCGATCGAGGCCGACCCCGAGTCGGAGCCGGAACCCGTGGTGCCGCGTGCGACCGGTGACACGGAGATCGCCGCCGCCAAGGCTCTGGTGGATCAGGACTGGTTCTCGGGCAGTGACGATAGTGAAGGTGCTAGTGGGAACGCCGAGAGTGAGATACCGCTGCACGTGACGAGTACAGTTTCGGAATCGCAGATCCCCGACGTACCGTTGACGAGTGTGCCGATCAGCAGCAAGCCCGCCGCCACGAAGAAGGGCAGCATCTTCAAGAGCCGCTCGACGGGCGCGACGAACGGCAAGAGGCGGGCGTTGTACAAGCACAAGTGGTGCGACAGCGACAAGGAGTCCACCGTCGCGGACACGCCTACCACCGACAATAGCACACCGGCCACCGCGTCCGGCTCCGGCAGTGCGAGCGCCTCCGTCTACGAGGAAGAGTTCGATCCCTCGCTCCTGACGAGAGTCGTCACTTACTCCGCGGCCGACGCTGGTTTCGAGGACGAAACTGATGCCGTCACGAGTGTTCGTTGCGGTAGAAAAATTAAAGGGGTAAGCACTGTACCGAATATAATCATTTATGGAATTATTCACCATTATTATATGTATATTTCGTGTTATTTTTATCTTATTATTATATCACACTTATATCTCGTGTTATATCATATTATAATATCTCATATTATTGTGTTTCATATTATATTATTATCAAGGTTGTCACAGACCTGGAAACCGGGAAAAGTCGTGGAAATTTTTTATGTCAGGGAAAACGTAGGAAAGTCAGGGAAGGATATAAAAAACCTGGAATTTTGAACTTCGTTCGCGATTCGACTTTAAATACTCTCAACTGTATTCTTCTTTTAAATATCGTTTATTTTCTGTTGCCCTGAATTTGCATTCAGGATTACGTTACTAAACTTTTAAGTTTATGTTACCTCTGATAATATAAGCTATCTTTCCTGTAATACCTGTTCCTAATCGTTGAAACTTAAGATTATATATTGTTCATAGGAAATTCTCCAATGTCGTCTAAAAAATATGGGAAAGGTTAAGAAATTTTAAAATTTATTTTCTGTAGCAATCTTGATTATATATTCCACTGTATGAAACATATATTGAGTTGGAAAGAAAGTAATGTCATATTTTCCCAACGGATGATTTTAATGCGTTTTACTAGAAAGAAATTTCAATCTAGATGGCATAAGCGCATGCTATTTTGGCAACTGACACCTCTAATCGTTATTTAACGGCGTGTAGAATGTATGTAGAAGCGTTTTTGTTCACTTGGGATCGAGAGAAACTGAAGCAAAACAAGCTGTATTTTCGTTGTTTGATGCTATTTTAGTGTCTCTTAAAGCTTAAGGTTGGCACTTTCAAATCACCATATATATATATATAGGGCAAGAAAAAAATTTTTATTTGAACCAGAGTTACAGGACATTAAATGCAAATGCACCAAATTAATTTGTACACCTAATATTCGCTATGTATGAAAAGGATGTCAGAACGTATGTGTCAGAGATGGTTTACGAAGTTTTGTGCTGGTGATATGGCACTCGAAGATGAAGAGCGCTCTTGTCGACCGGTTGTTGCTGATGAAGATCATATCAAAACTTTATTCGAGAATAATTAACATGAGACGCAACTTATACGACGCAGGAGAGTGCAGAGATACTCCACTTATCATACACAACTTTCTCGAGCATTTGCATAAGCTGGGATACATGAATCGTCTTAATGTCTGAATGTTGTATGATTTGTCTGAAAAACATTTAATTGATCACATTTCTATCTACGGTTCGTTACATAAACGCAAGGAAAACGACTCATTTTTTAAATTAATCGCAACAGGCGATGAAAATTAGGTTATCTGCAACAACGCAGTGCGCAGGCAGTACTGGGGAAAACGTTAATCATAATTAAAACGTAATTAAAAAAAGCGTAAAAGTAAAACGTAATTAAAAAAGCCGTTGACCACTCTAAACGCACAGCTTCATCCGGAAAAGGACATGCTATCTATTTGGTGGAACTGGAAGGATGTGGTATATTATGAGCTCCTTCCAAAAAACGTACGGCTTCATTTAGACAATGCCTAATTGGACAAGCTGAAGGGAGAACCATTGCGGAAAAACGTCGAAAACTGGCCAACAGAAAGGGTATTTCATTCCATCAGGACAGCGCCAGACCTCATGCTTTTTTAACTAGCCGGGAAAAAATATTGCAACTCGACCGGGATGTTTTACCACATCCAACATATTCATCAAACATTACTCCTTCGGATTACTACTTGTTCCGATCCTTACAAAACTTCCTTGATAGTAAGACGTTAATTTCTTTGGAGGACTAGAAGGTTTAGAAATCACTTTTAACAATTCTTCGCCGAGAAAACGCCCGAGTTCTACGCGCGAGGAAAGCTGCCCGAAAGATGGCAAAAGATCATAGAAAACAACGGCCGTTACATTATTCTGATTGAAGTTGTTTTCAAATATAAATAAACTTCCTCCAATTTTGAGCTAAAATTACGATATTACTTTCCTTCCAACTCACTATTAGATATTATTGAAATATATATGAAATATAATAATATATACTATGGAATATATAATTCGTGGAATATTGGAAGGCGTGTTTATATATTCATTGCCAATACTGAAAATCTACAGTTGATGTTACGTATATTACATAGATTTATCATATTGGCAGTGAATTTAGCACTGGCAGTACGAACACCGCCTGACTCGTTTCTTTACTTAAAAGATCTGTTATAACTTAATTGGCAAGCAACCTTTTGCACTTTTACCTTGCTACAGATATAGTAACATTAATTACTGTTTTCAGTCATGCAATGCAGAATCAAACACGAGATGTCATTTCTTTACGCTCTCTACATTCGATTTCCTCACCGAGAAAAACGATGGATTTATTGAAATTTTGTATTGTAGTTCTATACTGTAGTGAAGAACGTGAAGAAAGCTCACCAGATACAGGAGAGCGGTGAATTCCAAGAGTTCAATGACGACGTGGAATATATCTTGGACACTTTGAGGGAAAATAATCCAAATGCTACTCGTTGCCTTTCCGCCATACGGTTAGCAAGTAAATGTATGGCTCCCGCATTTCGTATGCACGTGCGTGCTCATGGAACTGTTGCCAAGTTTTTTAAAGCTCTTCACGACGCAACTAAGGATCAGGTATGAATGAACGGGATTTCAAATTGTCGGCCGCGATGAGAACGACCGTTTTACATTCGACGTAATAATAGGAATACTTAGAAGCGAATGTGACGTGCGATTTTATTCCGTTTGTCAATCAGATGATAATGCTGTTGTTGTTGCAGAGCCTCGGCCTGTGCACGGCGACGGTGATGTTTGTCTTGAGTCAAGATCGCCTAGCTATGGATCTGGACCGTGATTGTTTGGAGTTAATGTTAAGTTTATTAGAGTCTGATGCCAGCCATAAGGACGCTCTTGACGACTGTGGTCTGAGTCACGCTGAATTATTAAAAAATAAGGAAAAAGTGCGCCAGTTGTGCGCCGATATCCAAGCTCAAGGACATGCTAAGCACTTAAATCTAGATAACATTACTGTGAGTAAATCTTACTTGCGACCTGTTACGATCATTATCCCGGGCGTGTATGATTTCCTTCATTTCTCTCGATAGGTTGGTCAGCTTGCTATGGAGACACTGTTGAGCCTTACGTCAAAGCGCGCTGGGGAGTGGTTCAAAGAAGAGCTACGAGAATTAGGCGGTCTGGAGCATATTGTAAAAACTATTCGCGAATGCCACCGTCATATTAACGGCCAGGACGTTTTAAAATCCGGCTGGACAGATCCTTTATTAGATAAATTACGTAAAGTTGACAGATGCTTACGTGTATTAGAAAATGTGGGTGTTTCTTTCTTGCGTCTTTATGCGAATAGAAATTCGGATGTCACGTGAACTTTCTTTCTAGGTAACTCATATGAATGAAGAGAATCAAGTGTATTTATTGAAATATGAGGACGGAGTATTAGTAAGCACATTAGCTAGTTTATATTACTTCTGCGGTCAAGAAATCCCCATTTATCCGACAACGGATCCAAGCGACAAAAGTTCTACCGGTGCTGTTGTTAGAGAATGCCTTTTCGCGATTATTAAAGTTCTCATTAACCTCACCCATCGATTTAATAGACAATGTAAGATTAAATATTTATCGTATCGTTGTATGTATAGGGAGAAGTTTCTTTTTTTTCTTTTCTAATAATATATTTCTTCCACAGCTTTTGGTAGCAAGTCGGTCGGTTCTCAAATCGGCGTTTTGGACTGTAGTTTATTTCTTTTATTGCGTGTTCCCGAGTCACTTCCGGAGGAAAAGCGGTTCGACATGATGATGTTGGCATTAATTTTATTGATAAATCTGGTGGAACAGTGTGACGATAACAAGAAACATCTCATTGATTCGAGAGCTCCTCCGTTGCTAGAAAATATTTTTGACTGTACGTAATTCATTCTCGTCCAAGTCGGCTGTAGTAAATTTATAATCTTAACGTAATATATATCAGATCGTCGTTATGAGTGTATTTATGTGTGTGTGTGTGTGTTATTTTCGTCATTCGTATGTTTCTAGCTGGGGAAAGCGGAGTGGAATCCTTGATTGATTTGTTTTACAAACAAGAGGAGCTTGCGCGTGCTGAGGAGCAAAAAACTGACGCTATTCTGGACGGACAGAAAGATTCTGAACAAACGGAAACGGTATCGACTACTACTAAATCTCAGGAAGAATTTATCGAAGAGACCGTTACAAAACGTATGTGTATTGCTTGAAAGAAAAAAAAAAGATTATTCATCGAGCGAGTAATCACCGTCGTTGTAATTATTTTAATCGTACGTTTGTTATTTCACAGTATTGCAAAAAGCTGGACGACATATGGAACACACTTTGATTGGAGCTTATGTCGTGCTTTTACTTGGATACTTAATAATGGATAACAAGGTAGAGTTGGATACAATTTTAATGTGGAAAAACGCGGTTGGAACGTTGATTGTCACAGTGATCGTCACTTATCAAGTAGTGTGATAACTGTGACATGTTTCAATGAAAAAATATATGTAATATAACAGGCAATGATAAGAAATTGGTTTGGTTTTGTAGGAGTATGAGTCACTAGTACGAAGTAGACTACGAGACAAGAGTTTCGCCACTATGGTCTCTGTACTTCAAAAGTTCTTCAACTTCATGAATTTGACGGCATCGGTAAGTTAGTTTTCTTTCACGAATATTATTTCAAATGATCGGGAAAGCTAACGTAAATTTTACGACACTTACCGTGCACGCGTTTGTTCTTCAGAATGAAGTGAGTAGTTGCGGGATCGCTGCTACTGAGAAGGTAATCAAGTTCCTAAAGATGTCGGATGCCAGAATCGAGGAGGAGACGAACGAGTTACCATTACCAGCATTAGAAGACACCAGTATAATGCTCGACTTAACCTCATCTTGATTGACATGTCATGCACGCACCTGACAGCATTTTTTTTCTCACCTGGCGTATGCAAAGAGCCAAAGTTGTATGTGTCCAGCGAAAAAGAAGTTTCTCTCTGTCACGACACAGGCGGACTTCTGTTTCATATTCATATATTTTGATACATATTTATTCATTTACGTAATTTATTGTAGGTTTTCATCGCTATTGATTTTGCTAAAATTCTCATTATACGATGACGATAAATCGTTTTACATTTTAATCGGTTTTTAGATATAAGATAGTGTAATTTGAATGAACATTTAAAAGAACACATCTTGTAAGTATGATTGCAGGGCACTTATCGTGATTACCGTTACACACACAGTGTCTACTATCAACAATCATTTAAGCTATCAAATAGCCACCTTTTTGAGATATAACCAAGAAGCGTGATTCTGAGCTTCTTGCCAGTCTAAATGATTTATTTTCTGTATATGATCTTAATATTTTGTACAATCAACAATTTAAAATTACACTTTGCGTTTTAAAAACCTGTTAAGTAATTCATATTGCACTAGGATGCATTATGTCGCTGAAATTCAATATAGCATTATGTATAAGTTTATTTTAATATTAAAATTATATTACCATATAAGCCTTGTAAATGTAAATTTATAAATTATAATTGTACCTTATACACACACCTGCGGTTCACAGTTATTGGATCCCGTTAGCATGTATATACTTGTAAGATCACTATTGCGTTACACAGTGATATGTTTAGAAAATATGAGAAATATTCTGCTCTATATACAATAAAGTTTCGAAGAACGTGATATTTCAATCTGACCCCAATGTGGCGCCGTTTTACTTGTTGGACGCACCAATTGGTTGCCGGAAAGTATACAAGTAAACGAACCAAGAGTGCAGAACCGCTATACCCGCCAGATTTAAATTTGGAATCTGAGTGATAACCCAAGACCAAAAAAGGCGGTAATCCTAAATATTAATAGGAACACAAGTGCATATTAAAATACGTAAGTTACTTTTTGCTTGTGGCGCACATAGGTTATAAGATTTTGCTTTGCATAAGATACGCACATTATGGAGATATTTGAAGAAGTTGAAAAAATGGCGACGCGCCATGTTGATTACTGCGCTACTGTGCGGTTCCAGCGCAACTGAATAAAACCAACCTCTATCGCTCTATAGAATGTTTACAAGATTTACAAGGCCACGTCAAAAAAGATAACCTATTTACTCCTGTCATTTGTACGTGTGTGATATGTAGCTGTCAAAACGATCAGCTGTTGTCAGTCGGCAAGTGCAGAGATGTTGAAATGTCAATATTTTGGAGAGTGATTAATGATCCGACATTATATGCTAATCAAAGTACGGACTGTGTGTGAAGTGAAAGTTTCCGGTTCCCAACGGTCCAGTGCATAATTGGAGTATTCAACCCTTTGCAGCTACTTTTTAATCATAGGGCATCCAGACGTGTACTGCGTAATCTATGAATTTAGGCGTATTCAACAGAGTTAATCTTAAGGTGCTCAGAGCTAACTACATCGAGTATTCAGTCAATTTGCGTGTTTACTAGTTAGTTACTCTACACAAGTATAGGCCGACACAGGATTACTGAAATAATCATAAAATTTAAACAATTTTAAACTTCAGTTTATATCCATTTATAGTTATTTTCTAACATGTATGCTTATATCTTAATTATGTTACATTTAATAATTGTCCTGCATTGTACAAAAGTAAAGGGAGAGTTTGCAAAATTATTTGTATCTTTTCAGGATTCCCAAGGAGGGATGTATTCAGAATGGGCTTCACTGAGTACTCTGATCCAGCAGGGCTCGGAGGAAAGTCAAAGTGTACTCGAGAAATTTCCTCCTGGCGCGGGGAGAGATGTGGCACTATCCATAGTACGCCAACTTGCAGCTAATCTCGGTATTACTCAAGCCGGAGAGCCCAGTCCACTCTGTACTGACAAAGAAGTCCAATGGTGCATGGAAGTGATATGTTTTGGCCTGTCATTGCCATTAGCTGAGCATGATACCGTCAGAGATTGTGTTAATATATATTGCGAGTGGCTGTCTGCATTGTATTCCGCACCTAAAGTTTCTGTACCAGGACCGATCATAGATGATCCGAACTTCTATGCTAGGAAAATTATAAGCCACTTCCACAATTTGTTCGTCCCAAGGAAAGGAGAAGGTGAGCTCGATACCAATTTTCTTCATTATTGTCTCATCAATTTATCATCGATCTAATATTCGATAATATTCGCATTTTCTCTCCCAAAGTCTGGCCATTTTTATATCAGGATCTAGGTAATTCGCAGTATCAAGTATAATTTCCTCGACACGCATATCCATCACGAGACCGTTCGTCGATATGTTGACATTCACAACACTGAGATGCTTTGAATGTTTTAGGCACGGACACGATAAATCGACAGGCCGTCCTGTGTCACCGAGTATTAAGGACCTTTCAGCAGATCGCAAGAGGCCCGGCAACCTTGGAGAGAGAAACGTGGGAGAGTCTGCTGTTGTTTCTCATTGGCATCAACGATGCGTTACTGGCACCGCCGGCGACTAGAGAAGACGCAGGGGAGCAGCTCTGTGAAAGAGTGCTTGGTGTGTTGTTGGAGGTGTGTAAATATATGAAAGCTATTGTTTCAATAAATACATTAGCGTTAACAATTATCGTAGACTGACAAAACGATCTATTTTTCAGGTATGGCTGGTATCCTGCGAACGCAGTTTTCCGTCGCCTCCCTTGTGGCGTACACTACGAGAATCTTGCCTGCGATGGCGTCACAGATTGGCTTTGGTGGAGCAATGGAATCGCGTGTGTCTTGCCCTTACAGCCAGACTGCTGCAAATTATGTACGGACCGATGTTTCCTGAACTGAAGATCAGTATGTACCTTTAAACTTCTCCTTTGTGTTATTAATCCGAATGTAAGTTGCATTGATAATTAAAATACAATTCATCAAGTTTCAACCTATGTGCAATTAAATAGTATAATTTGTGTCTTAACGTAAATTAATAAAATTAATAATGATAATAATGATGGTTTTATTGTGCGTTATCTGGATGTGTGCTGTATGCACGTACAATTCATATTGTGATTATTGAGTAAACGGCACGCAATAGACGAACAAAATCGTATGCTTGTAATTAGCTTCAACCAAATGAACTGAATGTACAAGATAGTAAGAGACAATTCTACGCATTTGTGTTATGAATACAACATAAAAGTTAGCTTTAACGAACACGATAAGGCAAGAAAGATAAAGAAAGGATGCCGGCCGGTAATGAATTGTAGTAGTGAGCAGCGATATATGAAAATGATGCGCGAAATCTCAAGGTTTAATGTCATGGAAGGGATAATAATTCGTGAAAGCGAGTAATATGTGAGGCGTCTGTGAGAGTCGGAACAGCGAAGGTCACGAAAGTAACCGGGAGTATTGGTAATACTAAGTATACCAAGCAGGAAAGATGGATAATGAAACGTTGGTGCATCTTCAGCCAACCTGATTTTTCACAAGAGTTCACAAGAGAACATCGTATTAGAAACGAAGGCACGAGTTTTGCGATCGTTGAATTTGATCAGATAATTTTCAGACACGGATTAATTGAACCGTTACGTTACATATATGAATAATTTCAATTTGATGACAGTTCGATATTATTCATGTGTTACTTGTCTCCGTGTCAACAGGTGAGGAGGATACGCAACTGGTACCACCCACTATGCCGGACGAAGCAGTGGCACAGGCATGGTACAGACTGTTGCGCACCATCGGCGACCCCGTGGATCTATGTAGACCCGCCATTGTTTCGCAAACGCAAGCGTTCCTGCAATACGCCATCGCCAGTCCCAACGTCATAGATCCCTGCCAGCATCCGTGTCTGCAGAGCTTGCCGCAAATATTTCTGAAAGCTATCAAAGGCATAGCGGGTCAGGTTGACGCTTTCCTCGGTGAGTCGAAGACTCTGGTTTGAGCGAATATCCTGTTGTAATTTACAGGAGAGTGTACGTGCGATTGAACACTTGTAAATTACTCTAATGGTAAGGCAGCGTATTGTAATATACTTCTCCTACGATCTCTCTAACATCTACGAGACTCGCGCACGTGTTGTTGCCAGCTTGTTCACGTGATTCTGGTCGTGGTGGTGGTTGCACATATAGTCACGAATGTTTTAGGAGTTTCACAGGCATGTTGCTGGGAGGAATGTTGTGTATCCAACGTTGCGTCGGGAAATAGTAATACAGGAGGCGGGGGTGTCGGATGGGACAGGTCGAGCGGCAAGGATCAGCCTCAGCCTTCCCCTACACCCCCAACGCAACGCAGACTTGCCAAAAGTTTCAGTGTCACTCCCTCTGCGGTTACTAAGGGTATTTTCAGTGTAATACTTTCTCTCGCTGTACTTCAATCTTCGTCTCGCCGACATTATTTCCCTTCACGAACACTCGAAGCCACAGATATTGTAGTCATTGCACCCATTTTGTATCATATTTTTCTTGCTGTACAAAAGTTACCTTGTTTTTCTGTGTTCTAATTATAGTATAGACAGACTGCGGGTATTCGTGTCGTCTTTTCCAATCCGAGAGAATCGGATTTTGCATATCTTCATGACGAAACACTTTTCACTTTTAGTCCCGCTGTTATTCAGCTGTTACGTATCGAAATATGTATTAACATAAACATCCGCAGTCTATGATTGTAAGATAATACGAAGCACTGGCTGCTACGATTGTTAGTGTTGGATTCTTGAGCAAAGTTGAATTTCGGCATTTTCTAACTAAAGTTTAGTGAAAAGAGTGTCAAGTTACACATATGTATGATGTATAAGTAAATAATATACATAATATAGTGTACAAGTAAAAATATCTCGCAGGAATCCCAAAAGCCTCATTAATTGGATTAACAACAAGCCGCGTAATCAGCACGCCACCGATGCTGATAACCAATTCCGGACCGTCGTCCGCTTCGAGCACAGCATGTAATGTCATTTCTACGTTCACGGGTTCACGGTTACATTGCGAAGATCACACGTTCACATCACGATTACGATTTGCAGCTATGACTTCACTCGGCCAAGACATCAGACCGCCTTTAGCACCCGGACGTCCTAAGTGTAACAGTATACTGCATCTCTTCGGGGAATGGTTATTCGAGGCTGCGTTTATCGGCACTGAGGGCTGGTCCCAGAATTTACCGCGTGAGTATCTTCGATGACGAGGCGGGCATCTTATTCGACGAATATGTTACATTCAATTTTAATATTACAGAACCATCCGGTGCCTCGAAACGTCCGTCTTCGGTGCTCGTCGACGGGCCGAGTTCGTTGCAAGAAACCGTGAGCGAAGTGCCGTCGACGCTCTGCATAGACCGCTACGAGTCGGGCAGAGCGGAGGCATTAGGCGCCCTGTGCAGGATCTTTTGCGCTAAGAAAACGGGCGAGGAGATCTTGCCCGTGTATCTGGCCAGGTTTTATCAAGCGATGTATCATGGCCTCAAGGTGGACGAAGTGAGTCGTTGGTTACTTACTACTTACACTGGTCAACAAATTTTGAATTTTAATTTCTTCTACTTATGTTTATGCGTTGAAACGGAAAATGTTAACAAATTATTTAGCTACTGTTCAAGAAATACAGGCTATATTTTGATTTTTGCAAATTGATTGTAATTGGTATATAAGACGATCCTGTATAAATCAGCTATGTGTTTTCATTTTAATATTCTGTAGGAAGATAAAGATTATTTCCATTCTTTCGTGGTAACAATCTTAAGATCGTTAAAAGATGCTTAATAATGTAAGATATGAAAAGAAAACCGAACGGAACATATTTTTACTATCATTTCTTATATTTATGTTTTATACTATCAGAAAAAAGCTAAGATTCTTCTTAAATGCTACATTATTAAATATTTTTTAACAGTCTCGAACTATAGAATGTTACTATGAAAGTAAAGTAAAAAATTAACTTTACAAGAAATCATTTTCAAGATATTCCTTATTCTCTATACCACGAAAGCCTCAAATATCAAAAATCCCCTTTTGATTATTTATTGTATGATAAAAATTAGAGCTAAGTTTTGATAGTGTTATTTATGTTCCATACTACAAAATTAACTAAAATTGACGGTTTAGATCTAGGATACAATTTTTGTGTTAATTAGTCTTATTGCTTCATGATTTAGAGATATATCAACATGCGTACTATGTATCTTATTTGTTTCTAGTCGCGTGAATGTGGTGAAACGCTGGCGAGTATTTTGTTGAACTCAGCCGACTTGTTTCGTCTCGACTTGAACGGCATACAAGTGTTGGTGCCGGCCGTGTTATCCGCTTTGGAAGTCGTTCTACCGGAGAAAGACTTGAAACTGAAATCCAATTTAGTTTCAAAACCGGATCTGAGAAGGGCCTCGATACATCTGTTGATATCGATGTTAACATTGCCCCTGCACTTTCAGGTAAGTGCACGAAGCTCATTGAGGGAAAATATTGATCTGGATAATTAAAAAAAAAATATATGAATTGCTATTGCGTAGAATCTTGCCATCAAGGAACTTCCGACATTCCCAGGCACAAACTTATCTGACAAGACTCCCATAACGTTTGTACAGTTAAAATCGAGACTCATGAATTTGCTCATAAACGCTTTGCAAGTGGAGACCGATCCTCAGAACACACATATGCTGTTGGGTAAGATGCTGAAAAGAAACACCAGTAATCCACCATCCAACGAGAACGCTTGCAATTTAACTCTAGCTTCTCTAACATACAATTTTATACCCGAAACGCGTGGACGAAATCACACTGTATGTAAACGATTCTTCTATCAGGGGCTCTTTTACTGAGTGTACAAGACTCTGCGGAGGCGGAAGAAGTGGAACAAGTCACGCAGCCAGACGTCGTGGCGAATGACTCATCTACTAATTTATTATCCTCAGGTTTGTCCCTAATACTAATGAAACCGTTAGCTTGCATTTAATTGAATACACTGTTCTGAGTTACCCAGTATCAATTCCTGTTTGTGTCCAAATTTTTTATGAATAACCATTTTGATATCATAGGCGTTAATCTTGGAATTCATTTACATACATATATGTACGTTATATGACAAAACAATATTTCTTTTCATCTAAATATCTTTCTTGAGTCATGATGAGTTCATGAGGTTCATGTGGAGCGTCATGAAACATTATTACCTATTTCATAACACCTATGAGCACGATTGGCTTTTCTCCGACGCCAATGGAGCAGCGAAATTATATCGCCACTTCATCTAATACAGCAATTTCTCATTAACATTTATCGACAGCTTATGAATGGGAGTAACTCAGTATAATGACGCAATATTGAAATTATACAATGCTTCAATATCACCTCTCATCTCGTATCAGCTTTACACGTGCTTATATATACAAGATGTTAATTTTTTATTATATTACGAGTTGTGTTCTGTTGTGCAATTTCTGCCATTGTATCGTCTTATCATCGCTTAATAGTCACCAGCGATTCAGCCAGTCAAATAAGTATATCCAGTGATCAACGATCAATTGGCGATGCATCTGATATTGCGACTCTTCAAGAGGAATGCATTGCATTCGGTAAATACAAATACTGTTTATCTTGCTACACACGCTCATAAAGAAAAACCGCATTTCGAGGACATTTGTAGAGTGTGAATTTTGGTTTCGTGCTTATGTCGTTTATGTTTCTGTCATTACATTTGAGGTACAAACAAATATGCGAGGTGTCTCATCTCTCTTGCGGGAAACCTCCCACGACCAAACTCCTTGGATAATTTTGGAAACACAAATCCCAATGCGGAAATATAAAAGCTGTATAATAATTTTCAAATAACAATCGATTGAAATTAAACCCAATTATTATTTAAAAATTGATTATTTGAGATTATATGTTATAGTTCCGACGTTTCTGCATTAAGACTTTTGTTTCTAAACTATCCAAGGAATCTGACTTGAAGAGGTTTTTTGTAAAAGATGCGAAATACTTTGTGTACATATCCTACTTTGGACTGATCACATATTATATATAAGAATATTTAATATATTTATACAAAATACATGTTAGACACATTGCATCTTACACGTAGGCTCAATGACTAAGCAAAGGGTACATTTTTGCAGATTCCGCGCACGCTCTTTTTGTACGCGCTACGTACTTGGTGTGTCATCGTTTGATTTCATCATGGAAAACTGACTTGAATATCTCTCTGGCAGCGCTCGAGATGCTGTCGGGATTAGCGCGCACACGTATTCGCGAAACAGGTAATAACAGTCGGATGTAATTACATGTTTTAACAATATCTGCTTTATTATATATATATAATAATATAGTTACATAACACTCACCTCTGTCTTGGTTCAAACAATTTTACACGCAGCGAGGAAACTTACAGGTTCGATATCAGTTAAAAATCAGGAACTGGAGTAGATATACTTTGGAGCTATACGCGTCAGATTGCTGTATTTCTTACAGACGCACTGGAATGTAAAAGAGCGGTGAAGTGGTTGTGTGATTACATTGCGTATCAATGTTGGCGTCCACCTCCGGCACATTCTAAGGACCTCCACTCTTCCATCGTTGCGGCGTTCAATTGCTTAACAACTTGGTTGACCGCGCACCCACAGTTATTACAGGTTCGTCCTTTGTCCTTAGAAGAGATTCACAATAAGAATTACAATAATAACAAGAATAACAATCACATAGAATAAGAGAAAGATTTGAAAGACTAGGTGGTGATAAGGACGAAAAATGGAAAAAAATATAGGGTGATGAGTTAAATATATTTGATTTCTTATATATATATAATAAAAGAAAAAAATATATAAAAGATATATATATATATATATATACAATCAAATACATTTAACTCATATATATATAGGAAATTCACGAAATCATCTCAGTGAGTATTCTACTTTACTTTTATCTTCTTGTTGAAGGACAAAGACTGCTTGACCACAGTATTGGAAGTCGTTGAACTCGGGGTATCCGGCACTAAGAGCGTCGGGAAACCAGGCGAACCCATCAAAATGAAAGACGAGAAAGAGCTGAAGCCTGCGTCTATGCGTGTCAGGGATGCCGCCGACGCCCTTCTCACTATTCTATTGGAACAGGTTTGTGCACAAAATATACACGCCCGAAATTCTTATTCTAATTATAATATCATTATCCTTGCCATTGTGATTTTTGTAGATTTCTCAGTGTTATATTAAATAGCTCAATCTGATATTAAAACGCTCCATCTTTCATAGATTAATTTTTCTCAATTTCACAACAAATTACAACAAATTGCACACAATTACCTTTTCCCTCGTAGGTCGGTTATTTTCCCAGTGCCTGCGGAGCGCAGTCGCTCTCGTCATTGTTGGATGAAGTTTCGTTACTCCGGCACTGCAACAGCTGGACCGGTGGACGAGTAGCCCGGCAAGCGGCCGTAGAGAGATTCCGCTACTTCGTCTCTGAAAATGCAATAGTGCTAGCTCTGTTGGAGGAACCTCTGGGGAACGATCAAGACCCTCAACCGACCGTGACGGTTCTGATACGCGGACCATTCGGTAGACATGCGTGGACAATGCAGCTGCGACACTTACCGCGTCACCGGTCCAGCATCAGAAGCATCAACAACAATCCCGGCAGGCCCTTGCCGTTGGCTGAGGCCGCTCCACGGACGGATTATAAGCCAAGATTCTTCCCGGATAATGTGGATCGCATTCCGCATTGCAAAGTGTGAGTGAATTGGTCTCGCATTGTGAAATTTCGGTCATGGCTCAGATTTGTTTACTCGGAATACTGACGGTCTCTCCTTCTTTCTTCTTATCTATCTTTCTCTACTCGAGTGCTCTCTCACATTGTTTCAGTTCATAAATATTAGATCTTCATTTGTTATATCTGGTATTATTTCCTGTGTATCCTCTTATATTACTCTAGAGAAAGGCTTTATTATCTATCATCTTTACATTACGTTTATCTGACTGTTCCATCATAAATGATAATATTCTGTCATGCTTCTTTTATTTAGGTGAGTTATATCAAATATGTTAAGTAATACGTCCGGTAAATTCTTTATCTCTTCTTTTATCACTTTACTACTCATCAACTTGAATCCACACTTGCGTGTAGAACGATATTTAATTAAAATGGAGTAGTATTGGAATGTACGAATTAATATTTATTTGAATATTTATATCAATATCTATTCGAGAATAAATCTTAATTCGTATATATAATTTTATTTTGACATATTATTGATTATATATTGTTAATAATTATTTATGACAGGGACGAATCAATACCAAGTCTCGAGGCAGTTATGAGCGACAACGACGCGGTACGAAACGAACACCAGATCCTCGCGCAACTCTTAGAGCGTCAAATCACGCTCGAGACCAAATGTGACAATGGTAATGTAAAAAATACAGAAGAGAAGAGCGAAGAGTGCGTGCCGCCGCAGATCTGTCATGAGTTCCAAACGGCCCGTCTGTTCTTGAGCCATTTCGGTTTCTTAAACATGGAGCCTAAAGAAAACGAGGAGTCCAGAGATAGCGGCCTTATTGCTCTAGATCCGACTATTCCCGGATTCTGTATGGATTTGGAGACACTAGACAATATCAGTCCACGAACGTGTGACACTGTTCATATCTTTTACGTAAAAGCAGGTCAAAAATCTGCATCTGAAATATTATCAAACGTGGTAAGATGTTATTTATCTTATACATCAGTTATATCTAATCGTCGTTTATCTCGTTTGGGCAGAAAGTTTTCAAGTGCTCTTTCTGTTGAAACAATCATGAATGATCCACTTTCGATGAGCTGCGCATTAAAGCCAAGTTAAAAATGTTTATTTGATTTCAATTATTCGATTGGCTGATTTATGTAAGGATTCGATCTAACGGTGATTTTTCTCCGATTATTAGAATTGCTGCGCACGTCAAAATACCACTTATCACGATATTAAAGATGCGTCTTCCACGCATGCTTCATCTGTATTCATTTACAGCTTACCATCTTCATATTTGCAGCTGCACGAGGAAAATGTGTCGCCGAATTTTTTGGAGTTTCTGAGCTCCCTCGGTTGGCCCGTTTCTGTGTCCACTCATGCAGGCTGGACCGGTCATGTATCCACATCCTGGAGGGCGACGGCGCAGGTGAACGTGCCGCAGCCGGCCCATAGCAATCATGGCGGAGCGCTTTACAACGGTGACACGCACGTGTTGTACTGGGCCGACGTAAGTTCCGAAATTGCATTTGTGGTGCCTACTCAGTCGTACCTCATGGCCAGCTCGGACTCATTAGAAGAAACTAGCAGTTACAGCAGCGATATCAGCAGTGGTCAAGGTAATATTTGAAAGTAGGAAACATTGTCGAGATAAAAAAGTTAAGATTTAGATATTTACGATATACTTACTTAGACGCATTGATAAGATATGAACTTATCTTTTGTGTGATGTGTAGTTACGATTTAAGTCTTGTCTCTTGAACGGTAAATATGCGATGTAATTATGCATCTATGAACGCAATAAACACCTCGAATGTTTCGTATATTCTACTGCAGCGTGGTTCGAACGAAGCATCAGTGAAAGCACGGATACTCGGATTTCTGGTGTGTCACAAAATACAGCTCAGGCTTCGAGAGCGATGTCGCTCGACTTGGAAAAACAGCCGTCGAGCTTGTCGGGAATAGGTCCGACTAATTCGTCAAGTGCGGATCCTATCAAACCGAGAAGGTCGACGAAACAGGCTCTACCATTGCAAACCAATACGAAAATCATGGTAGTGTGGTTGGAGAGTCTAGAGGATCACATCCAATTTCCGATCGGTTCGTTCGCTTTCCTCTTAACACGTTCAATATAAATAGGGTGTATAATAATTGTTAAAGAATCCATCATTTTATTCATTCATTGAATGGAAGATTTTTTTAATAATATGGAATTCTCAGAAGAACATTGGATAATCCTCAAGTTATAAATAATTTCTCAAGAATCTTTCGAATCGTGTAGGTGATCTGCTTCCTTCCACCTGTACCGGGCTGGAGCAGTCGAGGATGATGCAAGCTACCGATGTACAAGTGATTTTTTTGCAAGCTCTTGCTAACGGTTTGATGAGAGTCAGATTGCAGGGACCAGTCTCTAGAATCAATCTAGCAACACCTCTAATCGACGGTATGGTGGTATCGAGGAGAGTCTTGGGGACATTAGTTAGGCAAACAGCTCTTAATATGGGACGTAGGAAGAGGCTCGATAACGACAGGTATGCAATGAATTATCTCTCTCGGATGTTTTTATCGAAATTTCATGTGTTCTCTTGAGATTGTGCTTCGGGAAATCTCGGAATTTTATAAATCTCTCTACGCTTTAGTTATCATCCGCCGCATGTGCGAAGACGTTTGAAAATTCAAGAGATGGTACAGAAGTACAAGAGGAATTTAACGGATCCGGAATTGTTGACGCTTTTATTCAGCAGCACTCAGACTTATCGAGTATGAGCAAGTTTCCAAGAATGAAATTGAGGATATCAGCAATCTGATAACATTATTGCAAATTCACGCAATCGCTTGGAATAAAACGTCTTGTCACGATATCTTACATTACATGTTTTAATACAAGTATTACGTAAAGAACTCTACATCTTAGCCGTTATTTTATTACTCATCAAATCGGTACTGTAGATATAGCGCTGTAAGGTAGATTATATTCACATTTCATGATCAAATAGCTACTTTAATATAAGATATAATGAAATGTATCATTTAATTAATTTATTGTGTATAATAATACATGCATTCTATACTCCCATGTTCTATATTGCGTAATTTTCCGAATGGACTACCCTAAGGCTTTATATCGGTTATGTGTTTTCAATATCGTCATTATTCATATCTGTGTAACGCAAGTAAAAATTAAAATTGTATTCCGTGCACACACACATTACATACGATTACGTAAACACTTACATGTTTTTCGCATGTGGAATTATGAAAGGTTATGTCGCGATAAGAAATGTATATTCGATAGATTAGTTAACGAATCATTACATTACACTTCATATTTGCTCCAAGGTCGATTCTAGATATATCGAATAACGAATGAAGCGTTTAATTCGAAGTTCTGTGGTCCCCCATACGAACTTGATGATTTTGCTCATAAATGTTTAAGCATATATGTTCAAGGCTGTCTTTGAAGAAGTACCAGGAATACGTTAGAGAGGAAAAAAGATTTTTTGTTTGATTGTTGTCTTTTATTTTGGCCATTAGCGGAATGGGATTTTATAAAGTGTTTCGTCTCACAACGATCCTACCAAATTGCGTTTCATCATTAACACGTTCATTGTCAATCACGCGATATCGCGTGATGCGAGTTCTCACCAAACGGCCGATCACGCGTTATCGCGTAATAGATATTTAGAGTACATAAATCCTATGTACATAATAATAAAAGCATATAAATAATATATTAACTTATTTTGAGCACAATAAAAACTAAATAAAAAAATTAAAAAAATTTGGCCATCACACGAAATTTCAATTTTCGGCTTGGCAATGAACGTGTTAAACGATTAAACATTTCTTAGGTAATAATACCATACTGTTACGAGATTATTGATTGCTCATATCAACTGGTAAATACGTTTTAACTGTTCTTGTGTTGAAATGTTTTGTTTTTTCCTGCCTCATTCATTATATCTTCAATTCGACGCTTATCGGTCTCACATATTTTATATATACTTAATCTCAATCTGCACTTACACTACGACTCCAACTCTCAACACGTCAAACAAGTATGACTATGGATTTGTGCTTTTATTGATTTTATGATTTTTCATTTTCGCTATTCTCGCAATAAAATATATTTTGCCTCAGTTTTTCGACAATATAGAATTATCCAGTCTGTTAAACAACTCGCCTAAATCACTTACAAATACATGCTTCTATTGATATTTTTAACTTTTACTATATTGTCCAGTTATATTTATAGTAATATTATTATTGGAACATAGTTATGTAATATGAAGAAATTATCATTGCTCCTAATCGTCATGAGAGAAGACATGAAATTCCATTCCAATAATGGCCATAATAAAAAATAACGGTCATACGCGAAGAATCTTTTTTCTTCTTTCTAACATACTTCTGCTATTTTTTTAAAGACGTCTTTATTTGTTTAGAACATTTATGAGCAATATCATCGCAACGTTGTATTTTCACATTAAAATTACAGGAGACTTGGGGCATTACTTGGAAAAAATATTTACAAAATGAATTATAATTCGACGGTCATTTATCTTTGAAATTCAGCGAAATTCAACATTTTCGCAAAACTAATCTGATCACAAACCGAGGAATGAAAAAAGAAAAATAAATTCCGAAGTTTAGAGCGTCTGAAAAGCCGCTCATGTGTTCAATCGATCATGATCGAAAGACGATGAATCCATCCATCAAAGCGTCGAGAATCCTATCCATTTAGGAACAAAATCGACTACAGTACAAACAGTACAGTAGTACAAACTATTCGTCGTAAATGTATAAATAAACACTGGCTTCGTAAATACGAGACATCTTACACGACGTTGCGTAACGATGCTACATCTATTTATTTCTCAATTCTGAAACGCGACAGTCGCATATAACGTGACCGATTACTGATTTTAAGTTACATATATTTTCTTTCTTCGTGTCCATGAAACGATAACACCGGTTAAGGCACGAAGATCTCTATCTCTAAATGAGCGGGGAGACTCGAACGCATACAATGACTCGTGTCTCATCTAAAAGCGATGTATCATTGTCCACTTAGCGCGCGCCCTGCAGAACGCGCGGGGATCCATTGTCTGAATTCAGCGCGTTTCGTATTACCGTACGCCTCCAGTGGCCCGTTGTTATTTTAACCGCGTTGACTTAACGTCAAGTACGCGCTCACGACAAAGCGAATATCGCTTTGTAATGATGGAGGCATCATCCTCCTCAATTGCGTTATTCTTATCATCGATAAACCTATCGGCGGAAAATGTTTTGTCACTTTTTTTATCAAATATATCTAGTATGTAATTGTACGAGATGCTTCATTATTTTCTATCGAGACTATACTATACGGTGAGTTAGAGATTGAATATAGTTTAGAGAGAACCCTGTATAATTTTTTTTTATTTATATAAATCAATCCTTCAATTACCGTACGAATTTTGCAATTGTATCTTGAAAGTATGTTAACGCGCGCATGTGTGTGTGTGTAGGTGTGAGAAAAAGAGGTAAATTATTAAGAGAACACAATATATGCTGAAACTATTGTTTAAAAAATTGAAATATTTTTTTTATATGTCAGATCATTTATCTCCCAATATACTATTTTTATTTCGAATGTTGAAAGTTAAGGTGAAACTTAAAGCTAAGGTAATATATGTATCTCAATATCTCTTTATTAAGAGATATTCTTAATTCTACAAGACAATTCTAATGATCTCGTTCTATCTGATCTTTCGTATCGATTATTCGTATCAATTCCGTTCATGATATACTTGTGATTACTAAGAACATTGGCGTTTAAATTTCGGTATTACACGCAGCACATTCCCAAGTGATAAGTTCTCCTCACGATAACGGGTTGGAATAATGCGGTAGTCTTACTTATCAGCAACATGCGATGACAATGACAAGCAAGATCGCTGCATCGAACTTCAAATAGTATTGATTATTGATATTAATTATTGATATAAATTAATAGTCGAGTCAAGATGTCCATATGGATAATGAGCTAGGTCCAGTAATCGAAAATTAGCAAATTGAATGTTCTTGCCCGAAGCAATTCCCAGACTCTCATCCTGAAAATCCTGAAAATATATTTTGTATTTAGCTTTGAAATCCCATAATTTAAAAATCCACAAGACACTGTGAATATGAGTAGGATATATATATTCTAAATTTTGATATCATTCCAAATTTCATCCAAATTTTGATATTATTCCTGTTTATATATATTACAGAACAATTTATCATATATTTTATTTTATTTTTTGTTACAGAAAATAGTAATAAACTATAGATATTTATATATTTATATGTTACAAAAATATATTGAAATATATTGACATTCTTTTGTCTTCTATAGGGGCTATTAAATAAACATGAATATTCTAATTACATGTCAATTTTTTATTGAGATAAAAGCAACTTACAATTTATTGGAAAGACTTTGTTATCTATTTGCATGAAACGCAACAATCGAGTTTTCATTTGATTACGGACGATAAGATATTCGTGTCTCAACATTTTTATATGTCGTAATCTCAAAAAAACGCTTGATTAAAAATTGATATGCCAATATATTTCTTAATTTCCTCAAATGACACGTATAAAGGTTATTTCATTACTTAATATATGCATTACAAAGAATTTATATATCACGAAAATATAGATTGACTTTTTTCATTGTCAGTTCTTCATTGTCAAATTATTTTCTTCAGTATTTAAAAAGTATTTATAAAAAATTCTGCTCACGGAATAATATATAGTTCGATAATTTGCAATGCTGTAGAGAGTTTAAAATTAGATTTCCATATTACAACTTCGAAGTTACGTAACTAACGACGAAAGAAGACGGGGAAGAATAAGGAAAAGAATCGAAACGGCAATGAAATAAGTACGTGATTTGAAAACCACATTGGACAGAAATAGAAAGGTATTATAACTGATTGTTACTTTGCGGGATAACGCATTTATACGTCGAGTTAATGTCCACTTTGCGCAATCGAATCGCGCTCAGGCATGTTGCAATCGATAAACTTCTCGAGAATGAGAATCGTGACAATGATAGTGATGTCACTAAGTACGCTGGAAATGATTGCTATATGCGAGCGCACATGTGTGTGTAATTCGTACTTATTGCCAGAGGCCCGTATATTCTTGATACGTGTTTATCGCGGCAAGACGAGGCAGTCTGATTTCAAGGCCTCAATTTACGCCGCGCATTTAATGTTATATAAATGCGGCTTCCGATGGTTATTCGAGAGAACAACGTCCATATCAATTTCGAAATTAAATAGTCATAAATAACAGGGATAAGCAATATTAAAGACTTTCGACGCTAAACCAAAAAAAAATTCTCGCATTCGTTGAATTATGTTTTCACTTTTTTTTTTTCATTTTCTGGTTATTATTCTCCTTTCAATGAGTTATTTTCTTCAGCGTTGTCACTTCATATTTACAAGTAACATTACAGCTACAATCCTACATACATGAGCTGGTTTATAAATAATTTTTGAATTCTGAATAATATTTTTATAAATAAATATTACATGGAGAAAAAGAAATAATATCAAACAGGAATAGTATCAAAATATTTGAAACAGGAATAATATCAAAATATTTGAACAGACTTTGTATGTAATCATATTATTTTTAATCCATTTGCATAATGACTCAAGTTTCTGTGTTCAGACATCAGCGGCGTTCAACTGACGGCTGGCCCATATCACCGCGCGCGGCCGTATATCGGCAGTTTTATTATTTTCGTTAACTTCTACAGTACACTCGTTCTACAGTACACAGTTAATTTCTACAGTAAATGACTTCTGTAGATAATAATAGTTCGTAGAGTTTATTTAACATGGTATTTTTTAAAATGATCGATACATAATGCTACATCGTATTATGTATAAATTGTGTCATATGCGGAATATTCCGCGAGCGATGATAAAAGAAAGTTGCGGCTCGCGAAATATTCCGCGCTCGGTGACAGCAGACGATCGTCATGCGCGGAATATTCCGTTTATGGATGCAAATGGGTTAATCCAGATATAGCCAAACCTGCAGAAATACAACAGGATCTGCTAGACAAAGACTGTGTTCTCTTTCGGCACTCACATGTTGTAACTGTCATTCCTTTTGTCATTTTCCTCTGACATGTAATGAACAATAAAGTTAAAATAATACAACATATGAACGTCCAAAGAGAACGCAACCAATGTAGGACAGATTAATGGCAGATTAACGGCAGAAACTAAGCAGGATGTCGTTTCGTTAGCATTTAAATATATTTAAATAGAACACATTAAACAGATTCTGCTCGGTTTTCACCATCAAGTTGCGTCAATAGGCTCCGTTGACAGAACACAAACTTAAGGCTAATGGCAGAGAACGAGGTATAAGTGCTTCTGTTGTAGTCGTGGATATAAAGCAAGGCAGAAAAAAACTATAAATATAACTGCACCCATATGATGGCCTTTTAAGACTTACGTTTGCGATTTTCTTTGTCTCGCTTTCCATGTCCACAACTACAACGGATATAAACGCTTACATCTCGTTTTCTATCGCCATCTGCCACGGTATTCTGCTCAAATATGCTGCAAATCTGCCGGCATACCGCTAACATTTTGTTTTGCCGGATAGATTATCTTCGTGTTTCTCGTTGATAAAAACAAGAATCATATTATTCTTGAATCGCGGCAACAATGGATTTTACCCCGACAGCATCATAAACGTCCGCAAAATCGTATCTATAAGCGTAAGCATATGTATACATAAGATAACTCAATATTATTATCGGTGAACAGTCCGTGTCGAAAATCGTAGTAGAGTTTGAAGTTCGAGAAGAAATATATCGTACCTCGCGAATTAATTTTACCATTTCACTTTTCCCGTGAAGCGGCAAAAATATATCGCGCGTACATTGTAATTCGCTGCTTCTCGCTTCATCAAGCGGAATAAGCAGAAAGGTTTATACAATCGGTGAAGAAAAGTTCGTAACCTTTTTATCTCGATGAATACGATACTTCAGAGCGCATCCGGTGTTCAATCGCAAGAGATCGATTTCCCGAAGATTACTAGAAAATAAATCCTCCCATTGGACACGGATCATGTTGCAAACTCATCGAAAAGAAAGAAAACGCGGCCGCCCTTCCCTCACCGATTGTGCGAAAACAATTGAGAAAGGCTTGGCGCAAAAATCCGAGCTCAGAGAGCTCCACTTTTAAAATTGTACATTGTATCAATAAAAACGGTTTTGCAAAGTAAGTTGCGCAAATTTTTTTACGAAAATCATCTAAATATGTATAGATTGTCCCGTACATATTGCCCTTAATACATTTTCTGATAAAAATAGTTTCATTGATAATGACAATTTTAATAAAAAATATTTTTTTAATGGAGTTATCAGTTTCTCATACCAAACGACGTGGAAAGTCGATACGGTTAAATCTACAGTTTCAAAGTTACGAAAAAACTGTTTTTTCTTAATTCTTCCGCGGATTTTTCTTGTATAACTTCTTTATGGAGAGAAATGTAGCAGGTTTTAACCGAACACACGTGAATTTTCTCAACCAACACAATGTTTAAAATCGAGACATAAGACATTTTTATTCTGAGCTCTCTTTTACCGATAAAAATGCCTCTAAAATTGACTTAGGAACCCTCTAATTGGCTGAGAAGCCACGTTTAAGCCACTTTTATCAATAAAAGAGAGTTCAGAATACGGACTTTTGTGCTCTCTGGATTCCTGAAACGAACTTTTGTACCTTTGAGACAGAAATCGAAGAAGTTCGCGGAGAAATAGGGAAGGAAGGGGTTTTTCCGAAATGTTAAAACTCTAGTTAAATCCACTTGAAAAGTCAATTCTCAGTGAGCAGAATGTCCAAAATCGACACATAAGACAACTTTAAGATATTTAAGGCTTTTTAGACATCTCAAAGTTGTCTTATGCGTCGATTCCGGACTCACTGGGTTTTCGCCAAATCGTGGAGCTGACCGATTTTCGCGGCGAGCCGTTCATCGGCAACGACAGTTCGATGTATCGTTCAGTCATGATGAATGGCGCTGTAATCGATGTATGCGTGCGCGCACACGCGCACAGGAATGATTGCAAAACGATTATGAAACAGCAGATCAAATCCGCTGTCGGTTTCTACCGGTGACTCGCCGATATCGGGAAAATGAGATAAGAAAGCCTCCACATATGCCTTTTTTTTCATGACATAGCTTCCGATTCAAACGCGCAGCGGCGATTGGCCGGCCTGCGACGCGACGTTGGCCGCGAGCGCGCGGTCCTGTACGACACGGAGACGGCCGATTATCGAACTTTCACTCGTTACGCGCGGACGCGCTCGAGCCCGCTCAGACCCGAGAAACGGTCCGATCCCGAACAGTTATTCCGTGCTCGTCCCGTTCCGCGAAAGCGTCCTTCTCCTTCACCCGCGCCGGTTCGAGACATCCGGGGATTTCGGAGGCAACGAGCGACGGTACGGTGGTGACAGTGACAGCCGGTGGTGGCGGTAGTGACGGAGACGGTGGTGGTGGTCAGAGTAGTGGTAATAATAGTAGTAGTAGTAGGAGCAACAGCAGAGCAGCGGACAGCAGCCGACGATCCGGACGAGTCGCGTATAGATCCGTCGTCGATCGGACATATACCATCCGTCGCGGTGGTTCATTATCGTCTTCGTGTCCTCGCACAGTGCGTGTGCGACAGCAGCGTCTCGCAGTCACGTAGAATACGACGGGACGACGTACAGAAGAGGTGCTTGAAGAGAAGACGGGCGAGAGGTCGCATCATCTCTCTGCGATCGGTCGTCGATCGGCGATCGCGAGCGACGCGGCGGGTGTGTGTGTGTGTGTGTGCTTGTGCACGGCGAGGACGCTTCAGACGTGGCCGGGAGGAGCGGAGAGAGCGCGAGAGGACGAGTAGGAAGAGGTTCGCCGGCCGAGTAAATGTGTCAGCATGGAGAGTCAAAGGATGGACCAGTTCTGCGGCACTCCTGGGGGATTCTGGGTGAGTGAACGGCTACGGCGGCGGTGTCCCTTTCCCACATCCTCCTCTTCGCCATCCTTTCCGCATTCCTTCGCTCTTCGCGCGTGTACTCGTCGTGACGTCGTCGCCGTCCATGCGGACGAGCTGCTTATGGTAGGGTATGTTTTTCTTAGTCGAACTGACCACGCTAGTTCGGGAAATTTACATACGCACGCTGAAGCGTACGTGCGAAATTTTCGCGCTTCGGTGTGCGTAAATTTCTCGAGCTGGTCAGTTCAGCGAGAAAGAACAGACTCGATTGAGAAGCGGTGCCTCTGAAAAGATACATCTGCTTCGTTCACGGCCACGCTAATTCGATCGAGTTATTCAGCGAGCCGTGTTCGAGAACACTTCCCGGAATCGCGTTCAGCGTTTCATCTCGGCTCGGACACGATGAAACGTTAATCGGTCAATTATCTTGGTTGGCCTCGACGTATTCGCGCTCGGCGCGCCTCGTGCGATATATATTATGCACGGCGCTTTTAGCGTGAAGCCATGACTCTACGTTCGAATGGCGTCACCTCTTTCTTTTTTTGCACCCCTCTCTTTTTTTGTTCACACCGTCACACGCGACTCCTGAGAGGGAGGTAACGCACGATGCGACGGCGTAATGAGGCGATATCACTCGCGTGTATTGCAAGATATGTGTCAATGATCGTGATTGCGGGGATTAACCCTTATCGGTCGTAAGTCACCTTTCATGTGACAACAATATTTCGTCGCTGCGGTCGTACGTCACGTAGAAGGTGACAAGTTCGCATATTTACCGAAACCAGTTACAACCTAGTGAGAATCACGCATAAAAAGCTAGCGTCCGATAAGGGTTAATCTTGGCATGCGCGAGAAAAAAATGCGCAATCTGAGCGCCATGTGCGCAAATTTGTGTGCACTTGCGACGGTCGAAAAAAAAAAAAAACAAAATCGAACACATCTCGCCTTTTCGCATTTTCATTTTAGTGCATTCGCATTTTCATTTCCTCTATCTTAATTCCCTGTGACGTAGATGTGTATCACACGCGCAGAGATTGTATAGCGCAAAAAGTGTAGCAAAGTGATATCAAACGCAAACAGAGATAGTGTTTGTCAAATAACTTTCTATTGTTATCGTATTTGTATTGTACACGCTAAAGTGAAGATGGTTGAAAACATATTTAGAAGATTATTAGCTCCTAATAAAAGAGTTAGCGATATGAATGTATAGAAGTAAAATTCAAATTCTTTTTGCTCTGTGAAATTAGCGTTGTAATTTGGAGGAATCTCTGATATAATATGTATGTAAGATTGAATGAATTTCCTGGGTCTTTTTCTCAAAGAGTAGTAGTAGTAGCAACGCTACATGTTTTTATTGTTATGTACAATTTCCTAAGAGTATACATAGCTTATAACCGCTGCCTTTTCTTCAGGCGCTCACGTACTGTAAGCGCCATTCTATCTTTCTTTGACATGTAATGAACAAATAAAGATAGAATGATACAGTACGTGAATACTCAAAAAGAATGTAGCCAATGTATTTTAAATAAACATAGTAACTTTCTTAGGAGCAAGTTAATTATTCCTGATAAAAGCAAGTATTTTTGTGTCCATTGACAAAGTTTGTGATAAAAATTTTTTAAAACATTCTGAATGTAATATGTTTATGATAATAAAATATAAAATTGAATGCATATTAAATGATCTTATCAATTCCCCATTTGTATTCCTATTTATTGATATATATTTTATTATTTTATTTGTATTTGTTACTTGATAAATTTTTTTGTTGAATAATAAATGAATAACTCATTGATTAAGGAAAGTGAACTTTTTATACCTAGGAAATGCTTCTTATACCCAGGCCTTCAATTATCACAGTTTATTTATGAAATCCAGCCATGTGCAATACACCAGTGCATATCCTATGTGCATATGTATGACCTGAATTCTAAATGAAATGAATATAACCACAGTTGTCTATTTTTAAATCTTTTTAAAATAATACAATCTACATGTATTAAATAATTTTAACAATCATCCATATACACTGTTTATATAATTTATGTAACATCGTTAGATATCACTGAAAAAATTAAGATATGATTAATTGGCAGTAACATATCATCGTCTCACAAGACAGTTATTTGAATAACATCTAGAGATAATGATAAAACATCAGGAAAAGAGTTGAGAGATATCATTCCAAGCTCACATAAGATATCTGTAAATAATACACGGAATGCTCAACGGTAGATGTTTTGATTAACAACTGATATTCCTTATAGAAAGTTGAGACATTCCTTCGTTTGCATCAAAATTTAACCGGAGATCATATTTTTAACAATCTTTCAAATTTTAAAATAAAATGCTTTGACGACTGTCTAAAATTATGATATACTATTAAATTCGTATTTGAAAGCAACAAAAATTTATATTTTGGCTATATTTTTGAATGTTTCAGAATGCTAGTTTAACGTGGAACACAACCAATCCAGATCTAACAGAATGCTTCGAAAAAACAATATTAGTATGGGTGCCATGCGCATTTCTATGGGTATTCTCGTCAATGGAGGTGTACTACATTTTACATAGCAAAAGAAGAAACGTTCCATACACATGGTTATTTATTACTAAGCAAGTACTTACGATAGCATTGATTCTACTTTCCATAGTCGATTTAGGAATGGCAATACATGAAAGTAGTTCTTCTGAGGTCTCCAGTGTTGAATATTACACACCGTTTATAAAAATAATAACCTTTGTAAGTATATTTTCTCTTTTTTCTCAATAATTATAATTATTTCTCTCTCAGTAATTATCATTGTGACTTATTACAATTTAAAAAAATTATATTTATTTGGTTACACGAATTCTCTTTATAATATTTCAAATAAATATATTTTTTCCAGATTTTAGCATCTGTTTTGATGATATATAACAGAAAGTATGGAATGCGGACATCAGGTCTTTTATTCTTGTTTTGGTTTTTCCTTGCGTTATGCGGATGCATCCAATTTAGGACTTTTATAAATAAATTAATTAATGGGGCGGTATGTTAAATTTTAATTAGTATTATAACAAAAAATAATGCAAATAATACGTTTACAAATAATGTTTTCTAAATAGACCTTTCTGTACTATTTCTCTATATAAATATAAAAAAACTGTATTTAAAAATAATTTTTATATCTCTTATATAATATTATGTATCTCTTTATAGTATTATGTATCTGTCAGAACCATTTTCCTGTAATATTTTATGAAAGAGTTAGCAATTATATATTCAGGATGATCGTAACGCAATTTAAAAAGGTTTCTTTTTTTTTTTTTTAGGAGAAATCATATCCAATAGTGTCCTACATGATCTACTATCCAATGATATTGATACTTTTTGTACTTAATTTCTTCGTCGATGCAGAGCCTAAATTTTCCGAATATCCTACGGTAGGTTGTCATGTTGATCATATTTATATATTATTTATCACACACACACACACACATGTATATATATGTATATGTATTGAGTATCATAATTTATATGAAATACACGAATGTACATGATTTCTATATTTCAAATATTTGCGAATAATCTTCGAATATGTTTACTCGCAGGTTGAGTCTCCATGTCCGGAGCAAGGCGCTTCTTATCCATCGAGAATTCTTTTTGCATGGTTCGACGCCTTGGCATGGAAAGGCTTCCGAAAACCTCTCGAAACGTCTGATTTGTGGTCGATGAATCCAGAAGATATGGCTATGGAGATTGTACCGAAATTCGACAAATATTGGAACAAGAACTTAAGAAAGACAGACGAGTAAGTTTTATACGCGCAATTGCCAAATTTCTTTCATCAAATTGATGGACAATTTCGTTTGTTTTTATTTCGTTAATTTGAGAGTGATATTTCATAAGAACATACAGCAATACTCTGATAGTTTAATAATTTTTTAATATGTCCGTACATTTTTTTGCTAACAAGACTGGTTTGGACTTACTTTAGGTACGATGCTTTTTAACGTTTCTCAATTACCGTGATATTTGACGTGCAATCTGATGTAAACATATATAATAAACGTCTTTTGTATGCATATAGAGTAGAAAGCGCAAAAGCGTCATTCCGGAAGGCATCTGGACAAGTGGATTTTAATAGTGGTCGAAAAAAGAAAGTCGCCTCCATTCTGCCACCTATTTGCAAAGCCTTCGGAGCAACGTTCTTGTTTGGTGCATTTTTGAAACTGATTCAAGACATTATGACCTTCATTAGTCCGCAACTGTTGAAGTAAGTGTGCTCACTGATTGACACGTATTCTAACAAACAATTCATTGCATATGATGTTCAGCTCTAATTTTCTTTTCTTTTCTCTCAGAGTTCTCATTGCTTTCGTCAAAGATGACAAGGAGCCAATGTGGAAAGGATATTTTTACGCCGTATTACTTCTGCTCACAGCAACGGTACAAACACTAGTGTTATCACAATACTTCCATCGTATGTTCATAGTCGGATTGCGTATTCGTACCGCATTGATCGCGGCGATTTATCGCAAAGCGCTGAGAATGTCCAACGCAGCCAGAAAAGAATCTACTCTCGGCGAAATAGTGAACTTGATGTCCGTGGATGCTCAGAGATTCATGGATCTCACCGCGTACATAAACATGATTTGGTCGGCCCCATTACAAATAGTTCTAGCTTTGTATTTCCTGTGGGAGATATTAGGACCGGCGGTGTTGGCCGGTTTAGCGGTCATGATCATCCTCATCCCCGTGAACGCATTCATCGCAAACAAAGTGAAGACTTTGCAAATCAAACAGATGAAGAACAAAGACGAGAGGGTGAAATTAATGAACGAGGTACTTAATGGTATCAAGGTATTGAAGCTTTACGCTTGGGAACCTTCGTTTGAGCAGCAGATACTTAAAATCAGAACCAAAGAGATACAAGTATTGAAAGAGGCGGCGTACTTAAATGCTGGTACGAGCTTCATATGGTCCTGTGCACCTTTCTTGGTATGTTTTTGGAGTAATGGATCTTGTAGTATAATTGAAGAGCTCTGAGAGAAGCTTTACAGATTTATTTCTTGGCGAAATAAGTTCTTCAATTATTTATATATAGGATATCCAATTATAAAGAATATATATCTAATGAATATCCAATTATAAAGAAAATATATCTAGTGAATATCCAATTATAAAGAATATATATCTAGTGAAATAGGCAACGAAAAAAACGTTTGAACGATCAAGGACGTTACACATCTGAAAAACTTAATTTCAGAGAATATTTAGCATCTTTAATATCGTACTATAACTATATTCGTGAATTTTTATTGACCATTTATATATTCTTTAAGATTGTATATCTAAAGAATCATTTTAATTTCTATTGATACCTAACCTTGAATTGATATTTTATCTTGAAACTTTTTTAACATATATTTCCATTAATTTACAGGTATCACTGGTGTCTTTTGCCACTTATGTACTCATAGACGAGAAAAACGTCCTGAACAGTACAACTGCCTTCGTTTCGTTAAGTTTATTCAATGTCTTAAGATTTCCACTCTCTATGCTGCCTATGATGATTAGTAACATAGTTCAAGTGAGTTTAATTAATGTATCTATATAGTTTCTTTTCTCTCCCTATCCGCAACTACTCATATATTAATATTATCTTACTAATGTTATATTATCTATGTTCTATTATCTTGATAATGTTATTCATGCATATGGTTTTAGGCTTATGTTTCCGTAAAACGTATCAACAAATTCATGAACATGGACGATCTGGACCCTAATAATGTACAACATGATCCATCGGAATGTAAGATAATACTTTCCCCCTCCTTTTTTAATTTTTTTTTTAACTACAATTTGGTAGCTTTTTACGCATAAAACATATGTTTAAACATTTAACACGTTATCTTATATTTCTCCAGCACACGCCTTATTAATCGAGAATGGTAACTTCGCTTGGGACATGGAACGTGTCGACAGACCAATATTGCAAAATATTAATATGCGCGTAGAACAAGGTCAATTAATAGCAGTAGTTGGTACAGTGGGATCAGGCAAAAGTTCACTTTTATCTGCTTTTCTCGGTGAGATGGATAAATTGAGCGGGAAAGTGAACACAAAAGTGAGCATTTTTCGAAAAACAAAAGTTATGCTTTGATATTTTTGGCTGGAATCGACGTTAATGTAAATTTAATACTTTTGTCAGGGATCGATAGCATACGTCTCGCAGCAGCCGTGGATACAAAACGCCACGTTACAGGACAACGTCCTGTTTGGAAAAGCCTTAAACAAATCGGTGTACAGTCGCGTAGTAGATGCGTGCGCATTGACCCCGGATCTCAAAATATTACCCGCGGGAGATCAGACCGAGATCGGAGAGAAGGGAATCAATTTGTCCGGCGGCCAGAAGCAGAGAGTGGCGTTAGCCAGAGCTGTATATAATGATTCCGATAATTATTTCTTAGACGATCCTCTGAGCGCGGTGGATTCGCACGTGGGGAAACACATATTCGAAAATGTGATAGGTCCAAGCGGTTTGCTTAAGAAGAAGACGAGAGTGCTCGTTACACACGGCATCACGTATCTACCGGAAGTCGATAACATTATAGTTCTCAAGGACGGCGAAATTACGGAGAGCGGAACTTACAAGCAACTGTTGGAAAAAAGAGGTGCCTTCGCTGAGTTTTTGGTACAACATTTACAAGAAGGTATTTATTCCTATCCGTCTCGCGTTATTTGTGTACACTTTCGTGATATTTATTATAGAAATTTATTCTTACATTTTTTTTTCATGAATCTAAGTTGGAAATCGTAAGTCCATGAAAAAGTAATTACAATTCCTTGCTCTACTTTATATATATTACGTATTCGCTGCATCGTGCTCGCTTCGACATTAGATTGTTAGATTGGCGAAACGTTTGATTGAATGAAAAGTTTGGCATCCTTCGGTTCCAATACAAAGTAGAATTTTTTTATAATAATTTTAATATGTATACGTCGTGTGGGTTTTACCGATTAAAATGCTACTTTCAATCAAAGTAATTATGTGCCACGATTTTTCTATTTAGTTTCTATTTATTTATTTTCTTCATTTATGAACTTAAATTGTTGTATTATATGAGTATTTGAATTAATTTAGAGATATAAGTCTTTTCTCGTTTAATACCGATTTTACACTTGGAGATGTGTGCATGTGATTTTTTTGGTTTTCCCCATTCTCTAAGAGAACGGCTATATATCTTGTAAGTGGCTTTTGTCAGTATTCTCTAAGATAAATATGACGAATTTGAAACAGTGCACGTTGACGACAGTTCCGAAGCAGATTTGCGTGAAATTAAACAGCAACTTGAATCGACAATGGGAGCGGACGAGTTACAGCAAAAGTTAACTCAAGCACGATCTAGAAAGTCGGAGAGTTTAAGTGAATCCGGTTCCATAACTGACCGGAGATCGCTTAATGGTTCACTGAAAAGGTATAGCTTAATACATATGATATTTCAGAGTAATTATTTCTTTTACTTACATCCATTACATCCATTATATCCATCGTGTGTCCCGAAAGGCAATATTCTACGGAGAGTCAACAGTCCGCGAATTTTATACATAGTAATAGTATAAAGGAGAAGGAAGCAACGAAAATCAACAATACCGGGGAGAAATTGATAGAAGTTGAGAAAGCCGAAACCGGAAGTGTAAGTTGCGTTTGATATTATTTTCAAGAGCAATGCATCTCTGGAACAATATTCTAATGTTGACAAGAAGAAGAAATTAACGGTATACTTATATCTCTCTTCTCTTCGCAAGGTAAAATGGAAAGTGTATTCTCACTATTTGGTGTCGATCGGATTGTTCTTGTCGGTAGCGACGATCGTGATGAACGCTATCTTCCAAGCGTTCAGCATTGGCTCGAACATGTGGCTTAGTGTTTGGTCAGACGACAATATGACTGATTCCAATACGAACACGATTGACAAGAGCAGACAAGATATGTATTTGGGAGTGTACGGTGCACTCGGCATCGGTCAAGGTATATTTTCGCACGACATGATCTTCGTAACGTCTTGTCCGTTTGGCAGGTAGATCCAATGATTAGTAGTTTAAAATTTCGCGTTTATAAAGAGACAGTTCAGTATCAGGTAAGTTTATTTCTGTCGCTGATACAGATATACACGTACTTAATCGTGAGAGGCAATTATTTCCATTCAATAACTATGTTAACAGGCAATGGCACTTCATCATGTTCGTTGTAGCATTGTAATTCAAAAGGCATGTTCCCTCCACAGATTTCACATTATTGGGGTAACTTATAACGATAACACAGTAATCTTTCATATTTAAAACTGTCGAGCCGAGCGTAATTAATTTAATTGCTAACCTACTAACCAACTTTTGTGTACTTTCGTTAGAAGTCATGTTATGAGTTATTCTTGCAAATATATCGCACTACATACGTTAGAATCTCAAAGTAATATGAACAATTTCTTGGATGAAAAAGAATTCAAGCGAGTGTGGTTTGCTGTGTCTATAAAGCACTGAGATGTACTTATGAAATAATTGGGAGACTACTTGAGAAGAGACATTTTCTAGTAACCCCGTATGTTTGACTGCAAGTACTGTAATAACCATTTTCTACAGATAATCGATTTCTCTTTATTAATGCATGGAAGATATTTCCGTTTGAGATTTCTTGACATATAGTTCGTTAATCTCTCCCCTTTTTAATATCTTTTTGCGCAGGTGAATAATTCATACATAAAAATTATAGACAGAATAATGCAGGAAAATTATTGACAGGCGGTTCCGTTGTGGTTATAAATAAAAAATTATAACTTTATTCTAAGGTCCGGTGCACAATAGAACGTATATTATGAATAAGAATAAATATTGGGAATCGGAATTAGGAATTATTTTCACACAACGGAATGGGATGAACAGCTATATAACAATTTCTATATTGATATCTTATATATCATTCTTTGTGCATTATGTTTAATCACACTATTCCTAATTTTTATTCTTAAATTAATATTTATTTCTGATATACTTCTACTATATATGCGCATGGCCTAAATTTATAATTCATAAAATTGTGCAATAATTATTCTTTTTCATAATTGTAACGTTTTGTGGTAAATTATGCTAACTGTACGCCGCGCGCACAGTTGAAACCGACGGATGTAATATGCAACATATGCACTTGCATACGGCACGTAGATTTTGCAATTACGAAATGGTCCTTCAAAAATTTTTCCACTGTCTTCTCGACTCTGTCTGCCTGGGTTTAGTCAAATAGATCGCAGATCGTGACGACTTTCGCTTTATGTCCAAATTTTACTATATATAAATGAAATAAATATGTCAATAATTTTTTTCTTTCTTTTTTTTTTTCTTTTCTTTAAGTTGCTGTTACGTCTAACGTGAGCATGAAGTAGACGAGAGGAAGCTTTTTATAGTATTTAATGTGTTTCAAAATAATACAAACGGGAAATCAGTCTGTACCGTATATTAAGATTCGCAACTAAAGACGCCGAATAATTATAAAGTACTCTACTTTTATATATAATTATAGAGACTACGATTTTCAACAGTATGCACACGCGTACAAGGTCTTTTTTTTTTTTCTTTTGAGTCCGCACTGATTTCCTGGTCAGCCAAAATGCGTGTAAATTAGGGTGGATTGATCGTAGTGGGCATAGTTAACAATGATGTACATAATTCGCTTTTTGTCCTATTACTAATACTCTTACCGCCAGTAATAAGTGCCAGCCACGTTAACCTAATTACATCTCCGTTTACTAGATGGAATAACGAGATACGTTAATTTCTTACACGTGCCGTGTAAACCGCAGTGTTCATGCAATGTTTAATAAAACGTACAGCTGTGCGCATTAATAAACAAGTTAATATTTTTTTTTTCTTAGCGAGATTTAGCAAAGTACGGCAAATATAATGTGCCATTTATGCCATTTATGGAACTTGTTAGAGCAAGTTGAGATAATTGAGAAAAAAATTTCTTTTTTTGATGCAATAAAAGCCATAGAGGGAGAGAGAAAGAAAGGACGCTCATTCACTTTAAACTAAATTTCAGCTACTTTTGTAATGCTGGCACAGTTAACGCTGGTCGTGGGCTGTCTGCGGAGCAGTAAAATGCTGCACTCCGAATTATTATTCGGCATGCTGCGATCGCCGTTAGGATTCTTTGACATCACACCGTCCGGCAGAATATTAAACCGTTTTGGGAAGGACGTTGACATAATAGACAACATTTTACCTCCATGTATTAGGGCGTGGTTGTTTTGCCTAGTATCGGTATGCGAAACTTAATCTTAATTTATATCTGTATCTATGTACGATTCGAACGCATTTTTACGCGATTCTTTTTTTTCTTCTCTTTTTTTTCTTTTACAACGAATGACGCACACATAGAACACTGGTCCACCAAACAGTACAAATATGATTAATCGACGAATTCGAAGTACCTTTTGCCCACGAGTTTTATTTGCAGTCTTTATTCCTCACGTGTATATTCATTAGCGATCAGCAGACCACTAGAGAAGCGCATTATCAATGAATTGATGAATTGCATGCTTAGCGACATAGTGTTCGCAGTACGATCTTACGAAAGTACCATATTTATCGCAAATCGATCTCTTTTTTAATTGTCGCACATTATTGCGTATTTTTACATTTATATATTTTACTTTCTAGATATTATATTGCGTATATATTTATTATTTTATTAATTTTCGTTATAATTACATGCACCTCAATTCATGTGTGACTGCAGCGAGGAACTTGCACTTTGCGTTAGACAGGTGATAAGCAATTAATGAAAATGAACATTGCCATATGATCCTTTGTTCGCTCGGAATCGGTATATCCGATAACGAGCGCCGCATTCTTTAATATGCGCGTAACTGTGTCAGTTTTATTTGACACAACAATTGCCAAAGTTTGATCATCAACGATCGTTGTAGGCATCTCAATATTCGCAACGGGGTTGTTTTTGGCTAAAGGGACGGTAAGCTCCTCCATACTTCTCTTCCGTGGCACACTGGAACGTGTTCTTCACAACCCGATGTCATTCTTTGACAAAACTCCGACCGGTCGAATTCTCAGTCGACTTGGTAAAGACATTGATGTCGTAGACAATATTCTGCCGATGCTTCTACGTTCTTCGATCAATTGCCTCTTTGAGGTATGACATTCTCATGTAACTACGCACTATAATATGCACAAGTATTGGGTTTTCTGTGACAGTTGTTGTGAATTGGTATTACCGCCGCCTCTCCTACTTGTCGTACGATGTCACACTTTACTACAGATCAGTACCTCTTTTCCTTTTTTTTCCAATTTGAGATCGCATATTATGAAACTTTTTCAAGTATTTGACTTTACACGAAACGTGTCCGTTTCTTTTATTTTTCTCGTTATATTGACAAATAATTCACGTCAATCGGTAATAGTATATGTAATTTAAATTATCTTTTATTAAGTCGATATATTAATTCCATACATTTCGAAATGATATACTATAAGATAAAAAATAAATTCTTATTTTTTCCTTCTCCAATTAAATCACATTTATGAGAAATAGTTCTGTATACGCATTTAAACGCAATCAAAGCTTAAAGATACGCTTGAAAATTTGTGAACCTTAAATAATACAAACGATTCGAACGTATTCCATTTTTTTATGCATTTCATAAATATGCGATATTACATGGGGGAACCCTGTTGGATTTCATATCGTGCCGCTCTTGGTCACATTTCATTAATATCGTAAAGTTGATCGATTGTGTGTTGATTTCGGTATGTGCAAATCATTTTTCTTACTTCAGAAACAGCAGTACAGCAGGACCAGATATTCTGATGTTCATCTTAGCCGCAAGATATTATTGTCTATGATGTTCATTTTCGTTTTACCGTTATGATACGCTTTGGACCTAACGAATCAGAGATTGTCAACAGCGGATGAATGATCGCGATTCATTTGTTTCACATACCGCTTTAATATTCCTCAAAATAGGATTTCGCTTCGCCAAATTATGACCATTCTTACGTCATTGCTTAACAAAATCCATGATCGTTACTTTAATGTTGGATTTACTTCTATACTTATATTTACGTAATATTTGTTATATTCACGTTACATTTATATGTTCTACTTGTGTTCTCTCAGTTCTCTTTGTTATTATTGTTATTAAACATTATCGTGAACTTTCCACTTTAATTTCCCTCACGTCCGTGTTTATATTGTACATAACCATAGTGCAACTAATAGCATTATGTAGTAACCGTTCAGGGAATGGACACAATTATACCATTTAATATTTCATGTACAGAAATATAGTCTTGCTTGTGCTTGATTAACGCTTATTCTATACTTGCTTCTATAACTTATTTATAATTACAATTCTGTTTTCTGGGAACGTGTAATTTGCTTGTATCTACTGTATACAGACCGGCATGATAGCCTTATCGTCTTATTATAGAAACTGGAATCTTCCAGAAAGAGTGGTATTTCTAACGTAAAATATAGTCAATGTAAGAAAAGAGGTATAATATTCAACGTATTTTTACCTCTAGATGCTGAGGCCTATTATGCTGATCCATGTATTGGCTATGTTCCACAGACTTTAGTACACCATATATTAGACCGCTAACGCGTATAGGATTCATGGGATAAAATATGATGACTCCATGTGTCGGGTGGGCAGAAATATTATTTACAAAATGTTACAGAATTTTGCCATATTGTTGTATGTGATAGAATTGCGCGGAAACGAACATTTTGAAGAGAAAAGCATTCCGATGAGGTATCCCGTGTATTACAACCAATCTGCCTACTTGACAAATGGTGACTGGTTTCACACTCCAGGTCGTTGTTAGTGGTCTGATTCGGTGTATGAAAATCTGTGCTATGTCTTGTCCGGTATGTCACAGCAAACTTCACACCTTCGCATAACGTGAGACAAGAGTAGAGCGGTTTAAATTCATGATATCGCAAACTCGTATGAATGTTGAGCAGTGTTGTGAAAAATGAAGAAAATTATATATCTTTATACATCTTTCTCGTTCCTTGATTCAGTAAATATACCAACTCGTGTCAAACGCAAGAATGAAAGAGTATGCATGTGTGTGAGATAGCGTGAGAGAATGAGAAAGAGAGAGTGAGAGAACGCGGTTGGGACAGGAGAGAAAAGAATTACTCTCCTACATGTGATATATCTATTGTGTAATTATGTCCGCTTTTAAATAAGTTTCGGCTAATTTAAACGTTTATTATACCGACCTATGTCTGAAAACCTCGTGAAAAGAAAAACCTTTGTATCGGGGATGTGGCGATTACGACAGTTATCCATGTCTGATGTTGTAGCGATGACGAGCTTTTTCTGCGATTTGGCACCGCAGCTGGGCTGCTGGTTGGCTGCTCGCCAGATGCACATAGTGATGCTGCGTGCTGTGATGCGTGCACCATTGACCTTCTTTGATACGACCCCTATTGGTCGTATTATCTCCAGGTTTGCTAAAGACGTGGACGTACTGGATACATCTCTTCCTCCGCAAATTTCCGATACCATCTATTGCTTGTTCGAGGTAATTGTTTTGGAAAGCGCACGGTGAAAACAGCAGTTGGGATTCTCTTTTATCATTTTCTTGGCCCCCCCCCCCC